ATATATGGAACACTCGTTTCTTTTTTATTGTATTTTTTTCATTGTATTTTTTATTGTATTTTTTCCATTATCATTTTTTCCATTATAATACAATGTATTATTGTATTACCCTACCCCCCCAATTCACCACACTGCTGTCCATGCCCATGAGTCCTTTTTCCTGTTTGCTTGACACTGCCACCCACTAACTACCACCCCCACACCTCCACCAGAGCTGTCACCCTGCTATGAGTCTGTCCCTATCTCTGTCTCAATTCAGTTTGTTCATTAGATTCCACATATGAGTGAAATCATATGATATTTGTCTTTCTCTGACTGGCTTATTTCACTTAGCATAACATTCTCCAGGTGCATCTATGCTGTTGCAAAGAGTAAAATTATCTTCTTTTTTATGGCTGAGTAGTGTTCCACTGTGTAAATGCCATAGTTGTTTTATCCACTCATCTACTGATGGACATTTAGGCTGCTTCCATATCTTGGTGATTGTAAATAATGCTACAATGAACATGGAGTGCTTATGTTCTTTTGAATTAGTGTTTGGGTTTCTTCGGATAAATTCCCAGAAGTGGAATCACTGGGTCATAAGGCAGTTCTAATTTTAGATTTTTGAGTTAACTCTATCTTGCTTTCCACAGGGCTGCACCAGTCTGCTTCCCACTAACAGTGTAGGGGGGTCCCCCTTTCTCCACATCCTCACCAGCACTAGTTGTCTGTTGATTTATTGATGGTAACCATTCTGACAAGCACAAGGTGATATCTCCCTGTGGTTTTAATTTGCATTTCAGTGATGATTAGTGACTTTGAGCATCTTGTCATATGTCATTGACCATCTGTATGTCCTCCTTGGAGAAGTGTCTACTCAGGTCCTTTGCCCATTTTTTTAAATTGGACTGTATGGTTTTTTTTGATGTTGAGTTCTATAAGTTCTTTATAAATTTTGGATATTAATCCATTATCCGATGTATCAGCAAATATGTTCTCCCGTTCAGAGGGTTGTCTTTTCATTCTGTTGACAGTTTCCTTTGCTGTGCAAAACCTTTTTTGTTTGATGTAGTCCCATTTGTTTATTTTTTCTCTTGCTTCCCTTGCCCAAGGTGATGTATCAGAAAAAAATATTGCTATGAGAAATGTCCAAGGTTTTACTGCCTATGTTTTCTTCTAGGATTTTTATGCTATTGAGTCTTACACTTAAGTCTTTAATCTACTTTGACTTTTTCCTTGTGTATGGTGTAAAAAGGTGTTTTAATTTCATTTTTTACATTTGTCCAATTTTCCCAACACCATTTATTGAATAGACTATTTTTACCCCATTATATGTTCTTTCCCCCTTTGTTAAATATTAATTGACCATAAAGGTGTGGGTTTATTTCTGGGCTCTCAGTTCTGTTCCATTGGTCTATGGGTCTGTTTTTATGCCAGCACTGTGGTATTTTGATTACTGTAGCCTTATAGTGTAGTTTGATATCAGGTACCACGATATCTCCAACTTTGTTCTGCTTTACCAAGTGTGCTGTGGCTCTCCAGGGTCTTCTGTGGTTCCCTATACATTTTTGGAATATTTGTTCCTGATATCTTGATAAGAACTGCATTAAATCTATGGATTGCTTTGGGTAGTATAGACATTTTAATGATCTTAATTCTTCCTCTTTTTTGTATCTTCTTCAGTTTTTTTTCTTCATTGTCTTATAATTTTCTGATTACAGGCCTTTTACATCCTTGGTTAAATTTATTTCTAAGTATTTTTTTTTTTGAAGTAATTGTAAATGGAGTTGTTTTGTTAGTTCCCCTTTCTAATACTTCATTATTGGTGTATAAAAATGCAACTGATTTCTGAATATTTATTTTGTATCCTGCTACTAAACTGAATTCATTTATCAGTTCTAGCAGTTTTTTGGTGGAATCTTTAGGGTTCTCTATATACAGATGTCATCTGAGAATAATGGCAGTTTTACTTCTTCTTTTCTAATTCAAATGCCTTTTATTTCTTCTTGTCTGACTGCCGAGACTAGGACTGTCAGCACTCGGTTCGATGAGAGTGGTGGAAGCGGGCATCCCTGTCTCGTTCCTCATCCTAAAGGAAACACTTTTAGTTTTTTCCCATTGAGTACGATCTTGGCAGTATGTTTGTCATACATGGCTTTTATTATGTTGAGATAAGTTCCCTCTATCCCACATTGCTGAGAGTTTGTATCATAAATTGGTGCTGGATTTTGTCAAAGCTTGTTCTGCATCTATTGATATGATATGCGCTTTTTAGTCTTCATTTTGTTTATGTGGTGTATCATGTTTATTGATTTGCAAATTAATGTACCAACCTTGCATCCCTGGATAAATCCCACTTGATCATGGTGTATGATCTTTTTAATTTGTTGCTGGACTCGGTTTGCTAATATTTTGTTGAGGATTTCAGCATCTATGTTCATCATGGATACTGGCCTGTAATTTTCTTTCTTGTAGTGTCTTTTTCTGGTTTTGGAATTAGGATAATGCTGGCCTTGTAAAACGAGCTTGGGAGGCTTCCCTTCTCTTGAAATTTTTAAGAAGAGTTTGAGAAAGATAGGTGTTAGTTCCTTTCTGAATGTTTGGTGAAATTTAAGGCAAAGCCATCCAGTCCAGCACTTTCATTTCCCGGGGTTTTTTTGTTTACTGTTTGAATTTCACTAGTTGTAATCTATCTGTTCAGATTTTCTGAATCTTTCTGATTCAGTTTTGGAAGATTGTATGTTTCTAGAAATTTACCCATTCCTTCCAGATTGTCCTATTTACTGGCATACAGTTGTTCATATTTTCTTACAATCCTTGGTACTTCTATGGTGTCAGTTATTACTTTTCCGTTTCATTTCCGATTTTATTTATTTGGGTCCTCTCTTTTTTTTCTTGATGAGTCTTGTTAAGGTCTGTCAGTCTTGTTTATCTTTTCAAAGAACAAGTTCTTAGTTTCTTTGATCTTTTATATTTTTTTAATACTCTTATTATTTCCGCTCTGGTATTTATTATTTTCTTCTTTCTGCTGACTTTGGGTCTTGTTTATTGGTCTTGTTCTACTTCCTTTAAGTGTAAAGTTAGATTGTTTAAGAACTTTTCTTAAATATCTTTTTTTATTTTTTCTTTCTTTTTAAATTTTTATTTATTTATGTATTTTTGTTTAATATTTTTGTTTACATGTCTATATGATAAATACCCTGAAGTGAAATTTCTGTGGTAAAGGTTGTGTACATTTAAACATTGATAGATATTGCCAAAGTAACATCCAAAAGTATGTAATGGAGTGAAGAGTGGGGGTCTCTGAAAATAGCAGAGCATATTCCCCAGAAACCTTAATTGGGGGGAAGGGAAGAGTGGATGTTACTGCAGTTTAAGGTACTTTGCATAACAATGGCAAGTTAATAGCTGTGCTGATGCTCTAAGGTGTCTTTAAGAAGCTTAGTGACTGTGACAAAACAGGAAGGTGGCTGTCCACCCTTGTCTGTGCTTCACAGGGAATTCTTGTCCTGACTAAAGACGGCAGCTGAAGGAAGGTAAAAGATATGGGGGAACTGGCAAAAATGGCACATTATAGGAGGGGCCGGGTATGAGGTCACGTAGGAAGTTCCTGGCCAAGCATTTAAAATACGGGCAGGCTGAGAAAGAAGGTGGAAGTAGTCATGTGGGTTGAAAGGGTGTAGATAAGGGGTCTAGCCCAGCAGGGGGCCAGGTGTATAAGGATATGCCATTCAGTTTGGAGTAAGAGCTGGAGTAAGAAAGAGGAGACCTGCTGGGGAACCTGCCTGGAGAAGACGGCAGCAGAGCTGATGGAGCTGTGCGGGCACCGGCCTTGACACCTGGACTTGTGAGAGACGCTTGGGGCCAAACTGTGACGGGGAATGCTGACCTGCAGACTTCTGCTTTTTCTAAAAGACTGGCGTATTCTAAAAATGGCCTAGTTTGGCAAAGAGAGGCACGACAATATGTTTTTGGTTGTTCTAAAGGGAGTGGAATGCAACAGCAAATATCCACCATTATTCTAAATCTGTATAACCTTTAAATAAACAACCCCTTTCCTTTTTCACCAAACTCTTGCATTGGGAGTCAAGCTTCCTGGTGGTGGGTAACTGAACCCCACAGCCGTTCCAGAACAGCATTGGCAGCGTCCTGTGACAAGTGTGCCAAGTTTATTCTTCCAGGAACAGAGTATGAGAGTACCTGTCTTGCCCAAATCGTCTTCATCGCTGGTCTTACAGCATTTTTTTCACCTTTACCAATTTCTTAGGTAGAAAATAATTTCTAATTGTGTTACTTACATTAGTTTAATTTTCAATGAGGTATATCATGTTTTCATGTCTACTGAATATTCATAGTGCTTTTCATGTACTACTAATATTCTTTGCAAATTTTTCCTTTGAGTTAATTTTTCTTATTGATTTATTCAAATTATTTGTATGTTGAGGAAATAAGTCTTTTATCTGATGTGCTGCAAATATTTTCCCCTGGAGGTTGTCTTCTGACTCTACTAATAGAATTTTTTGCTGTCAAAAATAATAATTTATATATATTTAAGTAGATCAGTATTTTTTAGGCTTTTGTGCCTGCTCCACTCCGAGATTATTTTTAAATTTTACTCATATTGCATCTCTTTCATTAAAGTATTTTTAGCCATCTGAAATTTATTTTAATGTAAAAAGGGAGAAGGAATACAGATTTACTTTTTTCCCAAGTGGCTAGTTTTCCTAAAATAATCTGTTGAATAAGCCATTTTTTCCTCTCTGCTATTTATCATACAATAAATTCACAAATCATATACTAAATAAATCCTCTGTTATTGACCTCTCTACTTTAGTGTCATAAATTATTTTAACTATGTACCTTTATAATACATTATTATTTTTGGAATCTGGGAGCACTTTTTGGCATGTTAATTTTTTTAGATAAATTTTTTATCAACTTTAAAGAAATTTGCATTTGTATTTTGATTGCACCCAGATAAGTTAGTTATGTGTTAGGAAGGCTTGATTTTTACTTACCCAGAGAGATGCCATGCTATCCCACCTTTGCCTTGAGTTCAGATTGTACTAACCTATTAAAAGAAAAGAAATTACTAAACAGAGGAAGTCTAGGATTCCGAGTTCAGTAAATTCACCAACCATTAATCTTTAACCCAGAAAAGAGAAGCAACATTGAAAGAGAAACCCCCTCAAGAAGAGGGTGTGTCTTCGACATCAAGTAGTCTATTTGCTAAACAAACATTTACTGAGTGCTTACTATATACAGGAGATGGTGCTAGACCCATAAAGGGCTCAAAAAGAGAGAAAAATCCTACTGAAGAGGTTTACAAATATGTTTCCAGGAAAGCCAAATTTTGACTTATTTGACATACAATAAAACTACTTTGACTGCTGACTTCTTTTAATCAAGACAGACTACTACTGTAGGGAAAATAAAAACACAGGAAATTGTCCTCCATCAACATAAATTTTAGCTGGCTTCAACCTGATTTTCTGTGTTTGACTGTGAAATCTGAATTTACATTTCACAAGGTTCCAAGCCATGCCAGTTATAAACAGACATGCCTGCTCTTTGAGAAGGCAGCCCAGTCCTTGGTAGGACGCAGAGGTGAAAAGGGCAGCTCCTTCATAAGGGGACATTATTCAAACATGCTGGCGTATCTCCAGGGTTGACTTAGAAATGCAAGTTGCTCCCACCCATCTTAGGAACAAAATATTCTAAAAATACAGTGATAGCACCAGAACAAAGTTCAACAGGAAATTACACCATTAGTCCCTGAAAACATTTAGCCCTGATTTTCTCAGGCTCTCTGTAGCCCAGGGCAGTGGGCTCTCTAGTTACAGAGTCTAACACTATATATGTCCCTCTTAAAGCTGGACACTAATTTCTCTGAGCCTGTTTTCTTATCAGTAAAAATGGGAGAGAAGTGCTGTTGCTGGCATTGAATAAAATAATACGTATCATCGTAACAGCTAGCGTTTTGAGTCCTTACTATATGCCAGGTAGTATAAAAAGCACTAAAAGGTTAATTTTGTAAAGCTAGACATTTTTTTTTTATGTTTGTTCACTGGGGCATACTAAGCAATAAAAAAATCCTCACTGAATGAATCAATGATTTAATATAAATAAGCCTCCCAATAATCTAGGGAGCTATGATTAATAACATCTCAACTTTGCATATGAAGAAGGTAGAGCACAGAGAGGTAATATAACAGTCCAGTCACACAGCTAGTGAGTAGGCACTGAATTTAGGCAGCCATTCTCCAAAGGTATGACCTTAATCCCATGCTTTTGCCTTACCCGAGTGGCTGTTCCATACAGGGTCAGAGCCAATGCTCAGTATGTGTTCATCCAGTATAATTTCTGAAGTGTTAACAACTATTACTGATTTAAGTTTTAACAAACAATTACTCCACAGTGGAGGCCAAATGATCTAACAATAGAACTTTAAATGTCCTTTTCTGAAAGGAATTAGAGCTACACCACTTCCTTCCATTTCATCCTGCATCCCTGTTCCTAAATAGATTTCTCTACACAATCACATGGCGCTGGGTACAAGATTCCAGTTTTTTTTACATCTCTAAATTCTTTCTTGTCAGTTTGAAGTTTTCTGTCTTCAGGAAAGCTGATGGCGACATCTTTGCAAAATAACATTTTAGTGAGTTGTTATTTTTTTTTTTATGATGCGGATTTTAAAAGTTGTAAATGAGCTCTCCCAGAGGAAAGTCTTGGTGTCTGTGGTCACAAACTCTTGGAAAAATTTAGCTCAGTGGTGCAACTTCTTATCAGCAGCCTCCAGCCACCCAGAAACTCCTGGTCACAGTTTTCTATATATGGTCATTTGCAATCAAATCCTGAGATGCCCTACCTGCTGACTGCATTGCCAGATTCTAGGGGAATGATTCATGGTTAGTGAATGGAACTCTGTTGCAATGAAAGAAAAAGGTTAGCCTTAAAAAAAAGACAAACTTTTTGGACTCCCAGCGCCCAATACCTAAACACATTTTTCCTCTACCTCCTAAATAAAATTAAATAAATAAATATAAATAAATAAATAAATAAATAAATAAATAAATTGCCCTTGTGAAGGAGACAACGTGCTCACAAGGATGGGCGGAGTTCCAAGTAATCAGAATGGAGCTTGGAGCCCATCACTCCCTCCCGGGACGCTCCGGACCCAGACGGTGCTCCTGACGCCCTGCTCTTCTGTCCCCAAAACCTTTAGGATTGGGAAGGCTGAGATGGCCAACTGAATTCCTACTCTGCTAGCTGGGTGATCTTCCCAGTTTACGGCACTTTAGCTCCCCTGGGGCTGTTTTCTGGATTCTGAAATGTGGGACGTGAGTTCTGAGCTCCTTGAGGCCCCTCGGACCCTGCACCTGCGCGGCCGGGCTCGTTCGCGGCGTGGGCGCCAAGTCTGAGCCGCCCGGGACCGCACGACGCCCACAGGGGAACTGGACGAAGCGCACGCACCTCTGCGAGCCGCGGCCAGCTGGGTAGCGAGCGAGGCTCGCGGCTGTGCGCGGGGAGGCTGGACTTACCCTGAAGCGGGGCCCCGTGCGCTGGAGAACCGCGAGCCAGGTGTGTGTCCCGCAAGCCAGGCGTGCGTGCTCCGAAACTGATTCCCAGCGGGCCAGTGGAGGAGACCGCTACGGCGACCACACCCTTCCTTCCTCCGGCCCCTCCTCCGGCCCCGACTCCACCTGACCGCAGCGGCTCCGGGAGAAGCGAAGCCGCGCCCCTCCGCCGTTCAGCTCCTACACGGCACACACGCCCTCCGGCCCCGGGGTCGCTAAACTTTCCCGCGGCCCCCCTGCACCGTTTCCCACCATTCCTGATTTTGAAACCCATTTCCTCGGTTTTCACTTCTTCACTTACATTATACTCTTCAGATTTATTGCAATGCTTATTTCATTCTAAGCGCTCTGGATTCAGAGATGAGACAGTCTTAACTACCAAGAAGCTCACCGCCCGGTACCGGTAGCAGACTGCTAACCCTACTGGCCGTCTGTGACGTTAACCCAGCATTGACTCTCTACCAGGCACTGTTCAAAATTCTTTAAGTACTCCTACAACTCGATAAGATAGATACTATTATTACCCCTATTTTATAAATAAGGAACTTAAGACACAGATTGGGTAACTTAAGCAAAGTCACACGGGGAGAGCTACGTTTTTGAACCCAGGTATTTTTGTAGTCCCTCTGCTAAGCTTGTGGGCTCTCTAGTATGAGGATTAGAACCAAAGGCCAGAGGAGATAAGGTGGAAGGGCATACTAGGCATGTGGAACAACAAAACAAAGGGAGGCTAAAAATTAAAGCTCCTCGTGTTGGGGGTATTATGAGCAGTTGTGTTCTGAAGGATGGGATAGCCGATCATAAAAGCTACCATTTGTTAGGCGTCAAGCCTAAATAAGTGTTTGAATCTATCACTTCTTTTATCTTCAAGACAACCCCGGGAGGTGTTATCTTTATCAGAATTTGCAGCAGAGGAAACTGAGGCTTAAGTGGTTACATGATTTAGCCAAGAACACAATAAGGAAAATAAGGAAAAATAAGGAAAAATTATTTATTGACTGCACACTCCCTGTAACTAAGGCATTTGCTAAGTGCCATGGAAGAGTAAAAGGAAATAATCAGGTCTAGTTGGGATATCAATGAGTTTACAGTCTAACTGAGGTCAAGACAAACTCATACGAAACTGAAGTCAGTAATGCATGATGCTTTATAATTTTTATTATATATAATGCTAAATTCAGGGGAAATGACTTAAACATTGTAGCTTTAGTAGAAAAGGAACATCAAGAAGATTGGGACAGTCGGGAGAAGGGAATGAAATGTGAAAGATTTGAAAATTGTCATTTGAAAAAATTCTTAGTTTCTTTTTAATTTTAAATTAATGTGCCCCATATTTCTCAAATATGATGTAAGGTTGCCTGACTGCCATTCCTGTTATCCTAAGAAAAGTTTTAGTGGAAATATTAACTTTAAGAAAAGGATTAGGACTAATGAATTGTCATTTAGATGTTTGTAAACTTTTGGTTTGATTTAAGTGAACAGTTAAAGTATCAGGATGCATTTTTCCCCCCTGGTCTTTCAGCAGGATAATGCATGATACCCCTTTAACCAGGACTGAGGAAAATTACTGGCTTGGACTGCTATCCGTGAGCTAAGGAGGCCAGAGGAGAAGTTCTTCAAGTTGGGTGCTGGGAACATGTTAGAAGCACAAATTCCCTCTATTCGACCCCAAACTTACTCGCTTAATAAGCTCTCCAGGTGATTCTGATGGACCCTAGAGTTTAAGAACCACTGGTTTAAGAAGACACCCTTCCTTAAGTGGAAGAGGAGCTGCGATGGAGGACGCAGTTGTGCTTAAAAAGGTGCAGCCCACCGGCTTTACAAATGGACAGTTGATGAGCTTTCTGCAAAAAGAGAAGTGGCGAGTTCCTCCCTTCCGTTCTGCCTTGTAATTCCTGACTCCCATTCAGAGATCTCCACAAGAGACTAGGTCCCACCTCATCCTGGAAAATTCTGGGATTAGCATGGGGCAGGAGGGGGTTATTTACTGAGGACCTATTGTTTATGCCAGATGTTTAATAATGAATGCACTTTGCACACATGCTCTGATTTCATAGTTACTCACCAACTTAAATTAGGTGTGATTACCTCTATTTTGCAAATACAAAGAAAGGCTCAGAGCAATTTGGTAACTTCCACTGGTTGCATGCCACGCAACCAGGAAGTAATAGGACTGGATTTATACACAGAAGGAAATGAGTAACAGGTGGTGTTTATACTTGTTACAGGTTTACAGTTCAACCTCTTCGGTTTCATGGTGGTGACTTTGAAATGATATGCACTCTAGCCTTCTTAAAAAAATTTTTCTAGTTGAAACAAGTGCCAGTTACTACCATTTAGATTAGAGTCATGCTATAATGTGATTGTAAAACTAATATTTTTCCCCCAAAGGATGAATTTTCTTAGAAGGAAGTGCTAGATGATAATAATGGTAATAATGATAAATGTTATGATCCCAAAGACCAGGTTTATAGTCATCTTAAAAAAACCCAGAAAAGATTATTTGATAAACATTTTTGCCATTCTGAACACATAGAACTACTTTATACTTTTAGAAAAAGCTAATTTTCATATATCATTTTTTTTCTCTGTTACATAGAACAATTTGAGAGTCAACTATAAGATTTTAGAGCAAAGTTTTCTAGGAGTATTTAAAATGTATGATAAAATGTGAGGGGAAAAACTAACAAAAGCAGGTTTAAACGACCAAGCAGTTGTGGACGCTAGGTATGTTTGTTCTTGCAGTGGTGTGCTGAGCCAGCTTGGCACATGAGAGCTAAGTGCTAAATTTTCAGGAATTTTGCAAGTCAGTTGTTAAACACAGCCATTGTTAAAGTTGTAATAAATAAACACAACCAAATGAGTAAGTTATGCTAGAGACAAAAGTACTCAAAATTAATCACTTCAAATTATGTTACTATATTTTACTGTTACTGATGCTCAATGTTATTTTTGTGTATTACATCTATGTTGTAGGAATATTATATAAAATTGTATTCCTATGCCTCTCTTCCCGACTCCATGTTCAGTGAAACTACGCTGATAGGTTGAATTCCGCCGTGGCCTGGCATACACAACAGGGAAACCAGCCAATGCTACAGAACAGGCCTCGCCAGGTTCTAAAAGCCAGTTGTGAAACATTTATCAGCACGCCATTGGTAGCAATAATGGGCAACTGTAAAATTAGTATGTGTTTTGAGGTCAAGTGTTTCTTTCTTTTAAAAAAATTATTTCTGAAATATATTAGAAAACTATAATCAAATGACACTGATTTTAGCAGAAGAGAAACAACATACTCAGAGGGTTTGAATAAAGAGTTTTATTTTTTATTTCTTTTATTCATTGATATCGGTGGGGAGAGAGAGAGGAGAGATTTGTTGTTCTATTTATTTATGCATTCATTGGTTGTTTCTTTTATGTACCCTGACGACCTTGGCATATGGGGATGATGCTCTGACTCACTGAGCCACCTGGCCAAGGCTGAATAAAGAGTTTTAAAAAGGAACTCTTTACAGATGTGGGGGCAGGGTTAAGTTAAGGAATCCACAGGGGCGGTGAAGCCTCAAGGACTAGGAACAGGATGAAATCATTACCACCTCTAGGCGAGCAATGCACAAGGGAAGGAAGGTGTTATCAGAGCCTTTGAGAACCGGACTGTGGAAGAGCAGCTGTCCCACAGGACCTGTGGCCTGGACAGGCTGCAGGCACCATCAGAACCACAGCTGAGCACTAGGGAGAAGTGGGGAGGGCTAGACACACCCTAGCTTCTCTCTCATCATTTGGCCGCTCTCAGCCAGAAGCCAGGGGCAAAGGAGCCTTGGAGAAGCAGTACAGAAAGGCACTTTCCTGGAGCAGAAACAGAGCAGAGAATCCGTGTGGAGACACACAGAATAAGCAGCACCAGGACTTTTGTGACTCACTGTTATGAAGCATTGTCTCACTTTGGACATATTCTGCAGTGGGATGTTTCAGGGAGACATCTTGAAACTGATTTTTAATAGTTTATGGCAATTCTCCCAGAGATGGGGATTCTAGTATATGTTTATAACTTACTGGTCTTGGAACTTAGTAGCCATAAACCAAATGAGCCCAGGAATAACAGTCTAACCTTTTTTTTTTTAGAGAGTTGCAATATGGGCCTATTTTGTTGTAGCAATCAAGTGACTGAATTTTTCATGACAAGCATTAAATCCAAGTTATAGGAGCTTTGGACTATTTTTAAGGAACAGCAATTTGTGCTTGTGAAGGCCATCTGGCAAAGATTTGAAATCTTGGAATTCATATGGAACTTTCAAAGAAAAATATCTGGGACAATCACTTAGAACTATGTCATAGGGTTGTTACAAGGACTGAATGGGGTAGAGAAGGTAAAGGAGTCGTTCATTGCTCTTGGTTTTTAGATGTGCCCAGCATGTTACCTGATACTGTCTCTAGAAATCTATTAACCTCTCTGCATGCCATTCTAAAGGGTTCCTAGTTAAAGTCCTCTCAGGCTCATTTGGGGATGGAATCTCTATCATACATGATGGCGTGAATGAAAAGGGGGCTACACCATCCTGACAAGCTCAGGAAGGCACATGGCACGTCTGGCAAGTTCAGTGACCAAAAGTAACCATACAGGATGGTCTGAACATTAGCTCAGAAGTGGCCAATCCAAGTTGGGTAGTCACATCCCAGGCCTACAGCTTCTTTAGTAAAAGGTTAATCTTTACCTTAAGGGAACCCTGTCTATTGCTCTTGTGCGTCTGAGATAACGTACTTTTGAAATGTCTGAATAGTTTTCACTTCCAGATCCTTCAGAAATAGACCCTCCAGCAACAGAGTATGAAGACACCAAAACTGCTTGTGATGTTCTTGCCCACACACCATCTTTATTCGCTGTAATTGTTAAATGGTCACTATCCTGTGCCCACCAATATAAAACGTGTGTATCTCGCTCTTTCTTTTTATTCAATCCTAGAGATTTTTCAACCTTTTCTCCCACCTGCTTATCTACCACCAACAGATTTCATGTAAACTTCCTTACTTTTTCTCCTTTGATTCTAAGTTTATTAACAGAACTATAAAACTGCCTTTCTCCAGAGCATTTTCTCAATCTATTGAGACCTTGCTTTTGACCATGTCCTCAAAATTTTGGCTCAAATAAATTATTAATGCTTTCTACAGGTTTAGACATTTGTCAACATTTACCAGCATTTTAATATGAGGTTAAAACACATGTAACTACTGATATAGGATTATTTTTAACCTACAGAATCAACAATTATACAGGGTTGAATCTAATGAGGTATTCTCAATATAGTCTCCTGCTCCTGCTTCCAGTATTTCTTCAAAACCCTCATCTTTGAGATATTGCAAAATCATTGAGAACTCATTTTCTACCACTTCCTCCCAAGTTTCCTAAATATTATAGCCACTCAGTTTCAGGTCTTAGGAAGCATTGTCATAGCCAGTCCTAACAATTCATAGGTTGGTGTCTAATACAGCCTCTCCATGGGCCCAAGGGAAATGCACTCCAGGGCTCAAAGCCAGCTATGAGGCAAGGGACAACTGTGAGGAAGTGAAGCTTATGTTAAGTCCCTGACAGCATCTAAGGAAATCCTAGGCTTGGTTGTGGCATCCTTTCCAGATTTTATGAAAGCATGCTTTCTCACATCTTGCTGAGTTTGCTAATGTTCCATGAAAAGGTGCCAACAGAGCCCTGCTGGTCACCATCCTTGGCAATATTTTTAATTTTTTGTGTAAACCAATTCCACAGCAGGGAAAGGCACACAAATGCACAGGCTTGCAGAATTCTGAGACTGCCTGGGCTTGGTCCCATTTGTACTCTGCCATTTCCCCCTTCACAAGCCCACAAACTATTATTTGGTGCTTTGGTCATCTCCAGGGTGTTACGGACACCTAACGAATCTTTGTGTGTGCACAAAGGAACATAGCCATTCTCACACTAGATCAAGTATCCTGAGAAAGTTTGATGGTGATATTGTGTGAATACTCATCTTATTGTGTTGCACATGGAGATTCTAATTATTCCTCTTTGTCCTGGAGTTTCAACTGATTGCAAGAAAAAATGCTATGATTATCTGGAGATGTGAAATTTGCTCTTTATCTTGCTCATAGAACAGTTAATATGTGTCTGAGATCCAATCCCTTCAGAGGGGATTTCTCCAAAAAACTTTGCTGCAAAATATCAAAACGATTTTTTCCATCTTAATGGCAATCTCTTTTGAGATGAATAATCTAAAAAGAACATAGCAAAAAAAATGCAACCAGACTGTCATTTATGAATACAAATTTATATAGTGGCATATGCCATTGGAGAAATCAGAAATTCATAACACACAAATTGGTATTGGAAATACAAAAATCATTTAAGAGTCAAGAAATCAGGTTGACAGCACCACAAATGTTTTACTTAGTCTGAGCAGGTGTGTTGTATCCAAGAATAACAAAAGTCCTATAGGACACTGAGACTGAACGTCGTAAGACTGTGCAAACATGTCCAACACTGTTTTCCATCCACCAATAAGAATCTGCAGGAGTCCTCAGGAGGCCTAGGGGACAATAAAAGGCAGGAAAAAAACATGCAGACTCTTCTTTCTTTTAACCTTCACAGCCAGCGAGCATGTGATAACAAATAGCAACCCCAGAGGGGTTTTGTTCCTTCTTACCTAGAGGCATGATATAAAAGGTTAGTAAAACACACACAAGGCTTTAGTGAGCAAGTCAGAGAAACTGAAAGCAGAGTTTTGACTGAAGTATAATCTCCCATCAGTCACCAAATTATCTGATCCCTAAATGGAATATAAAACATAAATGAAAAAATTCTGTATCAAAGAGTTCAATCTCAAGTTCATATCTTCTACCACTCTTTATGTACTATTGCCACCCACTGGAGAAGCACCACATTCAGTTACAAGTATGTAGCTGGGGGAGTGCAGAGAGTAGGTGAGGCAGGGATACTCCAAGGGCTTTTCTTTCGCCCAGATAGTTCACGGTCTTGGGATCCTCACAGGGAGCTGCCCTGGTCACTCAGGGGCTGCGAGGGGCACCTGAAATCTCAGTCTCCATCGCTTCCCCCAAGGAGCTTCATTCTGCCACCTGTCTGCACTCTTCCCATCCAGCTGCCTTGCTGTGTAGTAACGGATGTGCAAGAATATCTGAGCAAATGGAAAGGTGTTGCTTTAAAGTGTAAGCATTCTGGCACGAGGAACGGTTACAAATAATGGGCCAAATCACAGATTCTCCTCAAATGACTGGCTTCCTGTCCTTGTAGAATTAGCATTAACCCCCTAAGTTATTAGAAGATTCTGTGCCTACCTGGTGAGCTCTCCAGCCATGAGACACCAATTCTGGATGTTCATGAAGCAGAAATGTAAGTTCTGCCCCAAACTGCCGGAACTGGTCTCGAGTAGTGCCTGACTAGTCAGGAGTTTGCGGATCTGGGCTCCCTCAATTCAACCTATCCTGAAAACTTCACAGTCATCTCAGGATGCTAAGCCAGGCATTCCTCTCAATGCCCTGCTCTGGAGACCAAGTCACAGCCTCACCTCCAGCTAATATACCACTGCGACCTGTCTGTCCAGTCTTAAGACTACTGCCAGATTCATGTCCATGTAAACTGGTGTTTCTTTGTTCTAATGATTATTTCATAAGCTAAGTAGAAGCAAATTTTGGTTTTTTTTCCCTCCACTTGCCCTTGCGATAGTGCCACCAACTTCTCTCACCTCCCCTGTCTAAATTATTCCTCTCTCACTCACCCATGACGCCAGTCATTCGTTCACTCAACAAATATTTCTGGAGTGCTTGTTACGTGCAAGGCACTGCTAAGTAATCCGAGGCCCAGCCACACAGGTTCTGTTCCCAGGGAGCCTGGAGTCCGTTAGAGATGCCTAAAACCTTTCATAGTTTATTCTTTCTAGCTTTTAGGACCCAAGTGTTTCCAGTTTGGAATGTTCTCAAGAGCTTGGGTCTCTCTACTACAAATATTATACAATGTGAGTGCTATGTTACTTGCTCAGTGATTGTGGTAGGCCATGCATCAGGAGGAGATTGCGTCTTACACCTGAATACGGAAATGGTGTCTCCAGTTCAAAACAACATGACATGCATACTTACATTTTTGCCTAAGACAGGAACCAAAAAGAAACACAAAAGCAAACTGTGTACACACTATGTGAAAAATCGTTAAGCTGCTATTTGAACACTAAATCATTTTAAAGCCATGTGTTTATGGCCTTGTCATGTGCTGATATGGTAAAGTAAGTGCCTGAGCTACCAGAAAAGAACCCCCCAAAAGAGAAATCCCTGAAATACGGTACCAGGAATGGTGCCTTCATCTGCTGTGAGTATTGGTAGGCATCTGTTAACTGATTTCACTCTGGCCTGGGTGTTCTAATTTGCTTTATTCAAATGAATCGCTTATTTTCCTGAAACCCTAGCACAATAAAAACCCAACAGCTAGCAAAGCACATGTGCTTGTCTATTATTGGACTGGGCAAAGCCTGCGATAGCAGAAGTTTGGTAGGTTTTTTAAGCATCCATGGCAATATAGAAAAGGGCCATGCTGCATTGATCTTGTTTTGCAGCATCCTTTGACAGGGAGGATGTCCTGACACATCCTTGCAGCATAAACTAGTGGGCACAGGGACACCTCTCTGAGCCTAGGGTGTGATGCATCACTAACGTGCTCTGAGGCGCTTGCCAGGTCCCTCCTTTCCCCAGGTTTCAGTCACCCACTTCCGTAAGGGGGAGTTCTGCCATGCCTGAGGTCTGAGGACTGACAGGAGAGGCCCAAGATTTCCCCTACGAATTACAGAGAGGTGTCCTAGTCTAGAGCACTTTGAACTCCCAGGTGAAAAGGGCTCGGGAAATGCTAAGTACAATTAGAGGCCACAGAGTACAGGCTGTCAAGTGGATACAGTGAGCAAATACATCCACTGTGCTGATTACCAGAATTTTGAATGGACTCTGGATGTCAGCAGTTTGAACTGTGCTGTCCAGAGGCCCAGGAATAGCCCAAGCAGAAGAAAGCTGGAGGGGGGTGGGGAAACAAAGGCCCGGAATCCCACCGTCTCTCTAAGATCTGCCCTGTTCATTCCCCAGTCCTCTGAACTGCATCAGCTAACTTAATTGTCTTAACTTCTGCCCCAGTTCTAAAGCACTTGCTTTCTAAGGTCAGTCTTCCAGAAGGAGCAACTGTAGCTCCTGAGGCTCTTAAAGGGATCCACAGAAAGAACTACTCCCATCCTCTGGGGCTCTCGGTGGTTCTTTGTTGAATGAGGTAGCTCAGTTGAGTTGATGCAAGTGATGTGTGCCTTCTGCCGCTCAAAGCTATAGTTTTCCCTTTTTAATCTGCAAGATTATAAAAATACCAGTATTTTCCCCGTTATAAAAATGATTTTAGGAAAAAAATACAGATGGGTCTTCTCCATTAAACTTCCGTTCCATCTTGTAAATTGTTGTGAACTCTGACTTCCAGATTCAATTTTTTGACTTTAGCGCCTTTGAATGTGTAAGTGCCCTCGGCGTCACTCAGGATGTTGATGTTCCGCACAGTGCAGTACTGTCTGTTCACGTTCTTCTCCACCCTGTCTGGGCTCCTTTTGGGCACATCCAGCTTGGTATTCAGAGGGTATTCCTCCAAAGTGTCCTCTGTGGGCGGTTTCTTCCTCTGTTTCTGGCACTTTCTGGTGATGAAACAAGCCACCAAAAACACCAGAAGTAGAAGCATGATAGCAGCAAGTGCACTGCCAATAGATGCCCCAGTTTGGGACAGAGAAGCAGCTACAACTGGCTCTTGTATCTCCAGATTCAGGGACTTCATATTGGTGCCATTTTTGACTTGGTCCCCTTCATTGTCATAGATGAGGGAATCATCAAGGGTCAGCCGGCCATGAGGGTCCACCAGGTCCCTTCGATTGCGCTGCAGAGGGGCTGTGAGAGAGCGCTGGACCCGGGGTCCTGAAATGGTGTCAGGGCCAATGATGTAGATGACCTGGAGGTACCACTGGTGCCCTGCTTCCACCTGCAGGAGAAGGAAAATGAGACAAACTGAGCATGTCGTTGTCCACAGATAGCCTCTGACAGAAGGAAATGGACAGACAGTTGCTATCAGAAGCCTTGATACCTTTTATTTCTAAATTAGGATGATCTTGGTCCATCTATTCAGCTTTTTCTCTTTTTCTATCTGCATATAGGATAGTCAGAAGAATTTATTTTTCATAGTCTCTTTAGCTAGGTAAAAGTTTATGGTTTGTCTGTCTTCCTTGACAGCAGGGAAGTAATGGTACTAATAACCGCATTTAGTCCCAGTGACCTTTAACTGTTTGTCATGCTAATTTACAATTTATTTATTTTTAGAGAGGGGGGAGGGAGAGAGAAAGAGGAAAAGAAACATTGATGTGAGAGAGAAATATTGATTGGTTGCTTCTTGTACATGCCCTGACCCAGGACCAAACCCACAACCCGGGCATGTGCCCTGATTAGGAAGTGAACTAACTGGTGACCTTTTGCTCTATGGGACAATGCCCGACCAACTGAGCTATAATAGTCATAGTTAATTCCCTATTTATTGATGAGCTTTAACTGAAATAGTCATTCAACAAATATTCACTAAACACCTACTCTGTGCACAGTAAGCAGATACTTGACAAAAATTTACTAAATCTGAATACTCCCTGATTCATCCTCCGAGCAGTTACATTACCAAGGATTTTATGGCCATGTTATCTGCCCCCACTGAAACCCTGCTTGGTTTTGAACTAACTTCAAAAGAGTGACAATAGTTCTGAAGTCTAAGGTCATAGGTTACTATGTGGAGACAGGAAAAAGTGGAATTTGATCTTGGGAGTTCATGTTTATTACTGGGACTTAGAGTGTTTTTGCTTATCAAATACTAGTAATTCTTGCCATTCTAAATTATTGTATTATATTTATTACTTTGTTAAATGTTTTCCACATATTTGTGAAAATAGAGCCAAAAAGGCAGGCAATATAAAACAATTAAGAAAATCTAGAGTATCATAGGCACCCAGATGCACACAGTATGAAACTATATGCAAATTAAATAATTTTATCATTGCTTTGTTGTACGGGGGATAGATGGTGAAAATTCTGGGTGAATGATGAGCTTAACAACAATAAAAAAGATGTGCCAGCAAGATGCTGTATGAAGAAACTGACAGTCCAGAGATGATGTTTTCCTTTTTGCAACCTTTGAAGTGGCCTTGGTCCTATGCCTTCTCTTCTCACCACACTCACCTTGTAGAGTGCGTCTACTTTCAGAGTAAATCCATCCACACCTGGCATGCTACTGACCACGTGGAGATCAGGCAATTCGGAAGCAAAGTGGGCCTCAAAGGGCACGTCATGGAAGTACTTATCAGTCACCTCTGGCTGACTGCGGTCCTAGATTTTCGGGGGGAAAAAAAAGATTTAGAGAGATGGAACCACTGAACTGGCAGGTAGCAGTAACTGGGAGGAGCAAGGTTCTGTCCACTTCCCCCTTAGGTTGAGTCAGGAGAGTGTGTGTAGCAGAAACCCTCTCTTCAGGTTGGCCGCTGCCGCTGGGTGCCCAATGTCCTTTCCAAGGGCGGATGCTTGGAAGCCTCTGTGGTCTCAAAGCACAGAGTGGAATAGCCTAGATAAATAATTCTCAAGCTATTTGGTCTCAGGACCCTTAACACACTTAAAAACCAAGTCTTTTGTTTATGTGGTTTATAGCTCTCAGTATTTATTGCATTAAAAATAACACCAAAAAATTAAAAATACTTTTTTATGAATTCCTTTTACAATGGCAATGAAGAGCCCATTACATAGTAACATAAATAACTTTTTTTTTAAGAAAATACCTATATTCATCCCTACCTCCATGTAAGAGAGCTGGCATTATTTTATGTTTTTGCAAAATCTCTGGAAAAGAACTAGATTCTCACAACTTCTATTCAATCAGTTGTGATATGTTGTTTAGGCTGATATATGAAGAAAATGACTTCACACAGCTATGCACTTGGGAAAGGGAAAAATGTTTTGAATAGCTTTTATCAATAAGTTGATAAGTGGTATTTTTAAAAGGTTAGTTACAATGTGGGATCTGAAACCATATCAATAAACTTTCCATGCTCTTTACATTCAAGAAGAAATGAGTGTGAAAAAGGCAAGCATCATCATATTGTTATGAAAGTAGTTTTCATCTTGTGCACTGCCTGAAAGAGTGTGGAGGATATTCAGGGGTCTCTGGACCACACTTTGAGAAACACTGGCCTAGACTTCCTTTTCCTGGGCCACTGGTTACATCTTGTCTAGTTACCCACCGTAACCATCATATGTGGTAATATGTATTAAATTCAGCTGATCAGAGACAAACAAACAACAAATATATATATAAAACCATCAAGAATGGGGTTGGGTTCTATCAGCTTTAGATAGAATTCATAGCTGAGAAAACCTATTCAAGTGTCAGCTCTCTAACACTAAAAGTTACATACCAGCAGCAAGAATCTGTGCTTTAGGTGTTTGTTTGGCTGAATGCATCCATACTGTGGGCCTTCATTGTAGATTGTCCCCGTGGGATCAAAGAAAGGCACATAGCCATCCTTGCCAGTACAAAGATAGACTTTTTCCAGCTGGAGTTTGTAAGCAGAGTTAAGGTTTTGTTCTGGATTCCAAAGCACTCGGCCGTAAAGGATTTGACCTGGAAAGATTTACAGGCATTAATTAGGTCGGAATTTAGGTTTAAAGAGAAAGCAATGTCAAGGGTAAAAAGGATTTAACACACTCCCTTTGAGTCAAAAGTACCTCTCTATGAAGAGCTCTATGAATCTACATGCCCCTAAACTACTCATTAATTTATTTATTGCTTCTTTAACTCAGTATGTGTTAATAAGTAATTAAGGTGTACCAAGTAATCTGTTATCTGCAGGGGACACAAAGGTGAGTGAGGTGGCAGCTGAGAGGACAGAAATAATAGCTAAGTGATTGCTAAAAATAGCTAACATTTAGTCCTGGCTGGTGTGGCTCGGTTGGTTGGAGTTTTGTTCCGTACACCAAAAGGCTGCAGGTTTGATTCCCAGCCAGGGCACATACCTAGGTTACAGGTTTGATCCCAACAGGGAGTGTACAGGAGGCAACTAATCAATGTCTCTCTCCCCCTGCCCCCCCGCCGCCTCCCCCCATCCTCCTACCTCTTTGTCTAAAAGTAATGTAAAAAAAAAAAAAAAAAAAAGTCCTTGGGTGAGGATTAAAAAAAAAAGCTAACATTTATCAAATTCATACTATTTGCTTGGTACTATATTACGTCCTTTCCATGCAAGAACTCATGTAGTATTAACAACTCTATAAATGAGGAAATTGAGTCACTGAGTTGTTAAGTAATTTGTTGAAGGTCATAAAGCTTGTAAAAGGTGAGGGTGGGATTCAAGGTCTAGGTACTTTGGCTCTAAAGCCCACACTATTAACCACCACAATACTATGTTGTTATCAACAATAGAGGAAGGTACATAACATTAAATAAGCATATAGCTGAACACAGAAATCTGCCTGGGGAGAGGTATGGAAGGATTAACAAGGAGACAATATTTGAGCAGAACCTGAAACATGAGTAGGCATTTGTCAGAGCATTTGCAATGGAAAGGAGAGGCAAGGAGAACATTCTAGGTAAAGAAAACTGCAGTACAAAATACTGAATGCCGAAGGGCACAAGTCCCGGTGTAGCTACTGTTTCCTTAGTGCCTGCTATGGCAACAAGTTCTTCACCTACACTACCATATTTAACACTCCTAGGAGCCCAAAGAGATAGGTTCAATTACTATCCCTGTTTAAAATAACTTGTCCAAGTTTTCCTATCTGTGACATGAGGGACAGGAGTTGAGTACATTTCCATCTGGGCTCCAAACTCTTGCCCAGAGCATTTACTCTGTGGTAGGTCAGTGTGACTGGGTTGGAGGATGCACAGAAGTTCCCAAAGGAGAGGCTCCTGTGAAGATGGATTAATGATGCTGAGGATTTCGGACTTAAGTAACATGTAACATTGGAAAGCTTTAAGCAGGGGTGTAATATCAGCACACCTGGGCTTCAGAAAACAGAATGGAGGAAAGACAAAGAGACTGGAGATCAGGTAGGGGCTATTTTAATGCTCTGTGACAGATATTTAAAGTATAGCTGTGAGGCAAGGGGATGGATTCGAGGCAAGGAGTTAGATTCCATTCAATTTAATGACAGATGGGATGTGGGAGGTGAAGAAGTACGGTTTTCTCCTGGGGCACCTGGAGTATGGTGATACAGTCAGTGGGGACTGTATGGGAGAAGCGCACCTGGAGGGAGTTAAGTCCAGTTCTAGACATCTCTGGGTGTCTGAAAGACATCCCTGGAGAGGTCTGGTAGTTCTAGATTGTATGTGGAAATGAGAGATAAGGTAGGCTTTTATGGAATAGCTGTGGAGTAGTAGGAGTCTGGGAAATTCAGAGTAAATGGATGAGACAGGCTATGGGAATGGCCAGGGGTAGCACTGACATGAGAAGGAGCCAAGCGTGGAAACTGGGAGCAACAATACAGAACAGGGTCCCAGGGCAGGAGAGTAGGACGTGGTCAGAGAGGCAAGATGGTGTCAGGTAAGGCTGGCGCACAGGAAACCAAGTAGGAAGAACGTGTCGAAATCCATGGATTTGGTGTCATTGACAAGACAGAGTTCTGAGCTCTGGAGGGACAAACCCTGCCTGCACTAGGTGGCTGGATGCGTGATCGTGAAGAAAGGCCATGCAGACAGTGTATGCTCATCACTCCTTTAGGAATTTCTTCAATGAAAAGAAAAGGAGAAAATGAGCTGAAGTTTAAAGTAGAAGTAGGGTTGAGAATTTTTTTTTCTGTTAACAGGCAGGACTTGGATGTGTTTTTAGAATTAGAGAAAAAACTCAGATATGAAGAAAAGATTAAAAGTAAGAAAAAGGCAGAAGGGGTAATTGAGAGAGGAAAGGCAGGTCTTAAAATTAATGTATTCATTCAACAAATATTTAGTAAGCACCCAGGCACTGATGGCAGGGTGTGCAAATTTGATATTTAATCACAATCTGTATTCTCAAGAACTTATACTCAACTGGTAGAGAGAGGCAATAGATAAGTAAAATAATATCATATACTATAAAATATTAAAAATATGCTAAGTACTATAAAAAAACGAATAGTGGGAAAGTGAGAAATATGGCCTATGTTGGATTGTCTGGTATGGTCAAAGAAAGGCTCTTCGAGGAGATTAACATTTTTCTTAATTGAAGTTATTCATGGTGACAGTGGTTAATAAAATTATATAGGTTTCAGGGGTACATTTCTATAATACATCATCTGTATATTGTATTGTGTGTTGGCCACCCCAAGTCAAGTCAAGGAGGCTAACAATGAAGTGAAGCTGTGAAGGAGAAGAGCGAGATAGCCTTTTGAAATATCAAGGGAACCATGTTTGGGGCAAGGAGGAAGCAGAAGAAGCATTTCAGGTTGAGAAAGCATGACTGAAAGTACATACACATTTGGCACACCTTTGAGGGTAGTAGGCAGTGGGGGTCATACTGCAATCTCTCTGAGAAACTAGAGATAAAGCAACTTACCCAAAGTTAGTATGTTGGAATCTGGTTGGAAACCCTGTCTTCTGTGCTTTTTTCATAGTGCCAATAACTACACTGCCACGTACGTGATCTTACAATGAAATGACATGAAGGAAGAATATGGGTCTGTTCCTTGACTAAACATTGGCTGTCCTGGCATCAGCCCCAGGGGAATCTTCACTGGCAAGTTGGCTGAGCACTGATAAGCTGAGAGGCTAGCCCAGGGGCTTATCTGAAAACTTCTCAAATCCAGCCACAGTTTCTTTGTACAGGCGTAGGAAACAACTCACCCTTTGAGAAGGCTCCCTTGTAATCCATTTCTGCCAGTGACATATCAGATGTGTTGGGATCCATGAGAAATACTTTCTCATTATTGCAGAGCTGAAATTCAGTATTGAGAGAATACACAACTGGTACAGGGCGGTTGGTCTGCTGGAATGCAATGGGTATCAGGAATCTAAATGTGGGAGAAACAAGAGCTTCTTGAGAGTGGGTCAACTTTGCAAAGGTCAGTCAAGCTGCCCTCCCCTTCCCGCCCGTCTCAGGATTGTGAACAGCACTTTGTTGTAGGTGTTAAATATTTACTGAATGAAGAGGCGTAGGTGTTAAATATTTACTGAATGAAGAGGAGAGGGACTACATTAGTTTGAGTCATTATGAGGTTAATCTATTCTTTTGCACAGAAATAATCTAATTTATTGCTAGGTTTCTCCAATTGCTGAAGGAACCGCTGCCATGGTGCCCAGCATAGCTTCCTCCTTCCCATGTCCTCATGCCCTGAGACTTTGATTCTTTTAACCTGATCAAAACTTATTTATCTTGTGTCTCACTCTTCAAGACATCACTAGACAAATGCTCTCACTTCCCCGTACTCCAATATCCCTGGAATTCTCTCCCAGTCTTTTGATGGTGCTCTTTCCTTCTCTAAGTCTGGCAGATAAGGGCTCCTCCAGCCAGATGATCTTTCTTTAGGTTCTCTACTGCGTAGTCTCTACTGCTTTGGGGCTCATTTATTCAACAAACGTTCACTGAGCTTTTGTTATGTGATAGACATTGTTCTCATGATGGGAATTCACCTGTGAACAAAATCCTCACAGAGATTACTTCTAACAGTGAGATATAGTTAATAAAATAAGTTAAAAAATAATATCCTATCCTAGAAAGTAACAGGTCATTAGGAGGAAAATTATGCTAGGAGAAGTTCAGTCAGATATTTTAAATACGGTAGTCATGGAAGGCCTCAGTTGAAGGAAAACATATATGCAAGGGCTTGAAGGAGGCAAGGGAGTAAGTTCTGTGGCTATCAGCAGAAAGCTCTCCAGGCACAGGAAACAGTAAGTGCAAATGGGGTAACAAGTGTGCCCGATATATTAGATAAAGAGCCAATTAGCTAGAATGTCTGGAATGAGGCAAGTGAGGGAGATGAGACCAGAGAGTTAACCCAAGGCCATATAAGCCTTACCTCATGTGGTAAGAACTTCGGGTTAAAATGTGGAAGGGTTTTGAGAAAGTGGGTGGGATCTGCTGTGTTGAGAACAGACTTGGGGGAGGAAGCAGGGTGGCCTGTTAGGAGGCTAGTGCAGTAATCCAGGTAAGTGATGGCAGTGGTTCTGGCCAGAGCAGCTACCAAATGGCCATGAAAATGATTTGATTAATATTTTTTTAATAGGAGAAACCCATAAGCTTGGTGGACAGATTAGATGTGAAGTAGAAGAGTCCCAAAGTAGGAGAGGAGTCAAGGATGTTTTTATGAGTTTGAGTGAGCCCTGGCTGCTGTGGCTCAGTTGGTTGGAGTGTTGCCCCATAAGCCAAAAGTTCCCAGGTTCAATTCTTGGTCAGGGCACATGCCTAGCCTGAGAGTTCATCCCAGTCCTGATGTACAGGAAAAGGCAACAGATCACTGTTTCTCTCTCACATTGATGTTTCTCTCCCCCTCTTTCTCCCTCCCTTCCCCTCTCTCTAAATCAATAAGCATGTCCCTAGGTGAGGATTTAAAGGAAAGAGAGTTAGAAAATGTATCAGCAGAGAGTTTTGTAAGTAGTCAAATAGTAAATATTTTAGACTTTGTGGCCCTATGGTTTCTGTTGCAACTACTCCACTCTGTTTTTATAGCATGAAAGCAGCCACAGATGATCTGTAAATGAATGAATGTGAATGTGTTCCAAAATAAAACTTGACTTACAAAATCAGGTAATGGGATGGAGTTGGCCAGTGGGGCACAGTTTGCCATTCCTGGCCTCGAAGGTGGGAACTGCCCTTGCCTGAGATGGGAAAGTGGCAGGAGGAACAGATTGGCTGGAGGAAGATGAAGGATTCAGGGACAGGCAAGCTCACCCTCCTGAGAGGCCTATAAGAGAGCTAAGTGGAGACGCCGAGTAGTCCATCTGATGTACAAGTCTGAATTTGAGAGGTAAGCCCTGGGCTGGAGGTGCTCCTTTGTATGTAGAACCATGAGAATGGATGATGAATGAGAGTACCAAGGGAAAAGAGAGAGAAGAGAGACTGTTTAAGCATGAGACAGGGCACTCCGGATTCCGACTATGGTCAAGGGAAGGAACGAGCAGAACAAACAGTGAAGAAAAGCTAGTGAGGTAGGAGAAGAACCTCCAGATCAGGATATTCTCGCTGATTGAAGAAAGTGCTCCTAGGAGGAGGCCATGCAACTGTTAACTGCTGCTAAGGTGTCACAGAATGAAGACTGACACTCAACCCCTGATCTAGTCATTGGTGACCTTGATGAGAGCAAGCTGGGTTGAAGGCTGTAAGCAGAAGCCTGATTAAAGTAGACTCAAGAGATGACAGAAAGAGCAAAATTGTATATTGTAAATCTAGGCAACCCTTTAGGGACATCTTGGAGGAAAAGGAGAAAAAAGGAAGGGTGTAGAGGGAGAACTGCAAAAAATCAAGAAGATTTTTTTTGAAAGATGGGAGAATGTACTTCTTTGAAGTGTTGGTTGAAGTAGTTCATAGAGATGGAAGAACTGCTTGTGAGATGTTCTTCTTAAAGTGGACAAGAGGGTTGGGGTTCCAGTGTCTGAGTGGAATGGTGGGCTTTGGATTGGGACTAGGACTGGTCATTGGCGCTCAGAGGTGTGTCTGCAGACCCAGGAAGGTGGGTAGATATGGTGGCAGGGGTATGCGTGAGCTATCTTCTGATGGATAGATATGTCGGTAGGGGCACGCATGAGTTCTCTTCTGATATCTTCTGTTTCCTTGGTGAAACAGGACACGAGGTAATCAGCTGAGAGTGAGGATGGGAGATGTAGCAAGTTTGAGTAGGAAGGAGAAGAAATAAAATACGTGAGAAGAGAGAATGAAATCATTGCTCAGGGAACCATTGAACTTCCCTGAGAAGCTCTGAGGGCTAACTTCAGATTAGTGAGAATGAAGGTAAGGTTTCCTGGCTTAGACCTTGCTGGACATTGTGCTGGAACATTTTCCCCTCCTCTAAATGCACTCCTCCACTTAGTTAACTCTTGGTTATTCTCCAGATCTCAGCCCAAACACCACCTTCTCTACATAGCTTATCCCTTTTCTTTTCCCTTCCAGGCTAGGTCAAACCCCTTATAATTTGTTCTCATTACACTGTAAACCTCACTTTCATAGTACTCAGCATAATTTGATATTTTGTCAAAACATTTCACTATCTGATGTAAATCTGCTTCACCTATTACAGGTCCCACAGTCACGGCCCATATCTATCTGCTCACCCTTATATCTTCAATGCTAGCCAAGCTCTGGACACATATTTGTTAAAGAATAATGGAATAATGTATGAGTGATAATTTCAATGCTTTACTCTTCCAATGGAGTCTATCTGACCTTCTTTACTTGTCAATCAAAGGTGCTCCAGTGAGTAGATTTGAGAGGAGTAAAGATGGAACTTGAGGTGTAGGAGAAACCCATACAAACCATGACTGACCTGCTTCAACAACTTTGATAGGACCATTAGTTGCACCAGGAGTTCATATACTTGAGTCAGGGACGGGTTTTTCTTGCTAATATTGGCATTACCAGTATCCACATAGTGCCTGGCACATAGGATATTCAATAAATATTTATTGATTAAATTGAATGAATAATTGAGTTGAGATGGTGATGATGATGATTTATAAGGTTAGAATCTATGGCATATCTCACAAAATTAGGCATAATATGAAACATAACTCTTTGGAATGAAGTCTAAATTCCCTGAGTCTGTCTTCATTATTTTCTGTGTTATACTTCTATTGCATCCACATAGAGCCATAGAGATGATCAAAAGCAAGGTTGGGCCCAGGGAGAAAGTCACTCTGGGAACAATGGGGAAGGGTTCAACTCTGAAGCCTAGTGTACTCAACAGTGCTCTTCCCTCTGTGGCTTCCCTCACCCACACAGCCCCGAGCCCGCAGATAGGCTGCTTCTTTTGCCATTTTCAAACCACTGCTCCTGTCTTGTCTTTAAAAAATAAAATGCAGCACTTACCCTGGAGGAGATCTTCTTTAATATATACACTAAAAGGCACATATAATATTCTTTGTAATAGAGAAAATCTGGAATTGTAAGCCAAATAGAGTGGCCACATAAATTGTGGGATATTCCTACAATGAATATCTTAATGTAGTGAAAAACAAATTACAGCTATATGAATCAACACAAAAAAAAAAAGCTGCAGAGAGAATTCAGGTAGTCTGAAATTTTTATATAGATATTTAAAAAAACACGTAAAACCTCACAGAGGTAAATATGAGGTGAACTATAAACCAGGATAAGAAATGATAAATACAGATACTGGACTAGTGATTATCTTAGTGGGGAGGTGGGAGGGAGAGCAATTAGAAGGGGCACTGAGGGTATTTAACAGGTACTGGTAATATTCTTTTTTTTCTCTGACTCCATTTGTTATAAAATGGAAACAACTGTGCCAGTCTTGTGGGGGACCATTATAGTGAGAAGTAAATGTTTAGAGTTTAGTACAGAACCCACCACCTAGTCCACAATCCACACATGGTCATTAATATCACTGGCAGTTATTATTATTCATTTTATCATCAGCATCACAGCCCAAAGGATATTCAATTCACTGCAGCTGCAATTCATATTAAATAATGTTCTATTTCTTAAGGTTTATATGTGCATTACATGTGTTCTTAATTTAAAAACTTTATATATATACTCTATATGGTCTCCTGAATTTAAAAACTTTAGTACATGAATAAAATTCCCCAGCATATTTCATTACACTTTTGCCCTTTATCCTTCCTTATTGCAGCCAGTCACCATTTTCCTGGTCACCGGCCCGCCCACGTTTGGCTGACTCGGGTGCTCTCCTCTAGCATTGCTCCTGCCGTCCAGCTCGGGGAGTTCAGTTTCCATTTGGATGAAGCATCTAGTATGTTCTTTGGAGATACTTATGCTTCACAGTCGTACTAAGGACCATCTCCAAAAATCTCATTTTCAAACTCCTGACTTCTCTAACTAGCGCCTCCTATCTTTCCAGCTCTCCTCTTCTTTCCCACTGCCTCATTAATTCTGCCATCACACCAGGACCTTCTTGACCACGTTTACCAGGATGTGGAGGAACTGGTACATCGACACACCCATGATGGGAATGTACACACGCTGTTACATATTTACAAACATTTCAGTGTGGCAGTTTCCTAAACAGTTTAAACATACGTGATCCAGCCATTCCATTACTAAGTATTTACACAAGAAAATAAAAAGCAAAAAGCATATGTCCATATAAAAGCATGTGTGTGTGTCTGTGTGTGTGTGCATCTGTATCTCCATAGAAGCTTTATTTATCATTGCCATAAACTGGAAACAACCCAAATGTCCATCAACCCATAAATAGACAAAGTATAGCATACCCATACCATGGAATACAACTCACAATAACAGGAACATAATACTGATACACAAAAATATGAATGAATCAAAATAATCATGCTAAGTGAAAGATGCAGAAACAATGTGTACTGCATAATAACATTTATATAACTTTCTATAAATACAAATGAATGTGCGGTGACAAAGCAGGTCAGGGGATCCTGGGGAAAGGGGCAGTTAGGGTGGGATGGGAGGGAGGGATTACAAAGGAGTACGAAAAAGCTTTTGGAGGGAGTTGATGTATTTTCTGTCTTAGATGTGGTGAGGTTTCACAAGTGTATATACAGTATACAGTTGACCTTTGAACAATATGGCGGAGCCCTGACCTCCACAGAGTTGAAAATCTGCATATAACTTTTGACTCCCCCAAAATTTACTAATAGCCTACTGTTGATGGGAATCCTTACCAATAACACAAACAGTCAATTAACATGTATTTCATATGTTTTATATATTACATACTGTATTCTTACAATTATGTAAGGTGGAGAAAAGAAAATGTTATTAAGAAAATCATGAGAAAGAGAAAATATACATACAGTATTTATTGAAAAAAATCCACATATAAGTGGACCTGGGCAGTTCAAATGTGTGCTGTTCAAGGGTCAACTGTGTGTGAAAATTTATCATATTGCATATATTCTTATGTGCGGTTTATCTCACATCAGTAATACGACAATTTAAAAACAACCCTCTTGGGCCCTCAGCACTGCACAATCTGCTGCTCTTGATACCCTCTGGTAAATTTATTTTCCCACTCTCTGAGATAACGGTATCACATCCTCCTCTTTTCTCAAACCTCAGTGTTCCTCACTTCCAGCTAATGCTTGGCTTCTCATTTCAAAGAAAGTAGATTTGATCAAATATCTACTTTGTCATCCTTACCCTCCCAGTCTGCTAACTCCTCTTTCCCCATCTCCATAGACTCCGTCTACCTTCCTCTTTCAGTGGGTGACATCCTCTGCTTCTTGCTAAGGCTAGCCCTGACCTGGGTCTCCCTCCGCCCCCTGCCCCTACACAAGGACTTGGCTCTGTAGATTTTCTTTCTCTCACTTCATTATCAAATTTCGCACCATAGGCCAATAGGGTTATTCCCACCAGCACACAACATCCTGAAATATTTTTCAACTTAAAACACAAATAAAACTTTCTTTGATCCCTCATATTTCTAGCCACTGCCCCTGTCCTCGATGACCTTTATAACAAAATTCTTGTGCACCGCTAAGGCTTTACTTCCTTTAGTTCACTGAACCTGCCCTTTGTCAAGATTATCATGGATGTCCGTATCGCCAAATCCAATAGCCAATTCAGCCTCTTAATTTGAAAGCCATTCCGAATTATCTTCTCTTAGTAGTAATGTCAGATTTTGTCCTTGACATTTTTTTTCTCAGAAATGTTTTTAATTTACTTTGCTCCGCTCCTAGAAAGGTGGCATTAGACTATAAACAGCCTGAGAACAGTGGTGATTTTAATCCTCTGCTAGAATTTCCATGTCTAGGCCAGAGCAAAGCCTCTAGTAAGAGCTGACTAGATACTGGTTGAATGAGTAAACATTGGTACAATGCAATCTCAGGTCTAAGGTGGGTACGAGCTGATGCATAGTTGATTCTCTTTATATGTGGTGGTTATGGACACTGAATTAGTGAATACTGAACCATTGTTCCTAGGGAAATACAGGATAGAGTTCCTGCAGTCTCTGTTCCCAACATTTCCATCAACTGATCAATACCTAACCACGTATGTGCTGTTTAAAGACATCTTATTTAAAATACATTGTCTATTTATAATCATAGAACGCATGGCAGCAGCACTATGGAGGCACATCATCACAGCCTGCTCATGCTTAGGAACACTAGACGGTGCTTCAGCACTATACTCAGGAGCCACTTTAAACAAGGAAATTGCCAGTGAAAAGCACAAAAATTGAAAAGCCATGGCACTAAATAGACTGTGAAAGGACACTTGTTACGGTACAAGAGCTGAAACAAGATGGCTGAGCGCTGCCTTGCTCTGGCTGAGCTGGGAATGTGTGCGTCAGGGGACTCAATATTTTGTCACTCTGCACGTTCGCACATGACTGTGAGATTACCCTGGAACTGGTTTAGGGTTTACAAATAAGTGTTAGCCTGTAGGCAAATTCATAAATAATGAGGATTGACTATTTCCCTACCTTTCTGGGGCATGTGCAGTGCAGGCCAAAGGCTTCTCTCCTGGGTCCACCCACGGCTGTGTGGGCTGCACAGTGCAAGGGATCAGGTAGATGGTGTACTCCCCAGAGTAGTCCTTCCTGGGAACAGGCAGAGCAGACTACGGTTAGAGGGAACAAGTTATGGGTTCCTCACTCACCCAGCAATACACGGAGTTCGTTGAACAGTTTTCAGATGGTATTTGTACCCCGCCTCTAAGAACATGATGAGCCTACAAACACAGTTTTCAGGAATTCATCACTGATTATTCAGATCTTCAGAGTATTATCCAGGTGCTAAAAGGAGCTACTTTCATTTATTCAAGTCCTTTTCATGTGGAAAGTTGAGAACAACACATTGTTTATAAAAACCTAAAAGGCTCAGGTGAAGATTGCACAGAAATGGCCACTTCCTGTAGATTTCTGTAAGCTTGCTGCACACTTTCTGCTTAGTGTTTCTTATTGGCTGACACCCTGTTCATCGCATTCTCAACTGCAAAAGCTTTATTAACAAACAGGTAACCCTGTGAGCTGCTGCTCTCATAAGGGAGGTGGCAAACACCTCAGAGAGCCCTCCAGAGAAAGCTCCCACTCCGATTTCATTAGCATTCGGTTTTGGGGCTCCTATCCCAAATTACAGCCTCATCCCTTTACGAAGCTGAAGAACAGTATCACTTCTCGTAGGAGGCTTATCGGCTGGGAACTTCCCTGTTTACGGCGGCGTACAGGATTCTGTAGGTCACGGCTCTGACGGCATGGAGCCTTTGTACCCCCGCCTACTTCACTTCCCACACTTGTCCTCGGGTAGCAGTCCAGCCCTGGCAGGTTGCCTGGAAGGGAGCCAGACAGCCAGATGCTTCAGGAAGATTCCTCAAGGGCCTTGGGAGGCTGCCATCTATTGAAAGAAGACTGTAGGGCTGTGAATCTTAATTTTAACTGTTGTGAGCAATCTGTAAATAGCCCTCACACCCACGGTTTATTCTTCGACCATTTCTTTTGTATTGTTTATATCTATTTATTACTAAAGTGATAGCAAAGATTTGGTAAAATAATAATAATAATAATAATAATTAAATAAGACTTTCATGGGACATCCCAGGGCTGGGTTAGTGGAATAGGGCAGGAGACAATCTAATCCTGGTGTGGTTTTGCCTCTGTTACAGCTGTATGGTTTTAGACAAACCATGCACACTTTCAGAGCTTAGCTTCTAAACCCCTTCATGCCCTGCCCTGAAAGTCTGTATGTCTATATATCTGCAGTTTTCCCATCTTCCTGCAAATCTTGGAGCAGCAGCAGAAAGTGAAACGTTGTACACCGTATTTGAAATGTGTGAACATTGACATGTATAATGTAAATAGTAACCCTTAATTAATAGAAGTGAGGCAGAGCTGTCTTGGCATAGTCTGGCTTTTAAAAATCAGGCCAGATTATGTCACTCCTCTGCTCAAACCCTACAGTGGCTCCCACTTCACTAGAGTAAAAGCTCAAGCCCACCCCTTGGCCTGCAGGGCCCCCACGATGGCCCTGCCCCATCTCCTTACTTCTCTACTGCCCACGGTTCTACCCCTTGCTCACTCCGCTGCAGCCTCTCCAGCCTCCGTGCTGTTCCCCGAGCACCCCAGAAATGCAGTCACCTCAGGCACTTTGCCAGGAACCTTGTCTTTAGATAATCCGCAGAGCAAACTCCTTCACCTGCTTCCAGTCTTTGTTCAAATGTACTTTCCTGATGAGGCCTACTCTGAACATCCTAATTAAAATGGCAATATCCGCCCCCCCACCCCCACCGATTCCCCTTCCCCTGCTCTGTACACTTTATTTTCCCACAGCACTCACTTCCTACCATGTTACACTATACTTGTTTGTCATGCCTACTCTTGTGCCTTCTTACTCTAAGTGCTGCATGCAGGGATATTTATTTTGTTCTCTAACACATGGTAAAGGTTCAATAAATATTTGTTAGACAAATGAGTGCAAGACAAACTGCATTTTCTCTCAAGCTTACAGTCCTACTCTTCCCCACCCTTAAATGCAATTTAGGCTGATTTCCCCTCTATCCCTGCAAATATGCCAAACACCGTCCTAGATGCACATCATTAATCCTGTTCTTCTTTCCCCCTCTTTTCTAAAACCTCGACATTTCTCATATTAAAAGGTAGAGCACCAGCCGCCTGCCTCCCCCTGGAAGCCTTGCATGGCTCCCCAGCCTGTCCTTGGCTCTCCATTCCCTGAACAGCTATGGTCTTGGGGCTTGGTATCGCCCACCGTGCACAAAACACAGAATTTGTGGTGTTCTTCACTTTTCCATTATCTCTACATTTTATCTCCTTACCTGAAATGTAAGCTCCTAAAGAATGTTTATTCAGGATTTACGGTGTGCTAAAACCTACAGTTCTCTGGATTCAAGAGAAATCAAGCATGTCCTTTACTCTTTGGAAGCTCACAATCTAGTGGAATAAGAGAATCTAGCCAGAGCATATACAGTGCTGTGTCTTAGTAGAAACGGGGACAAAGCGGGAACAAGAAGAGGGGCCTCTAGCACTGACAGGGAGTCAGGGAAGTCACAGAGGGTCAGCCTTTGAGCTGCTGCTCAGAGGAGCTGGAGCTTGGCAAGAGGAAAGAAGTGGGAAGGGCAAAGAGAACGGCGAAGGCATGGGGGTACAGGCGGGCTGGTGGGGTCCAGGGTTTGGGGAGACTTTAATGTGGTGAAAAGGCTGGATTTCAGATGAGGCTGGAAGGGGTAGGAAGACGGGCCTTGTCCAAAGAGTTGCACTTTAGTAGGTGGTGGGGGCCAGCAGAGGGTTTATTTATTTCTTTATTTAAATGTTTTAATTGTTTATGATATCGCAGTTATTCCCACTTTTCCACCGGCAGAGGATTTAAAGAGGAGAGTTTCTCTGCCCATTAATTGGGACAAAGTATTATGCACACATAATCTTATGAGCTTCTGGGAAACACCATCCTTAAAGACTGTTACATATCAATTTCAAAGAAATCATTACACACAAAAAACTACCTGACATAAGACCAAAAGCTTATAATGAAATCTTTCTGAAAATAATTCTTGGGACAATTTGCCACTTCTTAACTATAAAGTTAGGATAACATTTGCATGATAAATGTAGATCTTACTTGTATGATGTACAACATGGGGTAATATTTATGACAGAGTCCTGGGTCCCCATTATTTTTTCCATGGTAATAGTTTTAATTTTGTCTTTCCTATTCTTCTTGTTTACAAATGGCATAATTTACTGTTTTATCCAATTCCTATTCTACCTCTGTATTGGGTGTAGGATGAATAAATACTGTTATTTATTTTATAGGGCAGTGGACTATCGGAGTGACACCTGGACCTAATAATTAGAGATCCCGAGTTTTTCCCTGCTTGTGGCAACTGGAATGAAATTTCTTTATTTCAATAAGGTTTTAATTAGACACATTTCCCAGCTTGCCTCACAGGTAGAAGTACCACATGATTAAGTTTTAGCCCATGGAATGTGAATAAAAATGTTATATGCCCTGCCTGGTCCTACCAGGGGGTGAATACTTCCTGTTTTGTGGGGTCAGAAGCTGACCTGAGCTTCATTTGTCAGAGTGTAGCCAGAGTGTTGTCTCTATCTCTTCATCTTTTAAAATAGAAATGACATGATCGATTAAAGAAGATTTGGTATATATACAATAGAATACTTCTCAGCCATAAGAAAAGATGAAATACTGCCATTTGCAACAACATAAATGGATCTTGAGAATACCATGCTAAGCGGAATACGTCAGACAGAAAAAGGCAAGAGCCATATAATTTCACTCATATGTGTGATATAAAACTAAAAGCAACAAATGAACAAACGAGAAAAATAAACAAAAACTCAGACACAGACAACAGTAAAGTGGTTACCGGAGGGAAGGGAGGTGGGGTGTGGGGTAGTAAAGGACAAAGGGATATGGTAACAGAAGATGATTTGACTTTAGGTAGTGGCCACACAAGGCAAAATACAGATCATATATCACAGGGTACCTTGAACCCTATATAATTTTATTAACCAATGTCACCCTAATCAATTTAATTAAATAAAAGAAATCCAGCCCTTGAAGAAAAGCCCTATTTCCCAGGCCCTAAGAGAATTGGCGAACATTTCAGATCCATCCCTGAGTGCCTCGCCCTGTATGCACCTGTTATAGGAGCTTGTGGCCCTCCAGAGCTGATACGGAGAATCAAAGGTCTGAGCGCTCCACAGCAGCTGCAGGCCAAATTCAATTCCTCCCAGGTGGTCTGGAGTCAGTATGAAAGACTTCACATCAGGCAGGGTGTGGTGCTCCATCACAAACTGTCCTGTTTTGAAGGGAAACACAAACACTTACTTGTGATTTCGTTGTGCTCGTGGTGGTGCCCTACAAGTCTTAGAACTGAATTAATATTCTTCAATCAAACAGCTAAGGCTATAACTACCATCTCGTCCTTAGAATATATTCCATACTGGTTGGGACAGCATAGCACCCCACTTCAGCCTATCACCTCACTTGTGATGGTCATTATGATCACAGAGATTTGTAAACACTATGAATGTGCCTTGAGAAAATGGTGTTAAAGAATATATTCATATTACCAGGAGTCCTTATGTGACAGTCAATAGTGAATAAGCTCAGCATTGAATTGCAACCAACATGTTTCTTAGAGGTAGAAAGGTCTCAGTAGTTTATAAATAGAAAGATCATATTTGGATTAAAAAAATCTCATGTAGCACCACTTAAGTTCTTGGTGAAGGGAGACAATGGTAAACACGATTCTTTAAAACTGCAGTCATACAGTGTCATGAATAAATAAAAGCAGGGAGACTATTCTAGATTAAAAGAGACTTAACAGATATAACAACCAAAATGTAACATATGAATCTTGATTGGATTCTTCCTTCTATATAAACAGATATAAAATAAATATAAACTAATATACAGACAAATAGAAAAGACATTTGGGGTACAATGCAGAAAATATGAATAGGGACTTGATATCATTAGATCTAAGTCAAATATCTTGGACGTGGTTAATGTTATTGTGACGTGTAAGAGAATGTCCTTGTTCTTAGCAGATGGCTACTGAGGTACTTAGGGTAACTTGACATGAAGCCTACAACTTGTTTTCAAATGGACTGACAAAAAGTGGGCATGCATGTGTGCATGTGTACACACATGTAGCAAAATGTTAACAATTGTTCACTTTGCTTTTAATTGTTCTGGTGTTTCAACTTTGCTCTTCGTTCGAAATGTTTCTTAATAAAAAGGAGAGGAGAAAACAGCCCTGACATTACCTCGGAATTTGGCATGGGTCTTGAATTCAATGACGAGACGCCCATCCTCTCGAATATAGATTCTTAGTATCTGAAGCCTTGCGGAGAGCACACTGTCTGTCTGGATTCCTGGGCAGGCAACCACACACAAACATCCAAGTCAGGGCATGGAGGAGACCACCCAGGCAGTAACCCACATGGAACCTATAGCCCAGTGACTCCTCTGAGTAGACAGACACATTTATTTGAATGTAACTTAAGAAAAAATTTAAATATTCACATGAACACAAAGTCTACTTAGAGACCTTTGCCAATTAAAATTGTAGGAAACGTCATTCTACTTTGTTCTTTTCCACAGCTCTGTGCTCCTTGACATAGTTTCTTCTTTATACCTATCAGGGCCACTGGCCCAGAAGAAGGGCCCCAGCCCAGAGCTCAGAAAAAAATGGTTTTTAGAACTTCTTATATCAGCTTTACTCCAGGATGTGCCTACAACACATCTGCTTCACAGCCCATTTTGTTTTCCTCATCAGGGTACCTTTTAGCATGTAACACAACCATAAATGAGGCCTGAGGGCCTGCATTCAGTATTCACACCAATGAAGACTTAAGGAATGGTTAGCTTAGAAGGCCAGCTATAATGCCATGACGTCAGGAAACTGTAGCTTTAGTAAGGGCAGTTGTAATGATAATACTGATGAATTCAGCATGACCAAACATTAAAGGGTAACCAAAGGAAGTGGAGGGAAAGTTAAAAAACAAAGCCAAAACCAAACCAAAGCTCAAGAACTTATCTGACCTCAAGTATGAAAACTTCCTGAAGTTAGTTTTCTATGACAAATATAAAGCAAATAAACAATTTAGCTTAAATCATTTAACAGAAGAAAGCACTATACTTTACATGACTGGAAATGAGGCCTGTCTAAAGAAATCTCGTGTGGCCTTTTTAGTTTCTCTGCTTCAGATCAAGTAAATCAACCCTAGGAAGGGAACGAGGGAGAATGAGAGCCGTGGAAGTAAGGGAAACGGGTTGGGGGTAATTTTTGGAGTACAGGACACTGAAAATAGGAAAAAAGCAAAGCCAAACCAAACCGAAACAAACAAACAAAAAAACCCCCTCAGAGCCATTGTTACGAACAGAGGAGAGAACCATGCAGTTTTAGGGGCATTCAGGCGGCAGCCGTGGGAGAGGGCAGGTGGGGATACGTGAGTGACGTGTGAGCTCCCAGCTGAGGGGCTGGAGCCAATCCAGAGACAAGGCTGAGTTATTTGAAAAATTCAGCATTGAAATCCTTGAAGCAATAGTAGGGTTATAGTCCTTTTATTTAAATTTTAAGAATGCAACAAAAGAGCAACCTCTAAGCCAAATGAATAAAGTGAGCTAAGTTGCTTTTCATATATTTTTCCATTTCCACCAATCTAATTTGAAGACCTGTTTTGTGCCTGAAACATGAATCACACCATTTTTAGCAGAGAGAAAATGAACATGATTATGTTCCCCAAGAACACACACTCCTCTGAACCCCTCACAGGCAACACAGGACCCATCTGTCACTTGCCACCCTCTACTCTGGCCCCTAGCTACCTGGGCTGAATTGCTCATCACTGGAGGTCTTCCAGCATCAACATATATGGACCTCATTCTTTTTGAGGAACCACAGATCGGCACCCTTTTCAAACTCCAGGCAGGCCTCCTTTGCCTGTACATGCAACGACAGGATGAAGCATGTAGCGACTGTTAAAAGTCACTCCTTAATATCTCTCCTCATCTCGCTGGTGCATAACATAGGAACAGCTAAGATGTCAATGGGTATACCTGTTCTCCACAGAACAGTGTCGTAGAAGAAGGAAAACTCCATCTCAGTGTGGTGCTCCAAGGAGGCCCAGCCCCTGGGGGCTGTCACGTAGATGTAGGACACATAGAGAGGCACGTGCACGGTCAGGAATGACTGGGCGGAGTCTCTCACCTGCCAAGCAAATGGAGAGCACACAGAGAGGGTTATTTCTTCCCTGGGATGCAAAGGCAGATGGACATCACCTCTCAATTCAACCTCCACTCACTCACTAATAATTATTAAGTGCCCACGATGGTGGCAGGGACCAGGCTAGAAGCTGGGTTCTCAGCAGTGGAAAAACCGAAATCACTGCCTTTATAGAACCTACAATCTAGTAAGGAAGAGATATCAATTAAGAAAAATAAAGTAAATAAAGAGATGGGAAGTGGCCAGGATGCTTCTTAGGTAGGGTGGTCAGGGAAGGCTTTTCTGAGGTGGTGACACTTGAACAAATAAACTTTTGAAGAGTGAGAAGGAGCTTTGTCTCCACTTTTCAATTGCTAGAAGCTTTGGCTGAGGTTTTACAATTTCACAGTTATTCCTAAAGGACTGACCGGACAGATCCGCCGGATCCACTGTCAGTACACAGTCCCTCACTGACTGTACTTCCCAGTGTCCTGCAGGATAGCCTGAATTAACCCTGCTCGCGAAGCTGGCCAAGTCTGGGTCCAATGTGTGTTGACTGGGATGTTTCAGTGAGTACTCAGAGCTCCTGCTCCAAGAACACAGGTCATGGGATTTGAATATCATTTCTAGGAATCTTAATCAAGAGACAACTCAGAAGGGCATATGCTTGGATAATTTCCCATCTCATACAATGCTATGTTGAAATAACTCTGAGAAGGCAAAATGTTGTACTACCAAAAGAATACTTCTTCTAAGGGGGTCCCTGTTACTGCCAGTAATTTGGCTCAATAATTTTTATTTTACTGTGCAATGAACAAAAACTGGATAAAAAGACAATATATGAGCAGAAGGCCTCATGAGGAAGCTGTGTACATGTGTGTTTGAGTGGGGGACTTGGTTTATTCATTTTTAAATGTGTTTAATATTTTCCTTCACAAATACATCTTTCTTTTATAACAAAAAAAGCTTAGTTTAAAACAAATTTATTTTCCCATTGACCCAATACACTATGAAACATATTTTTTTTGGTTGAGTACACAAATGTAAAGTGTTTCCATGGGTAAATAAGGGAGAGAGCCAAATGCTTTATTAATATTTAGGACATCAAAATTTTATTTTTCTAAAGTATTTTTTCATATTCAGTATTGCCAGGGATTTAAAATTTGATTCCAAGCTTTTCAAAAGACTCTATTAATTCCATATTCATTGAAAAATCTCCTTTAAAATGTTTACTTCTGTTTTCTTTAGAAAATTCCCAGATTTTATCTGGGTCTCACACCATATTCTGTCCCCTTAATATACAGGTTTTGCTAAATATACTTACCCTAATCTCACAATTGCTGATATTAGAACCATCATAACTTCTCGAGTTGACTGGCAAAGTTAGTTTTCCCTCCTCTATTTCTGTTTGTTTTCCTTAGCCTTCATGTTACTTACTAATTTTAAAAAAGAAAAACATCTCTGACTAATAATGCATACCTATTTTGTGCCAGATACTGTGTTAGATGCCTTCCCATGTTGAGATTATTAGTGACTATTTCAGATGAGGTTCATAGAGGTTATGCCTTGTCCAAGTCTGTTAAAATTTGATAAAGATATGAACTACAGTTTGGTTCTAAGTTCTATATTCTTTCTACCATATGTCAGCTGTTCCAACTATTTTTAAAGAAACAGACAACGGTGCAGTGTTTCTGTGCATATATTCTTTCCATGTTGGTTTAAGAAATGGGACATAAATCATGGAGACCAGAGAATACTAACTTTTGAGGGACCATGGGAGGAACCAATTACTCAGTTTTGCATTTTCAAAAGTGAATGGAGGATATGGAACTGTAGAGATGGAAAGAAAACCTAAGGGTGCCTTTAAATGTTATTCAGTAGAGGGCAGTAGTGTATACAAAATGAGAGTTAACCAAAATGAGAGGTGTCACAAAGAAACTAATCTGATTAAAAGACATTTTCCCCAAATGATCACTTTAAGTCTCTCTGCAAGTTTCTTCTTTCAGTGTGGTTTAACCTGATTTGAAATAAAGACCAAACACGTACCTTTTAGTTCTTTGAAATAACTGCTCAAACTTGTGTAGAACTTGGCTTTAGAATTATTTTCTCCCTGAGGACCCATTAGCCTAGTCCCTTTGATATAAATGCTCTTCTAGCACTATGGCTTCTTGTTGTAAAATTTTCTTTTGTCACTAATGTCTAATGACTATGTAAAAGGGTCTATTTTTGCATGAGTTGCTAGTTTGGAATAGATATGGAATCAAGGTGGTTTAAACAATTCTCTTTCCATAAGGCTTAGGAAGGCAGGGTTCTACCTACCTTCTAAAAGACAGAGTGTACCACCCATTCATTATTTTGAATCATTTCCCCAGGTGGGGAAGAGAACACATCTACTTAGTAATAACTCTACCATAAAATATAAATCTTTTTGGCTTTCCAAAATATACCCAGAGGAAAAAACATACATACTCAGAAAGGAAAGCATCCGATTTTTATAGAAATGACTACACCAGACAGCAAATTTTTTCCCACACTAATTTGAACATTTCCCATATTACTTTTCAATTAGTTGATTAGATGGCTCCAAGAGGCTCTCTCTAGCCATGAGGCTGCTAACATCTCACTTGGGACACTATGTTATAAAGAAGGCTCCCTCAGTTGGCTGACCCCGTTCTGGGAATCACTGGATGCAAAGTGCTAGCTGAAGTGCTTGGGGAACAAACCGGTTTCACATGGCACCCAGGTGCACGCAGCCTTCAGACAAGCCCCTGGAGCACCCACCTGGAAGTCGGCAGTTACAGACCCCCCACAGACGTCAATTAGCTCGGTCATGTCGTAATAGGCATCAAAGGTCCAGACGCAGCTCTTCAGGTTGAGGTGTTTGTAGAGCTGGATGGTCTTGGGCTCCCTTACACTGGGGTCAAACTGGAAGGGGCGGTCGTAGCCTGGCCCCATGGCCGCGCTGTCGTAGACCTTGTCATCCAAGAACCCTGCCTCTATGGGGGAGGGAGGGACAAGGAACAGTAACTCAGTGTGCAGACCTGCCCCTCGAAGGCTGCCCAGAAGCTGGGTGGGGAGAAGAGAGATGTCCTTTTGACATTGAGAGAGCTTTCCCTCCATCTGAGAGTATTTATAGAGCAACCCAGGGCTCCCAACATGCACAGCGAGAAGGTGAGGGGAGTGGTTAAATGACTGCTGCCACTTGGTAGAGTGACTGTGTGCAGACTCCTCTAATGGTCTCTGTGCAGCAAGCAGGGGAGAATAGGAACAAATGATACCATAAAGGAAAAAGTCAGAGCTTATGTCAGAAAAAAAACCCCTACACACTGAAGCTTTGCCTGTCACGGCTGACAAGTCTGGTTCTGTGCTTCACAATCAGTCCTTGAAGAAATGGATTTATTATATGGATAATTTGTTGGTAAGTTATTATATTTTCCTAAGATCAATTTTTATAAAACAGCTTTCATGAAAAGCCAAACAAACATCTGACTATGACGACCTTCCCTCCAAAGTTTCTGAACTCCTGGGAAAAAAGTCTTAATTTTGTATTAATGAGTAAATAGCTCGCTAATGATGCTTGACGAAACCTTCTCTGCTACAAGCAAAAACTATGAGATCAAAAGCTGCCAAGCAACTGAACCATTTTAAATTAAGGAAGACCTTCATGCAGCAGAGAGCTAAGTACAGCTGCAGTTTCAGAATATTAGGGTGGAGATTTTCAGAGTGCTGAAGACAATGATAGTATTCTGAAAGAGCTGATATATTTCTTTGGATGTTTGACAGCAGCACCCCCTCCCGCCTCTGCCCCACAAGGATTAGGATCTCCTTTCCCGCATGTTGAATTTAATTGTATTTAAGTAGGAAGAGATGCAAACTTTCAACTTATAAACATAGTATGTTTCTTTCACCAGCTGCATAGGTGGACCAATTAAATTTTTATGTGTAGCTCAGTGGCAGGAATAATTTACACTCAACTAATTTCTACCATATAAAGACCGTCACCACCCAAAGTGATGCGTAATGAATATGAAAGAGCATATGAATGCTTTTCTATCTTCAAAAACACTGTTCAAAGATTCATCAGTCCTGATGGGAGTAAGGGAGCATTTAATGAGCACTTGCTAAGGTAAATGGAAACAGACAGGATTCTTTGTAAAGCAAAGGATCTTGACATGCGTGCTGTGGGAAAGCCCCCACCTCAGCTGTTGGCTCCTCCAGGGCCGTACTGATGCAAAGTTGCTCAGCCCGAGGTCATGCCCTAGCCAGCATCCAGTGACCAAGCAAGTGAAGTGGTGTAGAAAGGTCTGTTCCTTGGGGCTGACAATAGGACAAGTCTGTGGGTGGGCTCCCTCCAGAGCTCCTTGAAGAGTTGGTTGAGACTTTATCAGGTTGCATTGTGGTTTGACTTCTCCCTGCGCCAACCCTGCCTTGCCCCTTCCCTTTCACACACGTTGGTCCCTAGTAAACACCTTGGCCCTTGACTCCATTTCTGCTCCCGCTCCTGGATGAACCCATCTAATAGCATGCAGCATCTGCACTTGAGCTTTCTAAAAACGTTGCAATAGTGGGATTTGGGGGCACAGATCCAAACATGCTCACTAGAGAGGAGAAAAATAACATAAATTTACCATGGCTGGCACTTTAAAAATGCCAACACGTTTAGGTCAGCCACAGAAAGACAAATAACAAATGATTTCATGTGTATGTGGAATCCAATGAACACTATAAATGAACAGACAAACCAGAAACAGAGTCATAGATCCAGAGAACAGACTGATGGTTGCTAGAAGTAGGGGGGTGGTGTTAAGGGACTAGATGGGAAAGGTGAAGGGATTAAGAAGTACAAATTGGTAGGTTACAGAATAGTCACAGGATGTAAAGTACAGCACGGGGCATATGGTCAATAATATAGCAATAACTATGTTTGGTGTCAGATGGGTCCTGGAAATATTGGGGGGAACACTTTGTAAAGTATATGATTGTCTAATCACTATGGTGTACACCTGAAACTAATAAAAATAATATCGAATATAAACTGTACTTGAAACAATTAAAATAATTGAAAAATGATAAAAATGCTAATGCATTTAATCGTCACCTTTATCGGTATCAATTGTTTCATCCTGTTACAGGTAAGAAAAGAATAGCTGGGGGATGTCCAGCTATTTTTGTTCAGTTGCGTAAGGAGAGGACTCAAAATGGGAACCTAAGTCAATTTGATTCCAAAGTCCTTGTTTTCCCCTGTTGATGTGATTGTCTGAGCTGCTTAGGTTCCGTTGCCTGCTCAGAAGGAAATCTACCAACCAAGAGATCATGGGGATGGGAAAACGCGAAGGGCAGGGTCCACCTGGCGCTATCCCGGAGGCCCCCTGTGCTGCGGGAACGGGCAAGCTGGCGCAGAGCTCATCCCTCACCTGCAATGCCTCTCAGGTCGCGGGTGGTGACGAGGTTGGAGCAGACGTGCTGGTGTCTGTAGATGGACTCAGACAAGAGGAAATGCAAGTTGTGTAAGGGCATGGTCGAGATAAGGGGCAGCATTCCGTCCTGGTGTGGGATCTGCACTGAAATGTGGATCCTAAGAGGAATAGGCAGAAATAAATGTTTAGGTGCATGCTGTACACAGTTCACAGGGTACATGTCTTTCTCAAAACCCGCTTTGTCTTGACCAGTACATTTACCGACTTTTTGTTCCCTAAAGTTTTTCATGTTGGAAGATTTCTCTCTGAGCATGAGGGCATGTTGTACATGCACGGTTGTTTTTTTTCCCGAGAGATCCTTCAGACTCAGGACTGATAGCAATCAAGAATCATAGATTTTTGTTGTTCTATACAAGAAAAGATAACATCACAACCACATGTTACTTTAAAGCTTTTTTTTTTTTTTTTTTTTTTTTTTTGCTTTAAATGGCAGCTTTGTTTCCTTATGAACTAAGGCTGAGTGACGGATACAGGAGCTGCTCCCTTCTCAGTCACAGTGAGGGTGTGCAGGTTGGGTAGGGTCAGCACTCATATTTTTAAAGATTTTTTAAAAATAAAAGACATCACTGAGTTCTTAAATGCTAAGGCCAGTATCCCCATCTAGGAACATAGCTTAGAAATAGTAATATTCCACTGCTCATATTTCCCTTCCCAAATGAAAGAACCTTCCCTCTCTTCAATGGCCTCAATCTGAAATGTGTTCTCCCTTCATCTACTGGGTTGGCCAAAAAGTTCGTTTGGTTTTTTTCTATATAATGGCCCTAGTATCGCTTAGTTGTCTTTAACATCATTTGAAACAATTTTGTTAGATTGTACCATGAAAGCTGTCATGTCAGCATGCATTTAAAAACAGCTTATCAAAATTGGTGAATTTTTGTGCACCCATTTTAATATTGAAGATGGAAGAAAAAAGATGCAACATGTTCAGTGAATTATGCTTTAATATTTCAAGAGAGGAAAAAATGCAACTGAAATGCAAAAAAGATTTGTGCGGTGTATGAAGAAGGTGTTGTGACTGATTGAACATGTCAAAAGTGGTTTGCAAAGTTTCCTGGTACTATTGACATTTTGGCCAAATAGGTCTTTGCTGTGGGGCTGCCTTGTGCATTGGAAGATGTTTAGCAGCTCCCCTGGCCTCTACCCACTAGAAGCCAATAGCAGGAGATAGCCGACATACTCAAAATATACAAATCAATAAAGTTATTGGTGAAAATGAAAAATGTGTCATTTATTTTACAGAAAAAAAAACTAACCAGACTTTTTGACCGACTCAATACATTCCTCAGCATCTAAGTGCCTTTATATCAGAAAACCTGTAATTTATTTATATTGGCTGCTATTTCGTGTCTGTTTTCAGACTCTTTATCTTGCCTCCCCACTCTGAGGACCAGACCATTTCCTTCACTTCTTCTGGTTCTCTAGAGCACATAGTTTACAATTCTAAATAAAATATAAGCTTAATAAATACTGGCTGAGACTGCACCACAATGGAACTGTACTTACAGGCTGCATTTTTTTCATTGTAATGTTTAAATTTTCAGAATGTTTATTGAGGTCCATTTTGAGTTTTATCAGCTTGTTTCTGGGAGCAAAGACCCATGTTTATAAGAGGAATTAGAATTTTGGAATGTGAAGAGGATACTTCTTTTGCTATGAAGGGGTCAGTAGTACTCCAGGTATTTCTGTTATTGCTTTTTAACAAAGATAGATTTTACTCTGTTAGAACATAAGAAGGATTTGCATATTCTTGGCTATATATTCAAATCTGTTCTTTCCAGGCAAATGAACCCTTTTCTCTGAATTCAGTTGTTCATAAAGGCACACATATAAGTATTTTGAGGTTTAATGGATGTGTATAACACATATGAATTCTTTTTTTTCTTTTGCAATGAGAAAATAAAAGTATTCATCTTCTACAAAAATCATGGAGGCACAGAGAAATATAAAAGCACATCTGTCCTCTGAGGTGTCAGGAAGCACTGTCCTAGGCACAGGGGATACAAACTAAATAATTGTGGTCCCTGCCCTCACCATCAGTTATGGGGACAGAGAGAATGAATGAAGATGATGCTCTGTAAGGGGCACGTGGAGGCCACAAGAGCTGGAAGAGGGAGCTTCCAAATTAAATTGGAGGAGATGATGAAAAAGTTCCTAGAAGTGATGCCATGATCTAGGTGAATATAGTAGGACAACTGGATTTAACTACACAAAGTACAAGGAGCAGTGAGAGTTGGAGGTAGGAGTAGCAGCATGGCACAGGCATGCCACCTGAAGAACTGGAAGCCCTGGGGAGGTCACAGTGATTGTCTGTCGTGGGGGGAGGGCTGGAAGGGGAAAATGACAAGGGGAGAGGAATGAGGACAGGATAGGCCAGGGGCCAGATGTTAGGGGGCCTTTGAGGAAGTTAACCTTTCTCTGAACCATGCATCCATCACCACTATACCTATTTTGCTGAAGCATCGCTCACAGGTCTGCCCTGCCTAGAAAACACACACAGAAGAGCTAAGATTCACTCCACCCTTTCATTGTGGAAGGTACTGCCAGCCTGACCTGTTCGGATGCTCCTTGTGTTTGACATCCAGGTATTTCAAGGTTGCGATGAAGGACTGAGCCTGGAAGCCTCTCGCTGTCCCAGCCACCACTGGTGTGTGGCAGATAGCACTGTCTGTTCCGATGGTCACAATGTTGCTCCGTAAGGGGGTTCCCACATGACCCACTTTGTCTACAGCCTTTGCCACACAACGTACATGGAACCTCCGGCTGAAGTAAATGCTATCCAGGACCTACCAGGAAGAATAAAACATCTCAAACATGTGTATACTACTTAAACAGCTCCTTAAAATGTACCTTCTGGATGATATGGCACAACCAGTTCCTGATACAAGATAATCTGTGAAGACAATCCATCATCCATCCAACCATCCATCCATCCACCTACCACTTAAGTATTGACTTTCTACCAAGAGACAGGCACTATGGACCTAAAGCCTAAGTCAGTAAGTCAGACAATGAGCAAGTAGACACAAGTGAAGCAGGAGCCCAGAGGTGACTGGTTACCAGTGACAGTACTGTTCTCTTTATATTATGTGTTAGGTTCACCATAAGGACCACTCAACTGGTTTTCAGCCCTTCTAACAAGAGTCATTGGCCTCTGAGTCAACTTTGTAGAGAGCATGGTGTCAGGATAGAGAGGAGAGATGTTTCCTTCCCAGGAGCTGTTTTTTGTCTGTGTTTCCAACTGCCTTCCCTCCTCCAGCCCCCACTTAAGGGCCACACACGTTGCAAGGGTTACAATAACATGCAGGCTTGAAGTTGAGAACTTGGCTTCTGGCATCTACTGGCCTTTGAAGTGTCTTTCTACAGGTTCTTTTATGCTCCCAAACATATAGAAGCTGTAAGAGTGCTTAACTCAACCTATGCAGAAACAATGGAGCTCACCAGAACTCTTGTGTTTAGAGAAGTGAAAAACAGGAATAGTTAATTAACAGTACTGTATGCCATAGACCTCCCACAAAACAAACATATAAACTTATAAATTCTACCAATGAAAACAATTTTCATTGAAGTCTATGAAAAATTAAAGAAGATTTTTTTCTATTAAAAACTTTAAGTTGCTGCCAACACTTTATTTATTTATACATGGACTTAGTTATTTAGGAAGGGATTTAAGGCATCTTATAAAAATGCATAAAATACAATGATATGAAATAAATAATTGAAGAAATAAAGATAGAGCATAGGAAACTGGGGTAAAAGTATTAGTCACCAATTCATTGCAAGAAGGGAAACTGAAATATAAAGTGAAATTATCAACTTGGTACTTGTTAAAAATGTATATTTGGCTCAGGTCAGACCAAACTCCCTTCATGGTTTTGTTGAATGGAGAATTAGATCCTTATGAAACAATATACTGTTAAGTTTTGCTGTTTAATGTTTTTAATAATATAGAAGATATTTTAAATTTGAGTTTGGTTATGTTGTAAAGACTTAACCTTCTCTCCTTTCTGAATAAGCTGCACCAAAGCAATGGGCATGAGTGACACCTCTGTATCCAAAGCCTCCCATCTATGTTCAATAGCTCCCTGCACTATTACCCCATTAAAGTGATGAACTTCTTCTTCTTTTTTTTATCCTCACCTGAGGATAGTTTTTTTGCATTATTTTTTAGAGGGGTACGGGAGGGAGACAGAAACATTGATGTGAGATAGAAGCATCAACTGATTGCCACCTGGATGCTTCCAGACTGGGGATTTTTCCAGGCACTTACGTGCCTGGATTGAGGATTGGGGATCGAGGCTTGGACAAACAACCTAGCTTTGTACCCCGACCACAAGTCAAACCTGCAACCTTTCAGTTATAGGAAGACTCTCCGACCGAGCCGTACTGGCCACAGTGAAGTGGTGAACTTTCTAAAGTAAGAACCAACTGGGTTTGGACAGGAAAAATTTAGATAAATCCAGTCTGAAAGAAATCTCTCATTTCCAAAATTATTAAATGCACTAATTTTAGTAAAAAATCATTGAGTGCTTACTATGTGCCAGATATTGGGCTGAGCCTGCATCTCCCTGTGTTCAGCTCTCTCTCTGGAGAGGATGAACCCCCTGGGGTGACCGGCTGTCCCTGGAGCACACTGCTTCCCAAGCCTGGGAAAACCATCGCTGTCCACTGCTCCCTGGCGGTGGCAGAGATGCTGGTCTGGTCTAACTCTCTGAGGACAGCAGCCGTGTTGTGAACTTCCTTCTATGTTCTCTCAAATGACTTTGTACAATGCTGATCATTCAATAGAATTTTGTTTAACAACTGGTCCCTACTGTGTGCCCTCAGTGTGGTAGAATGAATTTACAGTTTAATACTTAATGAATGATTGAGGATATGTGAACAAAAAGTAATCATTAATTGTACTTACCTGGAATCTTTGACTTATAACATTTATATGTCACTTTTATATCTGATTTGTTGATGGCTTTTCCAAGTGGCTAAGCGAAAGAGGCGATTTGGGTTTTGTAGATCAGGAAACTCAGACTCAAAGAGGTTAAGTAACCTCTGAACATCACATAGTTAAAAACGGGCAGAATTAAGGTTTGTAAACAGGTTGCCTGAGTACTAGCTTAGTTTTTTCTACCATACCATATCACCTTCCTTATACATAAGAATAAAAAGACTGCGCATGTCCTGTGTGTACCGGCTCATTCATTTATTTTATTTCACATGCCACACATAAACCTCAGAGACTTTGACAGGCCCAGACCCCCAGACCTACCATGTGGTTGACACTGGTGAATGGTGTGTTGTCAGTGATGGTCTCAAAGGGAGACCGGGCCCCGTTGCCATCAGTGGGGGCAGCCACTTCCCAGCTGAACTGCACGGACGTCTGGTTGATGCCAGCCTCGCTGCAGCGCCCCCTCATGACGGCATACCTGGGGAAATGAGGGTCGCAGGGGGTGACACAGGCCAGCGGATAGCCTGGGGAGGGGGATTTCTTGACTCCTTCCTTGGCAACCTCTTCCACATGGTCATAGTCTGCAAGTGTGACAACCTGCAAAGGGGCAACAAAGCTTCAGCCTGGGTTGAGTTCGGGAAGATCAGGTAACTAAGGCTTCACAAGACTCACAAGATCCTTCACTTCCTGTGATTCTTGCAAATATAACAGAAGTTTACAATGCTTTATGGGGCATCCCTAAAAGATATTGTAGACCTTAGGCAGTGGGGAAGATCCTCCTACTACCCAGCTAAAAGCTTTATTATCTCATTAGTATTATTCTTAAATCGGAGCTCTATCACTCATGTGAAAATTACTTTTATTTTCCTGCACACTGTAACCAAAGCTATATCACGAACGACAGTTACTAGTTTAAGGTTGCATTAAATTGTTAATGGTATGCAGTCGCATATATGGCGAAACAAAAGTAAATAATGGTACTGTATTTCTTCCATGGTCAAAGAAGAGACATTTTGAAATGATCCTTCTAGTATACGAGACTAGTCAGGGGATGTTAGAAGACTCATTCTGACTGCTTCATTATTATGGGTTAAAATCCTTTGGCAACCTCTGGGCATCTTCCTCCTAACTGTAAAGTCAGCGCATGCATTCTATACATCCCCAAACTGGGAATCACAGCGCTACATTTTTACAGATACTTAATTTTAAGTGTGTGGCTAGTACGTAGGATAATAGATATGGGGTAGCATTATTATTATTTTTTTTTACTCTTCTAGGTCTCACCAAAGAAGTGAGAAAGTCAGTTGCTTTGTACTTTCTGTCTTTATCAGACTAAGGTATGGACGTGGTTTGGACTTACGTTTTATGTTGGAACAGAATTTCTCACCCTCTGTAGTGCTGATATTTGTGCCAAATTATTCTTTGTCATTGGAGCTGTCCTGTGCATTTTAGGATGTTTAGTTGCTTCTCTGGCTTCTACCCACTAGATGCTAATAGCACCTAATGAGATAGTCATAACGACTAAAAATGTCACCAGAGACTGCCAAATGTCCCATGGAGTCGGTGGTAGAAGATGAGCACATTGCAGGGGAAGGGACAAGATTATTCCCAGTTGAGAACCACTGTGACAGAGGAATGAAGAAGCATATAGCACTGGAAGTCCTACTTATCTCAAGTTCTCATCTACTGATAACTGATACATAAAGACAATGCGTTGGTCCGAGCAACTCACGATGGGTGGTGCTGGCAGGATGAGACTCCCCGCGGCCTCCTGGTCTAGAATCGTCACTGTGGCCGTGGTCACTTCACCAAGAACTGCTTCCACTGGGTCATCTGGGCCAAGGACTACGGAGAAAGATTCATGCCATTCCCGGTCTTCATTGGACAGGATCTCGACTTTGAAAAAGATATGATCCACACCTTCGCCAAGGATAGAACACAAGGACAGCAGAGATCCTTGTTAGGTGACAGGCCCAAGACAAGGCTTCATGTTTAAATAGTCCTTTTAGAGGCTTTTAAAATTTCCTTTTAGAGGTTTTCTATAAATGCAGTGGCTGCTGATCACACTGGCCACATCCTTAATGGGGAATCTGTTTTATAGACACAGTTTCACCTGTGGTAGAGGCTCAGTATTGCAGATTTACTGTTCGACACCATATGAGGATTAATGGCCCCTGCTTAACACTAGCTGGCAGTAATAAAAATCTATGATCCAAAATACACTCCACCCTGGCATGAGGGGTTTTTTGCTTAATTTTTCTTTCCCCTTTGCACTTAGGCACGCAAGACTGTGTGGCTGTGAGTGTTTGCACACAGACGCCCTGCAAACCTGGCTCTGGAGAAGCAATAAATAATAGCTCAGAAGCTGCCTACCAGGCCAGTCTCCACAAAGTCGAGAATGGGATTGGCCTTAAAGGGGGAGGGTTAGAATATTAGAAGCCCCTTTCCTTTTCCTAAAACGATCCTTTGAAGATGCAAATATCTCTGGCAATAAATTTCTCTCCCTCATTTCCTACAGACATCTGGACTCCGTTACTTCTGAGACCTATATCTTCCCCAGATCCTTATGCAGAAAATGAAAAAGTAAAGACACTTGGAAGAGAGGTCCTTGTGCCGATGTGGAGGAAGGGCATCTACCTCCCCAGCAAACATTAACCAGACACACAAAGGTCAGAGCCGAGAGCCCTTTAAGGCTCCAGGGTAGTGAGAGGGACATGCAGTGACCTCCAAACTCACATTTGAGGAAGTCATTTTCTCCCTCCACTTGCCAAGACATCTCTGAAAAGACCTTCTAACACTGCTACCCACTCCTGGCTATATTGCAGATGATGCCACCATCTATAGTAGCCATTTTACCTTACACTGCTCCAGAAAGTTCTGTGAAAAAATCCATCACACAAGTCAATCCCTTCCCTGTCTCACTCTTCTCATCAAGTTAATACATCAGACACTTAAACAGCTTATTGTGACTTCAATTCCGTCTTTCTATCTTCTCTGACCTGTTTCCATAGCTCTCTCTAGGATAAGCCTTTCTTTGAAACGCCATAATTATTTCCCTATTATTACCGTATTATTTCCTAGCAAATGTTAAGCCCTTTGGATACTGAAACAGCGCCTTCTGGATTTTAGTAACCCCGGCCTAAAGAGCCCCAGTGCAGTGGTTTGTACCAATGTTTCTTGAATGATGTCAGTCATACACATTTTTTTTAAATTAAGTATTCCTATTATTAAACTAAATCATAGGCTAACAACAACAACAACAAAAATCCTTTAACATTTTAAAAACTTACTGATTTGAGAGAGAGAAAAGAAGAGAGAAACATTGATTTTTTTGTGCCACTCACTTTTGCATTCATTGGTTGATTCTTGTTTGTGCTCTGACCAGGAATCAAACCCGCAACCTTGGAGTATCAGGACGACACTCTAACCAACTGAGCTACCTAGCCAGGGCCAAAATCTCTTTTCAATGAAACAAAATGCCAACATGTTCTAAAGTCAGTGGACTGCTTTAGTTCTACGCCATTTTTACTAATTAAAAATTTTGAAGACTCTCACGATCTAAAATGTGTGCTTAAAAATACTTGATGCTATTGGACAATTTCTCTCTTTCATTTTTCTGTTCATTGCTTTCCTCAAATATGAGATATCTGGTTCTCTACTGAATAAAATGCACAGATGGGGACTGGCATTCAATTACCGGGACTGAACTTCAGGACACGGCTCTTCGGATAATAATCCACACCAGACTGGGCAGACCCATCCCGCGTGCTGCAGCGGACCTTGGATGTCCTGTTTTGATCCCCTCTGCGGATCACCTTGATATTCAGAACGGCTGTGGCATCTGGCCCCGAAGGTTCCCGGACTTGATATGCAGTTTCTTCAAACTCAATGGTCGGGGCTGAGGAAACAGGACCAGGGAAACAAGATCAAGTTAGAAAAGCACAAAAGGTTCCGACTCGCATGAAACAAGCCCTTGCTAATGACAAGAGGGAGTTTTTCAGTTAATCACACAAAGACAAAATGGCTTGCAGTTACAAAAATCAATCAGTTTTTACCTCTAAGCAATGCTTGGGAAAAAGAAATTTATTTGTGATTTTGTAGAAGTTGTTTCTCATACATTTCTTATTAAAAAACAATACAGTGAGAAAAATATTTTTAAGAATTTTGGAAGGCATGATGCCCAAGTTTCCACCTAGCACTACAACTCACCGAATGTTTAAAAATGTGCACTATATTTACTAAGGGACTGATAGTAGGCAACTGATAAATATCAACTGCATGAACCACCACCTTTTCATTTATGATACATGAACTTCAATTTATCTCATTTATACATGACTTAAATTTACAAAATCCCTCTCTCATCTCTGGTCCTTTGGATCCTCCCTTCAGGTGCTCTCACCTCCCCCCACACTTAGCTTTTCCTCTCTTCTCCCAGGTTATTTAGTTAAGAATAACTAGTTTTACAGGGTCCACAGGGTACACTCTGATTTGACATTTAGTGTCGCTAGCTGTGGGGTGCCCTCAATTGTGAGTAAAGAAAGGTGAGAAAGGATCTCCTTGCTCTAGGCATAGGGTCTGGGCGCCTGGGGGTGGGGAGTGGAGACAAGCCTGAAGTCAGAGGAGCAGACAGGAGCAGGCAGGGGCTGTGCCTGCTGGGAGGCTCAGGGTGCAGGCTCAATTCTGAGATACGGAGTATTGCCAGAGTGGGGACCAGGGGTCAGAGTGAGTCTAGGGTAGGAATGAGAATGGGAGTGAGGCAGGCCAGGGCTGGATGAGGGGAGGGTGCAAGGAGGGAACACAGCAGGTCCAGGCACCAGGTAGCAGCTAGGTTGGGATTACAGCAATATTTTTAGAAAAGATTTTATTTATTTTTAGAGAGAGGGGAAGGGAGGGAGGAAGAGATGGAGAGAGTGATTAATGTGTGGTTGTCTCCCACATGCCCTGTACTGGGGACAAGGCATGCAACACAGACATCTGCCGTGACTGGGAATCAGACCGGCAACACTTCGCAGGCCAGCGCTAAGTCCACTGAGCCACACCAGCCAGGCCTTAAAGAAATTTTTTAAGTGACTTTCCTGGACTGTTGTTGAGCCCTTGAGCCTGAGGAGGCGGTGCTGGAGCAAGGCTGGGCTGGGCTAGGCATGGCTGCCACAGGAAGTCTGCTTTCTGCGCCAGGACCGTGTGGCTGACATTCCCCATCTGGGTGTATGGGGGACACAGAGCCAGTTACTGTTTAACCACTTCAAGGTGGAACCCTCTGCTCTCCTTTCCGGCTCCCTCAGTCCAGACCCAGGACTCTAACAGTTATCTGTTTTGTGCCAGATATTGTTCTTCATCCCTCTGAAGCCAAGCCAATATGCTTTTTGCTAAGATCTAATATATGTTTATTTTTCTATAACTTATAAAGTAATAACACCATCATCTTGGTTTTCTGTAAACTAAGATCTTGCATTTGTGTGGTTCTTCACATATTAAAAAGCTATTGGGTTGGCCAAAAAGGTCTTTTGTTTTTTTCTGTAAGATGGCTCTAGTAGCACTTCGTTGTCTTTAACTTCATTTGAAACAATTTTGTTAGACTGTATTGTCTAGACAGCTGTCATATCAGCCTTTTTTAAAAAAATAATCACAATTGGTGAATTTTTGTGTAGCCATTTTAATATTGAAGATGGACGAAAATACACATTTTTGGCATATTATGCTTTATTATTTCACAGAAGGTAAAAACACAACTGAAATGCAAAAAAAAAAAAAAAGATTTGTGCAGTGTATGGAGAAGATTCTGTGACTGATTGAATGTGTCAAAAGTGGTTTGAGAAGTTCTGTGTTGGAGATTTCTCGCTGGACAATGTTCCATGGTCGGGTAGATTAGTTGATGTTGATCGCAATCCAATCAAGACATTAGTTGACAATAGTCAACGTTATACCATGCGGAAGAGAGCCGATATGCTCAAAATATCCAAATCAATAAAGTTATTGATGAAAATGAAAAAAAAAAGAATAACTAGTTTTAGTGACTGACAACAGGAACATAAGACTTCTGAGCACAATCTGGTTTAATGTACTATTGTTATTGCTAGGGTACAGTTAATAATATGATGATAATTTTTACTAAACATTTCAAATTATGCCTTTTTTTCTATTTCCTTTGGGGAAGGGCAAAGTGGTAGTGGTAGAGGGAATAAGATAAAAATTCAGAGCAATTATGAATTTTAAATATATAAAAATATTCAGAAATTTCTAGAGTCTCTATTGTTCATTTCTCCCTCAGGAAGTCAGTTCTTTCTAATTGTGGAAAATAAGCCTCATTTGAGATTGCATAGTTTCTTTTAAAAAGAATGTTCTTTGAAACTTGGGAGTGTCCCTGTAACAGGATGTGAATGTTATCTCTCTGAGCTCCAGTCACTGGGTTTTCTGTGTGACGGGGAGAGGTTCACTGCAGGATTTAAACCTGACTTTCCTTGGGTAAAGGAGTAATTAAATTTCAAGGCTTACTTTTTAATTTTACTCAATGTCCAAATTAGTCCCTGATTTTATATATGCGTAACATGACTCTTGGTATACAGTAAATATTCAATAAACTTGCTATCACTATTTGTGATATTAGTATCCATTAATTTATTAAAATATCTATTTTAATAAAACAATTATGTCCCAGTTTGGAACAGATTTTGTTTTCCCTCATGCTTGGGTCACTCTTTACTATCACCTGACTGAATAATTATTATTTTTTTTTAGGTTAGTAGGCCAGGTCAATGAAAGAAAACAAAACTGAGAAACCAGACAGACTTTTCTAGGAAGGTGCACTGTTTAAATCAGCTCATTGAATTCAACCAAATCCTATTGTATTTCCAGTTCTGCTCCTGAACTGCAGTGACTTAAATAGTTTTATTCTCTGTCTTAGTATCTCTGTCCTAGTTTTTAACCATACTCATTCTTTATCTCTTGGCAGTGTGGTAGGGAATAAGAAGATTAAAAATACCTATGAACTTATTGGAGGTTTATAGAGGATGATCATTTGCTGCCAACATTTTAAATAAATGCTACAGGACTATTATCAGTAGGTACTTTTATAGCACTTTCATTTTTCAAAACACTTATAATGACATTATTAGTAATTGTAATGTACAGTGAGTGTACATTAGAGTAACTGTTACCATCTTCATCATTGGATATGGTGATGGTGGCCATGTTGTTCTTTCCAACTCTGGCTCCACTCCAGTGGTTTCCAAGAGGATGGCCAAGGTAGACCCTGAACTGCTCCTCAGGTTCAAACATGGAGTCATCATGGATAAAGACACTACAGTTCTTCATCTAGAGTCAATGGCACAAGACAGATTAAAATTTGCAGTGAGATATTAATAACTTGCTTTCTTTTCCTAGAAAATGATTTTCCTTCTCACAGCATCAAAGAGTCAACACAAATTCAAAAGGATCCAAACAATTTCATTTATAAAACAGAATGTTTGTATCTAAGAGTTCCTGCTTGTGTGGGCCCTACCTACATGTGGAGCCTTGCATGAGAACATTCCAAACAGTTTTGAATTATTGGTAATGAATTATGAAAGAGAAGACTAAATAAAGAACCCAATGATGAGCACGTGTGGAATATTTGCATGCTTTCCCGTTTTTTGCTTGGGCTGGCCAATATATTTGCATGTTACAGATGGGTGGATTTCTGATGTGGGGGTTTAACATATGGATTAGACATCCTGGAAAGCTGAATGATGGTCCTTTTCCATTGTAAAAATTGATTAGTCTTATAAAGAACTTTGAAAGGCTTCCTGTTAGGCTTAAGATACCTTTATGCTGTAGAATTCCCAAATGTGCTGCCAAATGTTGTCACATCTGAAAACAGCTGAGTAATGAAAGTCTCAGAACTTAACCTAAATCCCTGCTTTATGGAAAGAAATTGTGTTTCTCAAACTGAATATTCTCTGCTGAGGATTGTAGCCTTGAGAAATGTAACATACGGTCACAGCATTTTAGACAATGGAGCAGCCCTTTAGCAGAATCATGTGGCAAGTGGGATTATTTTTAGTCGAACCATTTAAAATCCACTATACTATGTATTGCACAGGCTATGTGGGTATAGAGAACTTTCATTCTCATACTTCTCAATTATACTAAATGTTGGGAGAACATCCCTGTAAACATTTAATGTGGCTTGCTAACTTGTTTTTAAATCTCTGAAGAATGTTCCTTTATTTTTCTGTCACATCTTTCTTACAATAAGAATTTCTTTATAGAAAGTATGAATTTAGTGGCAACTCCTCAGGATACCTTTAAAAGAAGACATTCTAGTAAATGATAAGTTCCAGACATATTGCTTAGCAAGTCAAGAAAATGAAGATTCCGAAGCGTGCTTATGACTAATGATAGACTGTCATGTGGGTAACATTTAGACTATTAGGCTGTATTTCTTTATAATTTTATTAAATGACATACTGTCTCTTGAATAGGTAGAGAATGCTTTTTTGAACTTAAAACAAATACAGACACGTAGACTTAAAGATAAAGATTGTATCTGTAGTATTTGTGTGTATGTTTAAACACATGTTTCAACCTGCCACCAGTAAAATTCTCATAAAATACATAACTGAGACAGGGCTTTTATGAAACATAAATGTGTAAAAGACTGGGAGTTCCAAAGAAGAAAGCTATGACTTTTATTGTTATTAAATGTGAACAGAAGAAGAATCTGGGGTAAGTGGGGATGGATAAAAAAAAAAACAAGTCTTCTTACACTAAACTTCAAAAGGACTAATCATAACCCCCAAATTTGATGCTTAGGATTGTATCAAAATCAAAGACTTCTGTCCAACTAAGAACACCATGGTCAAAGGTAGTAGGTAAGTGAGATAAAGGGAACATACGTTTATAATATCTAAAATGTCTAACTGGTAAGAAATTAATATTTAGAATATATAAGAAAGCACAGTATACCAGTAAGAAAAAGACAGCAATGTGATAAAATAAGGAACAAAAAATAAAATAATAATTTTCAGTAAAAGGAAACTCAGTAAGGTAACAAGTATATAAAATATCATTAATTAGAAAAATGCAATTTAAACAAGATGCAACTTTTACATATTAGATTAACAAAAAGCCAAAAGATGAGTAAAACTAAGTGTTGAAGAGAATGTTGGGTTTGGGCAATACTCATGTACTGCTAGTGACATTCTGGAAAGCATTCTGACACTACTTTTTTCAAAATTAAGCACATGTATGCCATATGGTACAGCAATTTGGCTGCTGGGTGCGTAGCCAAAGAAATTCCCAGTCACCTCTGTGAGTGGATATGTATGAGGCTGTGCACAGCCGCATTAGAGGTGGCAGAGTGTTAGGAGGTGACTGGAGGTTATCACTGTGGTTCCTCATTGTCTATTGCTGAGAGCGGGTGGGTAAACATAGTAGATACATTTCATAAAATACTAAGCAAAAGTCTGAAGCAACAGACTTGGTGTACACGTAAATGGCATGGGAGAATAAAATACATTGCTGAGTAAACACAGTAAAATTTGAAAAAAGTACAACACAATGGCAATTTTATGAACTATAAATTATGCACATAAAACAACAAGCATTTTTTTAAGAGCAAATACAAATTAAAAGATACACATTAAACACAAGAGATTGATGAGCTTGACGGTGGGGAAGGGGATGTGGCTGGAGAAGAGGGTTGAAATAAAATGAATAAATAAAATTTAAAAAGAGCCTTGAATGAAATGAGAACTTGTGCCTTGAACCAAAGGGTACAATTGACTCAGCTCTCTGCAGCTGAGATACAAAGATGGAAAAATGTGATTCTCACTCAATATATATTTTTGACATCCACTGAGACACAGGCTTTGATTCTGGGGCAATCATACTTAGTGATTGGAGTTTCTCAGGAGTTCCCATGCACTATGCATTGCTATTAAAGTACACAGCCAAGAGAATATTCTCCTGATTTGAATCTGCTCAATGTCTTCCTATTTGGTCCTCTAAGGAGGTATGTTGCCCTGGGACAGGAGCCCGGGTATTAGAGAATTGCCTCTTCTTCCTTAAGGTAGCACTGGTGGAGTGTCTCCAGCTCTAGTGTTGTTTCAGATGAATAGGAGCCTTATTCATTTGATTCTGTTAAATTCCAAAAATATTACCCATCATCAGTTTCCCAACTTAATGATAAATGTATTTGGTTTTAAGTGGAAGACCAAGAAGATAGACACAGAATGTATGATATTACTAAAAATATTATCATTTAGTAAGAAACTTTCTATGGTGTTCAGAATTTGTCTAAATACTTCACTATGAACAAATGAAGGCATCAAGGAAGAACAGAATCTCATCTTTCAGCAACTACAGGTCCACTTACTTTCTCCCCTTTCAGAAACGTAATCCGTGAAGAGTCCGCATTTCTTCTCTCCTCGAAGTCCTCCATGACCTGAGCTGAATGGCTCTGAGTATAGCACCTCACCGATGACTCATAGCTCAGGTCTCCACTCCGAATGATAGGCACATGCAGGACGCCCTCCTTTTCCTTCACAAGGAGCAAATCCTTAGCAAACTGCATGTTGGGCACTGGTGTGGGGGGCAGAAGGGAAGATGGAGGCATTGTCAGAGGGAGACACAGGGAGGCGGCCACAGCCCTCGTCCACCCGCAGCAGCCACGTGGAGGGCGTGCTCCAGAAAGGGCCAACCTAGGCTAGCAAATCACAGGTGGTTAGCAGATTTCAAGGCACGGTTGCTACTCTCAAGACAAGGGAACTGTTTTCACTGTGACTGTGGTTCCAATAAAATAGAATAAATCAATTTTGCACCTGTTTTTGCCCAGCTTCAGGGTATGGTCAACATCTCAAATGCAGACAGGTAATCCAAGTAAAAGAATGGGCCACATGTAAGAAAAATTTCGATAGAGACTTGAATACTCAAAAAAGTTCACTGCTTTCTAAGGCTACAATAAGGACAATAAGAGGGAAGTCCACTGATACATGGCCACTCACATTGGTCCTGGGGACCGGGAAGACAAGAGCGAAGAATTGGGACACTGGTGAAGACGAAAGAGCAGGCGCTGTGTAAAGGAGGTTGACTTTCAGCTCTGGTCTTTTGTTGGCAGATTTTCCTATTTTCAAACCAAGCAAGATCTCTTGTCGGGATTCTAATGTCATATTCCCTAATTTATTTATTTATTTATTAAAGATTTTATTTATGTATTTTTAGCGAGGGGAAGGAAGGGAGAAAGAGGGGGAGAGAAACATCATTGTGTGGCTGCCTCTTGAGGGCCCACAAATGGGGACCTGGCCAGCAACCAAACAGGGACCTGGCCGGAAACCCAGGCATATGCCCTGGACTGGGAGTCAAACCGGCAACTCTTTGGTTCACAGGCCAGCACACAATCCACTGAGCCACTTCAGCCAGGGCCACGTTTCCTAAATTTTAAAATAGCAACCAATTAAAATAAGAAAAAGAAATTCCATATAGGTCACAATTACTCGTGTCAAACAAAATATCCATGTACCGAAATATCCAGTGGGTCCCCAGTCTGTGGCTACTGCCGGATGATCACCTGTTCTCTTATACTCCCTGGGCCCCATCTGACTTTAGGAAGGGATCGTAGCCAAATCGTGGTTAAAACAATGGCTTGGGAGTAAACGGGCTTGAATTTCCATCCCAACCATGCTACTTATAAGCTGTATCAGTAGGGCAATCTACTTAGATTTTCCGAGCCTTGGGATTTTTTAATGCATAATAAACTGGAAATAATATCTAACTCATAGAATTATCCGGAGTATTGAATTTAATAAGAATATGTGTGCATGGTGGCCAGCACAGTATCTGGCACACAGCAGGCACTCAGATTTTGGTAGGAATTATTATCATGAGGTTTATATGGCCCCCTACTCAGACTTCTCAATATGAAGGTCATTTGTTTCTCCTTACTTCCTATAATGCCTACAGTAATGCTCTACATTAAGGCATGCCTCCTGAGACCAACATTTTGTTGACTGCCCAGTTGTTAATTTCTTAATGAACAACACAAAGAAGTAGTCCCTCCAATCATATGTCAAATTAGCTTTTGGAGCTGCAGGAAGCTGACCCTTCAGCTGTAGATCCCCACTTCCTGGCTGTGTCCTGGATATGCCCTGCGAAATCTGAAAGGGGAACAGAAAGAGTAAGCACCCAAGCATCCTGCAAGGCAGCATGTAGAAAGCTCTGTTTGCGCCAGCTTGCCCACTGCTCATAACTGTTGGCATTAGCAAAATAAAACAAACCCATGATCCTAGGTAAGCCTTATGGTTACCATTTATTACTAAGAAAAACCCAGAGGATACCTCTTAAGAGAATATTACACGTAACGGAAAATTGACACCTTTAGCATTAGGCCCTGGACAATGACCATTTAGGGCTCTGTTATCCAGTAAGATGGTCTGTGCTGTTAAGAAAGTGAGTGGCAGTGAAACGACCTAGCACAGAAACACAAGAAGAAAGCTTGTTGCCAAGTAAAAAGCAACACAAGGAAGAAAGCTTTACTGTTCATGGCAGATTATCTAATGCTTTGGATTGATTTTTCTTGCTGGCCTGACATATCTACTGCTTTGGATTGATTTTCTTGCTGGCCTGACAGGCATCACGTCAGATGAAAGTTAAAAGCTGGAGTGGTTCTCTTTTCATTTTGTTGATTGTTTCCTTTGCTGTGCAAAAACTTTTTAGTTTGATGTAATCCCATTAGTTTATTTATTTTTTGTTACCCTTGCCCAAGGAGACATACCAGAAAAAAATATTAACACAAGAAATGTCCAAGATTTTACTGCCTGTGTTTTCTTCTAGGATATTTATGGTATTGAGTCTTACATTTAAATCTTTAATCCATTTTGACTTTATTCTTGTGTCTGGTATAAGAAGGTGGTCTAATTTCTTTTTTTTTCATGTATTTATCCAATTTTCCCAGCAGCATTTATTGAATAGACTATCTTTACCCCATTGAATATTCTTGCCTCCTTTGTTGAATATTAATTGACCATAAAGGCACGAGCATATTTCTGAGCTCTCTATTCTGTTCCATTGATCTATATGTCTGTTTTTATGCCAGTACCACACTGTTTTCATTACTATGGCCTTGTAGTAATATAAGGTAGTGTGATAACTCCAACTTTGTTCTTCTTTCTTAAGACTGCTGTGGTTATTCAGGGTCTTTTGTGGTTCTTTATAAATTTTTGGAAAATTTGTTCTAGTTCTGTAAAATATACCACTGGTACCTTGACAGGAATTTCATTGAATCTATAGATTATATTGGGTACTATGGACATTTTAATAATGTTAATTTTTCCTGTCCATGGACACGGTGTATGCTTCTACTTATTTGTATCACCTTCAATTTCTTTCTTTAGTGTCTTATAATTTTCTGATACAGGCCTTTTACATCCTGGACTAAATTTATTCCCAGGTGTTTGTTTCCTTTTTCATGCAATTGTCAATGAGACTGTTTTCTTAAATTTCCTTTCTGACAGTTCAGTATTTTACTGAATTCATTGATCAGTTCTAGAAGTTTTTGGTGTGATCTTTAGGGTTCTCTATATACAGTATCAAGTCATCTGGAAATGATACAGTTTTACTTCTTCCTTTCCAATTTGGATGCCTTTTATTTCTTCTTCTTGTCTGATTGCTGTATCTAGGATTTCCAGTGCTATGTTGACAAAGAGTGGTGAGAGCAGACATCCCTGCATTGTTTCTGATCTTAAAGGAAATGCTTTTAGTTTTGCCCATTGACTATGATGTTGGCTGTGGGTTTGTCATATATGGTCTTTATTATGTTGAAGTATGTTCACTCTATTCCCACTGAATGGGAGAACACATTAACCAATGATATATCTGATAAGGGGTTAATAACCAAAATTTATAAAGAAGTAATAAAACTAACACCAGAAAAACAAATAGTCCAATTTTAAAAAATGGGCAAAGGACCTGAATAGACACTTCTCCAAAGAGGACATACAGTTGGCCAACAGACATATGAAAAGATACATAACATCACTAATCATCAGAAAATGTAAATTAAAACTAAAATGAGATATCACCTCACATCTGTCAGAAGGACTATCATTAATAAATCAACAAGCAAGTGTTGTAAGGATGCAAAGAAAAGGAAATCCTTATGCACTGTTGATGGGAATGCAAATTGGTGCAGCCACTGTGAAAAACAGAATGGAGTTTCCTCAAAAATTAAAAGTGGAACTGTTTTATGACCCAGTGATCCCACTTCTGGGAATATAGCTGAATAAACCCAAAACACTAGTTCAAAACACTATATGCACCCCTATGTTCATTGCAGCCTTATTTACAATAGTCAAGATTTAGAAGCAGCCCAAGTGCCCATTAGCAGATGAGTGGATAAAAAAAAGCAGTAGTACAATTATTCAGTGGAATACTACACAGCCAGAAAAGAAAAGGAAATATTACATTTTGCAACAGCATGGATGGACCTGGAGAGTTTTATGCTAAGTGAAATAAGCCAGTCAGAGACAGACAAACACCACATGATTTCACTTACACATGGAATCTAATGAACAAAATAAACAAACAAAACAGAAGCACACATATAGAGACAGAGAACAGGCTGACAGTTGTTAGAGGAGGAGGGGTTGGGGAGGCTGTGTGCAAAAAGTGAAGGGATTAAACAAAAACACACTCATAAACACAATAACAGTATAGTGATTACAAGGGGGAAAGGGGGAGTAGAAGAGGATAAAGGGGAGGATAAATGGTGACAGAAGGAGACTTGACTTCGGGTGGTGAACACACAACACAATCTATATAATTTTATTAACCAATGTCACCCCAATAAATTCAATAACAACTTTTTTAAAAGCTACAGTGGAATTGTTTGGGTTTTGTGCTGTCAAAGACACTTGTTTTCCTCTTTAACAAGATATTAACCCTCATTTCTATCCACAAATTGAGAAATAGGAGAAGGAAGTCTTAATTTAGTAGTTTTCGTAGTATACTCTTTTTGTCATTTGATTTTTTACTATATAAATGAATAAATTATTTAAAATAAATAAATTTTTGAAGATCACTCTGCTGGGCTGCCTGTTCCTTTTCTGGTGACTTTTCATTCCCTGTAAGAGTTTAGTAATGGATTCTATTGTCAACCACTGGGGGTGCTGACTAGGTCCTTCTGCTTGAGATGGAAGGTTTGCCTTTCTCTTGTCCACTCAACTCTAGAATCTGACAATTCTAAATTTCATCAATTCTTCCTAAGAAGCAACTGTTCTTTCCTGTTCACCCTCATGTTACTTAGGTTAGGTCTTCAGTGGTGATTGACATTTTGTTCATATACATAGTGTCTCTTCATGCTTGTACATCATCTACAGGATGGCTAGCATTAGTTTCCTAAAACAAAAATCACACCACTCTTCTGCTTATAAGCATCTGTTGCTCCCCTCAGCTTATGAATTCCTTAGGCTAGAACAAAAGACCTCTTTAGATCTTGACTCCAACCTGTCTTTCCATTTCATTTTCTTCTATTTATCTCCAACCAGGCTCAAAGCAAAAGTAAGCATCTTACTGTTTTCTAAATATGTTTTTTAAAATCTTATACCTTCTATATACTATATCTCTTTATTTGACAAAGCTTTATCTTACTATCCATTAGATAAACTACTATCACACCTGAAGATTCAGCTTAAATATCAACTTCTTTGTGAAATCTTCTATGATTCTTCCACACAAAGTTACTGTTCAGTTCCATCTGCTCCAACAATACTGGATTTATTGCACTGTTCAGTCATTTATCATGATATATTCTAATTTGAACTTTGAGAACATAGCCCAACCAAAGCATATATATTTTTTGTGTACCTAGCAGAGTTCCAGAAACATGAACAATCATTTCTTTCCCATATTTCTATGTAAAAATGTGTGCATGCATGTGCTGATACATGCATGGACACAACACACACGGACACAACACACACACACACACATCTCTTGAATGAAATGTGAATGAGTTCCAATGTCATATACATGGAAGTTAAGAAAAAGACAGAACTACAGTCTGAGCCACCAGCTGGCATCCCCAATCTCTTACCATCCTGAAATGTGTCATTAATTGCAATGATAGCATGGAAGGGTTTGGTCAGTTCAGCCCCTTGTGCTGAGCTAAGGAAAACCACAAATGTCTCCAGTCCTTCAATTACTGGATACTGAGTGTCATCCAAGATCGTTAAGGTGCAATCCTGGAAGAAAAGTCAGAATGTTAATTAGACTTATGGTGGTGGTCATTTTGCGATATATAAAAGATCAAATCATCATGTTGTATGTCTGAAACTAATATAATGTTTTATGTCAATTATATCTCAATTTAAAAGATTTTTAAATTAAAAAAGAAAAAGAAACAGCAAAATTCAAGCAAATCTTACTGAAATACCAAACATATAACACCCATTTGTTTTTGGGAAATTAGGACAAAAGAAACAACTTGCCTTTCTTTGGTGATCTTACATTTTTAAATCCATAAAAGTATACTCTTTTTTGTTATTCGCTCTTAGGTGTTTTGTTTCTAGATATTTACATCAAACAAGTGTGGTTTTTATCCTAAATCTGTGGTACTGGATATCAGATGATGAAAATGTCACTTGGAGAGTTTGTAGACAATCCTTCTAAATTTGTTCTTTTGTTCGTATGTTTGTGTTTTTGAAGACAGGGAAGATAGTACTATTACAAGGGGAGTTTAGCATCCTCCAGAGAGTTTGGAGAGTACTACCAGACTCACTCGACCTTTCACCGCTGTGTGCTCACCTGCTCAGTGACACCTGGCCTGAATTCAACCTTCCTAGAGCTGGGAACATAGTCAACTCCCGGAGTGGCGGAAGCTGGGTCTGAGGGGCGCGTAGCACACCAGACAGACGTGAAGGTAGAAAGGTCAGTTCCATGGCGGATAACTGGAATCTTCACTGTGCCTGAAATAAGATCATAGAGATTTCCATGGTCAACCTTAAGCCAGAAAATCAGTGGGGCTTTCACAACAACATTTTCTTCAGAACAACAGTAGTTTAATCCTCTGGCTTGTCCAGTCCAACTTCAGGGATGCTCTTGCACTAGCTACTCTCAGAATAGCTGAGGGGTATCACTTCCCTTCTACTGACACTAGGATGAAGAGCAGAGCTGGAGGACAGCCTCCTGGAGGCCTGCTGGAGAGATAGTCCTGAGGGGAAAGTGGTTTTGTGCCTTCACAAAGGAGACTGTTCACAGAAGAAGAGCAATGAACTTAAGGGAGGGAAGATCCATTGAAAAACATCTCGAGCCTATTCAGGGAAAAGAAACTCCAAGACTAGTGCCTCGGGGACGAGCTAGAAAATAGTCAATTAAGAAAGAACCAGCTAGGGGAATCTATGGGGCTTGAAGCTGAACATTCCTAATTAAATGTTCCTAACTGGTTTGATTTCCCCATTTTGTCTGAGTGGTACACACATCATTACTTAAACCACATGTTCTTATTGCTTATCTTAGGAATGAAGCTCATCTTCTGGTCCACCGTGGCTTCATAGTTCATAGGGTCCTAATGATATACATGTATATTTTTAGCTGTTTTCACAATCAAGGAATCAAGCTCAGAGAGAGGCTATATGAAAAAAATCCATCAATTTTTGTAGTCAGTATGTTGGAGATAACATGTAGGCATGGTTGGGCATTTGGTGTATGGGAGAGGAAACATGGCATAGTAATAAGGTCTGGATTCTAACCCAGCTCTGGCAGATTAACTGTTTGATCTTTGATGATTTACTTAACCTCTCTGGATCTCCATTTGCTCTCCTCTAAAGTGTTATCTTCTCTACATAAAATTAAGTGAAAATGCATGAAACACACATTGCATGGCACCTAACATTCTGTAAGTACTCAAAGATATCAGTTCCCACTACTCCTCAAAATATCACCTTCAAAGAGGTGAAAGGCCTTGGTCAAATGGCTCTCATCAGTAGATATTCCTCACAACTGCTTTCCCTTCTGGTAGGATGTCTGCCAACAACAAGCAGAGGCTCTTTGTGGATCCAGGAGAGGGAAGGAGCCGGGGTGGGAGAAATCTGCCCATTGACTGCTTTGAGCTGTTATAGGAATGAGACAGTTCCATCTGTGAAGACTCTAACAATTTAGAATGCATTTGTTTTAGCAGCTAGATGTGTACTAAATAACATACCTCCATTCTTAAAAGATCACATTCCCCTCCCTTACGAGTCAAAATGCTTAGCACCATGCTTTCCCTCTGGACCACAGAGGTCAGCCAATGAAGCCAAAAGCCAGGTCCATCCCTGCCATTGGTAACCAGAGAAAGAAGAGTGAATGAAACTCCCTATTCTTCATCTCCTTCCATTCTTGGTTGCAATGCCTAACAATACATAATGTCTCAGACCAACAATGGTGTCACAGAGGAATGGCATTCTCAATGTCTTAAGGACATTCTCAAACCTAAGAGCAAACCATTCAAGAAAATGATCAAGAGATGGGTGATGGAACCCTGTGATGCTCTTCATTACCTGCATCCTCACTGACGGTGAAAGCCGTGTTGCCCAGGGACACAGTGGAGGCGTCATTGGGACCACTGATTAGCACCTTGGCTGATGACACCCTTCCAATGCGGGCATTGTCAGAAGCAACTGCCAGGGCAATCTCAAACTCTTCTTCCTCTTCATACTCGCTGTCATCAATGAGCATGACGTCGCAGGTGGACATGGTGACACCAGGCCCGAATATCACACGACTGTCAGCAGATCTCCCTCTTGATTTAAAGTCAGAGCCCGATTCTAGAGCATAGAGGCTGCTTCCCATAGCTGACTTAGGGATGGTGTAGCAAATCACAGAGACACTGCTGCTGGTGTCCCCTGAAAGACGAAGTGGCAAGGAAACCAAAGCATTTGAATGAGTGCTTTTCAAATTTTAAAATCTCTGATTAATAAGTGAGCTTGGTTCCCTCTGACATATTCCATCACTCCTTGTGTTCACACTCTGACATGGAACCTTCCTGCACTGCAGTCTCTTTCGAGCTTATGATACAAGCCACTTGGTGATGTAATATATCCCAGATATTTCACCAAACAACTTAAAATGGATTTCTTATCCTGTGAATTTTGTGCTCTGTTAATTCACAAGACCCATTGCCCACCATCTAAGACCACAGAGGGTGGAAGGATAAGAGATGTATTTGGTACTCTAAGTAGCAAAGTAATTGGTCTTCAAGGTAGTGCTATGAGCACAGTTTACTGCTTTGCTTTGAGTAAATTTCTGCACTTTAATGCCCAGGGAAAAACAAGCTTGTTTTACAAAAGGAAAGACAAAACAAAGCCCACCTCTCTATACACATGACTTTACTTATTAGTGCTGTTACTTCCATGGGTGATACCCTGTTCTGGTCCTTGTATGCTGGTTCTGAGCAGTCAGTGGAGGCCTGCTTGTTTCCCAAGGTACACCGCCAAAGGTTTGTATTATCTACCATGTTTGTCACACATATACCCAGTTGGCAGATTCAATTAAAAACCTGACATCATCAGTTACAAGCATAGCGTGGCTTTGAATGAAGGTTTAATTTCCATGAGTTTTAAAGTCTCAATATTGCACAATTATAAATCCATGAGATCTTTGATTTGATTTTCCGTCCCTCAAGAACTGACCTTTAGTACCTACATGCAGTTAATTTCTCATCTGAGCTCTGTATGTGACACTCACACAAGGAAATCTTTAAACACATTTCCTGTCTTTTAAGAGCTAAGATAGGAAATCAGTTCTTACAAACTGTAACTTCTTTCCCTGACCAAGGCTATAAATATTTTATGGAGTGGGTGATTGATTAAGAATCCTGAGTACTTGAATATTTGCAAGACCATATATAAAGTCTTCTAGTCCCATTAAAGAATAATAGGTGTGCTAACAACCTCAACTAACAAGAGAAGCCTCTGATAGTGCTCACTAGGTAAGATCTTTATTAGGGTTGTGCTGTGGATTTAAATGAGTTAATACATGTAAAGTACTTACACACATGAGTTAATATGGTACGTGGGCACTTGGTATATAAAAGGGACTCAATAAACCATAGCTATTATATAGCTCTTTGTCACCTTTGGCGCCAACAGACCTTTTCTTTCAATAGGTGCAAATAGAAAACCAGCACTCTCGTTGACCCGGTAGGTCTTCTTATCAAACTCTAATGTGGGTTCGTCCTCAGTGTCATTGATAATGACCTTCGCCTGGGTGAACTCCCCTAGAAGGGCATATGCTGGCATGCTGAGCTCCACGGTGAAACTCTCAACATTCTCAAACACGTCATCATCATTGATGACAATGGTGCAGGATTTGGTGTCCTCTCGCTCATCAAACTGTACCTGTCACAAAGGAAACAATGAGTTAAGCTGTGCCTCAGGTTCTCCTGCTCTGTCCCCCTCAGAATGTCATGGGAAAAGAGGGCCCAAGTCCAGTGAGCACTGAATGCAGTAGTTGGTTCTTCTGGCCCCAACTTTCTGCTGTATCACCTGAACACTTGCTTACCTCTCCCCATTCTACACCTGCAGCTGGGACTGATTGACTGCATAGGGACGTGGACAGAGAAGACATCATCTACCATTTGGTGATTATAGTAACAGGTAGGTAACTATTCACGTCCTGTTTTGTTAACAAACGAGATAGCAAGAGTCATTTGATTACTTAGTCCTCCTTCTATTCACAGCAAATTTAACTGGAAAGACCTTTGAACTTGAAGTGTGAAGTTCTAGGCTAAAGTCCTGGTTTTGTTAGTTCCAAGCTGGGTCAGGCTTTGAAACTTTACAAACTTCAGCTGATTTCTCATCAGCTAAATTTACTGCATAATGAAGTTTGAATTCAGGAAAAGTTACACTGTGAATAAGTCAAACTAAATTTTAACTTTATATTTGACTAGATCCTTTACCAATAAGAAGGGCTAGATCTATAATGTGAATATACTAGCCTGGTACAAAAGAGAGAGAAATGATTTTATGCGTATATAATTGTGAGCTTACAAGGATTTATTGTGGTTTTATTTTGTCTAAAAATAAGAGGAAGATAAAACCTTCAAATGGAAACAGGGCTATAGATTTGTTCAAAATTGAAAGGGTAGGAAATGGGCCTGAGATGACTTTGTGTAAACAAGACAAGTGAAACATGTGTAAAAATAGTCATAAACCTCTAAAAAACACATAACTTTCATCAACAGAAATTACTATCTAATCAGCTAATCAAATTTTTGCTAAGCTGCACATTTCAAAACACTCCCAACTAAATGAAACACTGCACAGATCTCTATTTAGGATCTAGAACACACTTCCTTTTATCTTTCTTTGAAAAACAGGAGTACATGCCTCTTTTTATCATTTTGTTAAAAGATGCTTCAGCTTATCTCTTCTTCTCTAATTCCTCATTTAAATCTGACATAAGGGGTCTTAGCTTAGCCCAGCTGAACTGCCTCAGAGAGAGCCCACCTCTCTTTATGATTTCTGTTGTTTATATTGCCATAAGAATAATGAAATTACTTTGAAAAAAACATTTAATAAATAACTAACAAGTTCCAGGCATTGTGTCATACATAAAAGATGACAAATACAGGGCTTTCTGCCATAAAGGAGATTACTATTTAAGTCCCCTCCTTTCTCTTTTGCTTTCATTCTCTCCCTTTTCTCTCTCGCTCACACCTTGGCACTAATTACCATCACTGCTATATGGAGACTTACAGATTTTTCTCTCTACCCCGGACCACTCTCTGCACTCCCTGCCAACATTTGTAGCTGTCCACTGATTGTCTCTAAGGCAACTCACACCTAACACGTTCAAAACAAAATCAAGATCATGCTCTCACCAAACCTGCTTCTCGTATGGTGTCCTTTCCTAGTAAGGGGCGTCACCATCCATATTTCTCTTCTGCCCCACTATCTATTGCACTGCTAAATTCTATCAGTTGCTGGCTTACTCATCTGTTAAATCCTTCCACTTCTCCCTTTACAATTGCACTTCTTCACTTTACAATTGCAGCTTAATCTCCCATCATGTCTCACCTAGCCCATCTGAGAGCTTCCCAACTGGTCTCTCCACACTGTCTCTTCAAGTAAAGAAAGTGGAGAAAAAAAGGTTAGGATGCCAAAGGCCGAGTGTAGAACCTGATGCCTTGGGGATTGTTTTTTTTTTTTTTTTTTTTTTTTTAGCTGGGCTGGGGGGTCATGAGTCAAAAAGTAAAGACTGAGAAGCTAGATACCACTTCAGCTTTGGCAGTGAGAATGTCGATAGAGATTAGTCAGACTGTGAAAGACAAAGCTCTGTGGGAATGGAATACAGGAAAATCACTTGAGAAAAGATGCCAATGGATAGTGAGGTGGGATAAAAAGAGTGGGAAGGTGCCACCGTAATGGACGGCCACGTCACGGCCCTCTCAGGCAGCTCAGGAGTCAGAGGCTGCCTCGCCTGCCTACCTGGCCAGCATACTCCACGTAGTCCTGCTGCCCAGGCTGGGAGCTGGGCCTGGAGCTGGAGCTGGCGGTGCCTTGTTCGGTGCGACACAGGACGATGGAATATTGGTTCAGGTTCCCAGTCCTCTGCACTGTGACGCTGACAGACCCCGCCTTCTCACTGACATTGTAGCTAGAAACACACAAAGAGGGAGCCTCTGAAATTCTGCCCCTGGGCTCCAAAGTCTGCCTGTTCAATGCAAGTCTCTTCTGGTCGGTTGATGGTGTCAGGCATTTCAGAGAAGAGGGAGTTTGATTGCTATAAGATGGGTTGTAAATTGAGGAAACATGTTCACCTGAGGCAGTCACAGCAGCAAGTGACCAAGGAAGCTGTGGATGCAGAATGGTACCTGCCTCGTTTTCAGAGAAAGTGGAAAGTCATTTAGAAGATGGCAGCACAAAGGAGCTATGAACTTTGTATTTCAGAACATGGGAAAATAACAGTCTGTCCTAGTGTGACAGAGTAATCAGAACAGGTCAGTGGGCTCCCAGGGAAAAATGCTGCTGGGAAAGCAGTGGCTTAGCTCAGGGAGGGGCTGGCTGGATCAGACCTCCAGGACATGTGTAAAGCATGAAGAGGAGTCAGGGCAGTGCCGGAGGTAAGCAAATGAGAACTGGGCCCACGAAACGAAGTTGAGTAGACAAATGGAGCTTAATGAAAGTGGGGGAGGTGACACGGTGCTATGGACTAAATGTTTGTGTCCCCCCCAAATTCATATGTTGAAATCCTAACCCCCAATGCCATTACATTAGGAGGTGAGGCCTTTGGGAGGTGATTAGGTCATAAGAGTAGAGCTTTTATAAATGGGATTAGTGCCCCTCTAACCCAGAGGGATCTCTCATCCTTCTCACATATAAGGTAACAGAGAAAAGACAATGGTATATGAACCAGAAGGGGAGCTGTTACCAGACACCAAATCTGCTGGCACCCTCATCTTGGACTTCCCAGCCTCTAGAACTGTGGGAAGTAATTGCCTGTTATTTTGAAGCCACCCACTCCACGGCATTCTGTTAAAGCAGTCCGAATGGACTCAGACACAGAGCTAACTTATCTTGCTGCTAGGAATTTGTATTGCTGTTGCAAAACAGGAGGCAAACTACGCATGTACTATTATTCACAATAAGTATCCAGCAAGTGGTGCGTCAACTGGGCTTTGTTTTTCATCAATGAGGACGGGCACTGGACCCAGGCTTTTGTTTTGTTGCTGTGAGGCTGGCAGGCACAGCACTTTGATGGGTTAGTCACTGCCAGCTTTGGGGGCCCTCGATTTTATTTGGCCCATTAGAAACCAGAGGGTTTCCAGCATACGTGATCAGTTTTATTCAATTAATTTTGAAGGAGACTGAAAAAAAGGTAAATAGCAGCAAAAAATTAAACATACAAAGGTTGATTCTAATTTCCCACTAAGTCTCCACGTGTGTGTAAGAATAAAATGGCCTACATCTGGGGCACATGGAATCAGCTCTGTATGTTCTCCCTTTCTCCCCTCAAGTTCCAGTTTTCATATGATTTATCATGAAGCTGATTTCTTAGAACACTGTGTCTCAGAAATGTAGATTTAAAGAATTCTTCTTCCCACAAAAATTATAATCCTAGTTACAATTTAACCTATAAAACCAGTACTGTGCTCGCCCTGCTTTATCAGCTGGCATCTCTCTGGTTGCCTCTCAACTCCTCAACAGACTACGGAAGCATCTTCAAGAGCTGTCTGCATTAAACTATGGATTTGTGCCTAATGATAGACAATCCTATGAAAACCGAAAAAGCTAGGGGGAGAATATGAGCCTGAGAACAGAGAGGATGGAGACAGAAGGCAAAGATGTTGTTCTTGTGGGTCAGCAATTATTTGCAGAAATTGAAGGTACATTTTTCCCCCTATCAGTTCTACTTGATTATCTTCTCAAATGGGAAGACAAAAACAAAAACACTTGTAGGACAGGCAGTAAAGCACAGTGGTGAAGACCACTGGGCTTAGGCCTTGGTTTTCCTGCTGATTGGCTATGTGACTTTGGGCAAGTTACTTAACCTCTTTCTCTCTCTATTGCTTCGTTGTTGCAGGGGCAACAACAGTATTCATCTCATTTTGCAAGTGTCAAACAAGGTGATATAAGTCAAGTACCTCGTACAGTGCCTGGTATGTAGCATTCAAGAAATATTTAACACAATTATCATTTTTATCATTGTTATCAGCACTACCACCATCAGGTAACTACAGCAGACCCACAGGGTGCTCCATCCTCAAACCTCTGTTTGCCTGACTCATTTCTCAAGAACAGCGCACAATTACACTTGTACCTGGTATGTTTAAAGCTGATGAGGGACCACTGGATGTGGAAGATATTGTCGCTGACCACATTGGGTTTACTGTCTTTCACCAGAAACTGAAAACTATCCATCATCTCATGAATCTTCTCTTCACGCAACACGTAGCGAATCAGCCCCAAGTTCACATCCTCTGTGAGAAAACAGGCACAGGGAATTAATCCAGGGCTGTAAAAACAGCCTCATAGATGCCCCCACTGACACACTCACTTTATTCTTGTAATGGATCATAGAGAGAACTTGTGGTCTCAAGAACAAATAAACATTTCTGCCAGATCTAAAAATAAGGTCCTCTAGCTCTGTGTGACAAAAGACTGTCTTTATGTATAGGAAATATCCTATGCTGTTGTCAAATGAGAATTCCAGGGTTTTGGCAAAAAAGCACTCTAGTAAGTGTCTATGGAATGTTAGAGGCAAGTCTGAGGGCTGACAGAGAAAAGCCTTCGACCACTTTGTGTATATGTGTACTCATATCCACCTCGCAGTAAGTGGATTTTCTTTTCTTTGGAAGAAAAGAAAAGCTAAGGTTGGAGTAAAACAGCACCTGCACAAGGCACAGATAACATGGCTGAGGAGAGCACATGAGACTGAGGACAGCGAGGAAAAGGAAACACAGCACGTGACTTGTAACACGCAGTTTCTCAGTAACTGTCCCCAGTCAGGTCTCTCCTTGGAAGACGGCCAGAAGGCTACAAAAAACTTCTGAGGAACTAAAATACAACATGGTCGGCTTGATAATATTCAAAACCAGAACACACTTCTATTGAGGAATCTACCCATGTTGACTTAAAAAATCAACAGGGACTTTAAAAAAATCCATAACCGTTAGAGAACAAAAAGATAAACCACACAGGATCACAGATCTTTCATAAAGTCTGGCGGCTGTTTTTAAAGGAAACCAAGTAGTGTCACATGATCCCTTCCAGAAAATCCAGCCCAAACCTAAAGCAATTTGGGGGCTGAGGAAGCATGGTAAAGATGATTTTTCATTCTTTTTTTTTTTTTTTTTTTGGCAGGGGACATAATTCAGAGTTATGGGGGAAAAAACCCAGAGAAGTAAAATTCAAAAATTGGATGGTTAGATGCTAAAAGATCTATTTGTTTGCAAATAGGTAACGTAGGGGTGAGAAGCTGACAGTGGCTGTAAGATCAGAGAGATAGGGAGAGTAGGGTTAGAATAGATTCCTCCCATTTCCCGGGTCCCGGGTCCCGTGTCCCGGGTCCCCACCCTGCGTGAAAGTCACCGCCGCTCTGCCAGGCTGCAGCTTGTTCTCCACGCGGCCATGCTGGGGGCCCCTCGTGATCTCATAGACAAGCTGCAGGTCCTCTGTGTCCGGGTCCATGGTCAGCAGTTCCTTCTTAGTGATCAGGTTGGTTGCCTGGAATAGAAACACATTAAATTTAATTCCTGAGGTGGGAATAAAGCAAGAACAGGACCCTGTGACTCAGATTTAATTCAGTTCAACAATGATTTACTGAGTGCATTTACTGAATGGAGAACTCTGTCAGTATTGAAGAGGCTATGAGGATAAAAACCATCCAGCCTCTGACCTTGACATGTTCACACTTTATTGGGAAAGAAAGGCTGATAAGCAAGGTAGCTGTGGCAAGAGCTATATTGGGAAATACAAAAAAGAGTGCTATACGTTTTTTAGGAGCAGGAGAGATTAATTCCATCTGAACTGGGGAAGGATGGATATAAAATGGTGGAATTTGAATCTGGCCTTTAAAGAAGGTTGGAACTTTTAAAGAATGTCACCACACAGAAAGGATGGGCACTTTATGCTTTACAGGAGTCAACTGCAATGCTGGTAATTGAGCAAGATAAATATAATGCCCTAATTTTACCTAAATACACTGCCTATATTTTAACTCAATCAGCAAATATTTCATGAGAGCAAAGGTCTGAAAGGAAAAAGGGGTGGCCAGTAGTATCAAATGTTACTAGCTCTAAAAGTAACGGCATATAAGTGTCCTTTAAACTTGACAAAATAGAGGTCAGTGTGACTTTGACAAGAGTCGACCCCTGCAGAAGGGTAGGGCTGGGAAGTAGAAAACTGATTGCAGAGTGTTGAGAAGAATATGGGAAGGTTCTGAATATGGAAAAAAATAAAATAGGGCAAAAGCCCTATTTTTAAAGCCCTATTATTAGGGCAAAACCAAATTCTACTAATTTGGTTTCATGTATTTTAAAAATTCCAAATAGGTCAGTGGAAAGCTATAGCAAAACAGCCACATATACAGGCACACCTTGTTTTATTGTGCTTCACAGATGTTATGTCTTTTAAAAATTGAAGACAAGACCTTCCACCAGTAAAAAAGATTATGACTCTCTTTTCTGTGATGCTCGCCTTACTGGAACTAAACCCACATGACCTCTGAGGTGTGCCTGTACAACTTAGCTCCCCGGACATAAGGAAAGCCACATCTGAGAGGGAATACCCCAGGCAGAAGAAAGAAACCAGTTCCCAAACTGAACTGAAGAATTCTGGGTGTGTGGGTGGGGGCAAGGATTTAATGCTAGACGTGTTACCAGGGGAGAATGATGCATATCTTAACGTGACCAAATTGGGATTTAGGAGAAACAGGAAGAAATTTCTTAAGTATCCTTCTGAAGGTACCTACAAAAATACTTCCTTCCCATCAGTGGCATATTCCAGGTGTTTCCCCAAATCTATCCTTTCCTTCTTCTAGTTAACAAACTTTTAGCTGAGCACCTGACTGTCTAGCTAGAGACTCTGTTTTCCAGTCTCCCATGCAACAGATGGGCCATATGACAAATTTCTTGCCAAAATAATATGAGTGCAAGAAATGTGTTTCATTTCTGTATCACTTGCTTGAAATATATTTTTTGCTCTCTACTTCTTTGTTTTCTTCTTCTCATGGACTAGAATATTGATGAATAGCTGAAGAGATTTGGCTATGGTCAACAGCAACAAGCCAATGATGGCAGAAGAACAAGACAGAAGGAATCTGCATCTCTGAATCATCATCTAAAGCTCTAGAATTCAACCCCGTATGTGAGGGGGAAAAAATGGGTTTGCCAAAAATCTTGTTTGTTTTTTTTCTGTAAAATGGCTTTAGTAGCACTCAGTTGTCTTTAACTTTATTCAAAACAGTTTTGTTAATTTGTATGTGACAGCTGTCACGTCAGCATGCATTTAAAAAAAATCAAAATTGGTGAATTTTTTGTGTAGCAATTTTAATATTGAAAATGGAAGAAGACGTGCAACATTGCAGTATATTATGCTTTATTATTTCAAGAAAGGTAAAAAGGCAACTGAAACTAAAAAAAAGATTAGTACAGTATATGGAGAAGGTGCTGTGACTGACAAAACATGTGGTCTGCAAAGTTTTGTGCTGGATATTTCTCACTGGATGATGCTCCGGATACTTCATCTGGGTAGACCAGTTGAAGTTGATAGTGATCAAATTGAGACTTCAGCTAAAAAGAATCAACATTATGGCATGCAGGAAGTAGCCGACACATTCAAAATATCCAAATCAATATTGTTATTGGTGAAAATAAAAATGTATCTTATATTTTATGGAAAAAACTAAACAGACTTTTTGGCCAATGTAATAACTGCTATTTTGTTTAAGCTACTATATTTTGGGAGTCATTTCATTAGAACATGTTAAACTATATACAGTCCTAATCAAACTCATGAGAGTCTCCAACCTTAGGAATATCAGTTCACTTAAGAATGGATGTGACTTGACCTGGAGTTATATTCATAAGTTATCTTTATGATCAAGGCCATTGCCAAAGCTGGTTAGTATGAATGTATCAGATGGAAAGGCCTTACCTTGCCATCCATATACTCCAGCCACTGGAGCCCCAGGTTGGTAACAATTCTAGGGGTGCCATCATCTACTGGGAGGATGTCTACTTGGAACTGCTGAGGTGCTGCTGTCATAATCTGTGGGGGATATAAAAAAAGCCTTCATCATTCACAGACACCTGAAATGTGTCAGGTGCAGAATCCCTGAAATCAGCTGACACTTCAGAATGGGCAACTGAGCTGGTTTCCATCACTTAACACCACTTGGCACAAGGCTTAAGGGAGAATACTGGTTGATAAAGGGAACAATATGAGAAGAAAGGCAAGAAACAGGTGGCACTCTCGCTGGAATTTCACCTGCTCTGGAAGTTGGTTTTTACACACCTATGCATTCTTTAGTGAGTTCAATATTACCCTGAGGTGAAACAATAAACAAAACATTTTCTTTTCAATAACTCTTGTTAAAATTTTCCAGAGAGGCAGACAAAAACCCTCATTAAAATGTTAATGTCAAAGTCTCCAGGTGAAACTCTGCCAGATGTAAAATGAGGTTTCATGGGAAGAAATTTTCTTTTTCTTTCTTTCCTTTTTTTTTTTTTGAGAGAGAACTATCCATATGGGGAAAAGGGGTAGAAGGAATTAAAAATAAAAACATTTGTGGTAATAGTGAAGAGAAGTTTCGTTTAGAATTTCATTCTCACACAGACACACACAGACACACATACACACACACACACACACCCCCACATCTGTGGTGAGTGTGACCCAGCGCCTCAGCGTTTCTGTGGGGGATAATGCAGGCTACCACGCAAGGCTGCAGATGATGGCTTTTCAATCTGCTACCACCCGCTCTTCTAAGTAATTTACATTTTTAAAATAATATGGTCCCTCTGGAGACCTGCTGTGACCTTTTATGTTTATCAGAGAGGTAGCACTCCTGCTGATTTATCCTGAAATCTCTTTTTCTTTTGAAAGTCACACCAACCGAGGAGCAGCTACAGTTTGGGAGAGAGAAAAAATGAAAGTGATGAGCTGCCAGGTAGTGCTGCTGTGCAGACACAGAAGGGGAGGGAAATCTGGAGAGCCACCCCGCCCACACTTCGCCCAACTGAGCATGACCTTTTCACAGGCCTCTGTCTCTAAAGGATGCAGAAAGAACTTTCTTTCACAAAAGAGTCGTTCCCATTCATCATCAAAGTATGAGAGGAACATTGCAGACAAAGCAGCTGACCCTTTTGTAATCCTGGAAGCAAGGTAGGTGTGATTACATAGCTGGCTGAAACTTCTTCTGCGGAGTCAGAAACTGGTGCCTGAGATGTATGATGCCCACGCTTACCTTCCACAAGAGCTGCAGTTGTTCTTGGGGGAGAGTTATGGGGCTGCGGGAGAACTGGCTGAGGGATGAAGGAATGAGGAAAAACAGCAAGGAAGGCAGAGGAGGGGCTCTCTTAATGTTTCCCTCCAAATGCCTGGATATTAGAAGGGAACAATTCTCTGAAAGAAGTAAAATCCTGATGGCTGCATGACCTTAAAAGTAACGTCTACCTGTTTCACATGCTGGTCCTAAAATGATGGCGCTGGTGATGATTACAGCCACAGCTGACTGGATGTTTCCTCTGTGTGGCACTGGGCTAAGTACTTTATGTACACCATGATGGTGGGTATCACCCTCATTTTATGGATAGGGAAGCCGAGGCTTAAAAAGGTTAAATGACTTACAAAGTCACTCAGCTAGTGAGTGACAGAGCTAGAATTTAAATCAGTGTCTTTGGATGTAAAAGCCATACTCTTTTTTTTTTTTTCTTAGAGAGACAGAGGAAGAGAGAGAGAGAAACATCAGTCTGAGAGAGAAACTTTGATCAGTTGCTTGATACACACCCCAACCAGGGACTGAACCCGTAACCCAGGCATGTGCCCTGACTGGGAATCAAACCCTTAACCTTTTGGTTTATGGGATGACACTCAAACCAACTGAGCCACATTGGCCAGGTGAAGGCGTACTATATACTTTTTTAATTTTATGATTTTTTTAGAGAGAGGGGAAGGGAGGGAGAAAGAGAGGGAGAGAAACATCGATGCAAGAGAAATATTGATAGGCTGCTTCTCAAATGCTCCCTAACTGGGTAGGAACCTGCAATCTAGGCATGTGCCCTGACCGGGAGCCAAACTGGTGACCTTTAGCTTTGTGGGATGACACCCAATCAACTGATCCACACCAGTCAGGGCCAGCCATACTCTTAACCACTGTTAATTCTTCATGAGACTGAGAAACTTTGGCTGGCTGAGGGGACATATAAAAAAGGACAATCTAGAACCGTATGATATTACTGAAAAGAAAAACAGATGAAAGAAAAATTAAAGGACTAAAGGGTAGGTAAAGAGAAAGGAGAAATAATATCAGAGTACTAACAGTAACTATCAACTTCTATTGAAAGTGCTCATGATTTGCTAAGTGTTAAATACTTTATGTGGATTACCTCTTTGATCCTTAGTCTAATTGAAGCTGGTGATTATTATTGTACCCATTTTACAGATGAAAAGAGGAGACTTAGAGAAGTTAGTAATTGCTCAGGGCCAATGGATAAGTGACAGGACAAGAACCCAAACACGGCTATCCTTGGCCTTAAAATGCCATATTCTGCCTCTGGAATGCTTTGCTATGCTTCCCTCTCCATTGTTTTCACCTCACCTCTTTCCCGCCTTCTTCAATAATAAAGAAGGGATTTGTCCCATCAGCAACAGTGAAGGTGAACCGGTCTTTGAGGGAGTTGCTGCCATCATGGCTGTAGCTGACCCTGTTCTGGTAGATGTCTTCCATGGTGAAGGTGGAGGTGTGCTGGAGGTGCTGCCCATTGCTGGTTCGCTCGATGGTGCCATGACGTGGGGGCTGCACAATGGTGAAGGTGACAGACTCAGCCTGTTGAGGAGGTAAAACACAAGAGGAGGAAGGAAATCCTTAGGAGAAACCAGGTGTGTCAGTGATGGCCAACAAGCGGTCAAATGTAGCCAAACCTAAAGACATTTATAAAATCAGGGTTGCATTTTCTTCTTAGAGAGCAAAAATAAAGCTAAAGAGAGCAACTATATTGGTTCCTATAATCGAACTTATATATTCTGGTGTCTTCAGTTGTAAGACTAAGACATTTAAACTTGGCCTTTGGGGGTCAGAGAAGAAAACCTGAATTTTTAACCTTTCCCAGGATGATAGGAATTAGACCTTCTAATATTATTTCCTTTTAAGCCATTTCCCCCCACTTTCCCAAAACCCTTATATACAGAACCCCATGTGCATAAGAACAGAAGTTTACTTCCCATTCCTAATCACCGCTTCTAGAGTGACACCTAGAAGCAAAAATAAAAGAGGCAGAAAACCCCACTCAAGACTTTCCAATGATTTCCTACCAATTTTGAATAAAATGAAAAGGCCTGACCTGGGCCAACAAGGCCATTTGTGACCTGGTCCCAGGACTCCTCTCTGGCCCACTCTTTCCCTCTCCTATTTGTTCACTGGGTTCCAGCCTCTTGGTCTCTTGTTGTGATTCAAAAGTTTCTAAGCACATTTGACAACAGGGCCTTTGTACTTCAGGTTTTTCTGCCCAGAGAGTGATGCTCCCAGATAACTGCATAGCTTGCCCTCCTACTTCATGGTATTTCTGCCTCTCAGAGAACGCTTACCTTACCACACTGTTTAAAACATACCCATTGGCCCTGGCCAGGTAGCTCAGTTGGTTAGAGCATCATCCCATTACACCAAGGTTACAGGTTAGGTCCTCGGTCAGGGCACATACGAGAATCAATGAATGCATGTAACAAATTGATATTTCTCTCTCTCCCTTCCTTTCTCTCTCTCTTAAAAAAAAAAAGAAGAAATAAAATAGCATACATATCAATCTCTATCTCCTTTATCTTGCTTTAGTTTTATTCAGAGCACTTATAATATCTGACGTGATACTATATATTCTTTCTTTATTGTCTGTCACCCTAATCACAGGGTGAAAACTCCCTAATGCTAGAACTTGATGTGCTTTGTTCACAGCTTGTCTTTTGCATCTAGAGCAGAGCCCAGCACTGGAAAGTGATCAGTATTTGCTGAAAGAGTGAATGGATGAATGAATGAGTGCTAGCACAGGGCAGAGTGCCCACAGAACTAATTAGTAAATGCTGTGGTACCCTTTTATAACAGCTAAATCATGCCAGAAGACTACCCCCTTTCTCTGAAAGCATCACAAGAATGAGAGTTCTATCTCTACAGGCCCTGTTTTACTGTCTAAAGCCTATTTCTCTGACCCTACTTAAATTGTAATAATTAGTTGTCATCCAGAGAAGTCTGAATGAAGGAGGTAAAAGAAGGGAAAAATTTGTAAGTACTGAAAATCCTTATTCATGTTAATAATGAATAGTGAAAATATTGGGTAAAACATCATCTACTTGATTTTCTATAAATCATGATAAAAAGTCAGCATGTTAAAATGATTATTACATGGGATTAGGGTTTCAGAAAGGGTTTAAAAGCAGTATGATTACAAATGTATTCATTTTCTCTTTTCTATAAGGCCGTGGTCTCTTCTAGTTTTTGGTCCTTCAAGGATACTTGTACTGACCTCACCACTCTGCCCTTCCCTCAGGATGCACAAAGCAACAGCTGTCACCAGATCAGCCTCTCATCCAGCCAGGGAACCGAGGGAGAATGCCCTTACCTCTGTGTCTGCATCCACGGCCTTGAGCTCAAACTCTGTGATGGTCTTCCTCACTCCCTCCTGTACCCGCATCCCTAAGTTCTGTACAACAGGCAGTGAATCATCCACAGGACGAATAGTGATATGGAAAGTCTGAGTCACCTAGAATGACAGAAACATGCAGGTTGGAAGGACACATGTCCCCAGACCCACCCAAGTAGAAAGTCGGTGCCCTCTACTTTCCCGTTCATGCCATTCCTGGCATGACTGACTGACTAGGAACCTAAATGTGACTTCTCTTGCTCAAGAGCCCCAGGGGCCATTAGAAGCTGCCTCTGTCCTTGGCTGAGAGCAGGGGAAAGTGAAGCTCTGATAGCACCAGTTGCCCTGCAGACTCCTCTGTGATTCCCCCTTTGAAGAAGGGAACCATGTTTCTCACCTACCTCATTGACTCCATCCGACAGTGTAAAGCTGAAGGCATCTGAGTGTTTCTCGGACTCACTGGAATGGATATACTGAATGTTTCGTGAAGTCAAGTCAGCCTGAGTAAAAGAAGTAATCTGGACACCTACCAGAAAGGGAGAAGAGAAAGGATGTAATAACGCTAGCCACACTCTAAGGCTAGGGACATGTCAGACTCTCATTGGGTACAGTCCTTTGTGTTTTTCTCATAGCACAAAGCATTTATGTGCTTCTCCCTGAGACCTTGTGTTAGCGTTGTTTGAGTACTTGTTTTCTACAACAGCATATGTTGTATGGGAGCACACGTTAACTTAATTTGTGCTCAATAAATGTTATTCTCCTTTCTCTTCAGGTTCATGCATGCAGATCAAATCTGTGAAAGGTAGAGCCATTGCCTTATTCCCCAAACTCCTCTTGTAAGTTTTATATTCCCCCATAGCCTCATTGTCCTTTCTAAAAACCTGCCCTAATTTTTATATTGTGCAGTGGTATAGCTTTTGAACCCTGGACTAATAGGGCTTGGCTAAACATAGTCTTGCTTCTGTGATTGGCGAGGCTTCTCCAGCCTCTGTTGTTTTATTGGATATTCTTCAAGGTCCCTTTCGAGTCTCTCTCTTAAAAAGTGCCTCTCAAGGTCTATGATTCTAGTTTCTCATATACCACTTTAGCCAGGCTGATAGTGAACCTACTGAATGACTTGGGGCTTTGAGCAGTCAGTCTATGTTAACTCTAAAATGACCTAGATATCCACTATCCTTTAATATAATAAAAACATGTTAAATTTTTTTCAGTCTTTTTAAAAGTACAAAAATCTAAAGTGAGTTTTAATAATGCCAAAGTATCTCACAAGTAAACAACATCTCCATGTTTTTATTTGTATTTTTTAATTTTTATTTATTTTTATTTAATAATTTTATTGTATTTTTTATTACTATTTAGACCCCTTTTACATCTCTCCACACTGTTGTCCATGCCCATGAGTCCTTTTTACTTTTTGCTCATTCCTTCCACCTTCTACCCACCCCCCCACTTAGCTGTCACCCTGCTATGAGTCTGTCTCTATTTTGCTTGTTAGTTCAGTTTGTTCATTATACTCCACGTTTAAGTGAAATCACATGGCATGTCTTTCTCTGACTGGCTTATTTCACTTAGCATAATGTTCTCCAGGTCCATCCATACTGTTACAAAGGGCAAAACTTTCTTCTTTTCTATAACCAAGTAGTATTCCATTGTGTAAATGTCCCACAGTTGTTTTATCCACTGATCTACTGATGGACACTTGGGCTGCTTCCATATCTTGGCGATTGTAAATAACGCTGCAATGAACATAGGGGTACTTATGTTCTTTCAAATTAGTGATTTGGGTTCTTCAGATATATTTCTAGCAGTGGGAATGCTCGGTCAAAAGGTAGGTTCAGTTTTAATATTTTGAGATATCTCCATACTGCTTTCCACACTGGCTGCACCAATCTGCATTCCCACCAACAGTGCAAAAGGGTTCCCTTTTCTGCGCATCCTCACCAGTACTTGTTGCTTGTTATTTTATAGATGATAGCCATTCCGACAGGTATGAGATGGTATCTTATTGTGGTTTTAATTTCTATTTCTCTGATGATTAGTGATGACCACACACAAGAATAAATTCAAAGTGGATTAAAGACTTAAATGTTAGATCTGAAACCATAAAAATTGTAGAAGAAAACACAGGCATCAAAATCTCGGACATAGCTCATAGCAATATTTTATCAGACATATCCCCCATGCAAGGGAAACAAAAGAAAAAAGAAACAAATGGGATTTCATCAAACTAAAATGTTTTTTCACAGCAAAGGAAACCATCAACAAAATAAAAAGACAACCCACAGAATGGGAGAACATAATTGCTAGCACATCTGATAAGGGGCTTAAATCCAAAATTTATAAAGAACTTACAAAACTGAATACCCCCCCAAAAGAAAACCAATTAAAAAATGGGCAAAGGATCTGAACAGGTACTTCTTGGAAAAGGACCTACAAATGGCCAATAGATACATGAAAAGATGCTCAATGTCACTAATCATTAGATAAATGCAAATTAAAACCACAATGAGATCTCTATGTTATTAAATGCCTGACAACATTTAGTGCAGAATCTTTGCTTCCATCTTAGGGCTCTGGGACTTACTCTCTGGCACCAGCCAAGACTGAAACAGAACACGTCTTTTAGACCTTCAACACCATTTCCTTATGTCTGATGGGGTGCTGAGGTATTAATCCACTTAATCTAACCTTCAGTTTGGTACTGCAATTCATTTGCTGCTGCCTGGGATTTATTATTTGTCATTGTAAATCCTGGCAAAATCAGTTTAGCTTTTCTGTAAAAAACCCCAGAGATTCTGCTTTTATTGTGACACCAGTCTCACTGCTATTTAAAAATAAATAAATAAACCTGCACGGTTTACAAATGCGTCCCTCTTTACCATCTGAAATTTGTCGCCCAGATACAATAGCCTCCTGATATTGGGGCATTAATTTTTTGATGAGGCATTTTATATTTCTGTGCATGCTACATCAGCTTTTGATGGGCCAAAAATAAAAAAATGTAGCCCCCCTCTCTTGGAGCTTTGTCTTGTGGTCTGGACAGAAATCCATACCATTCTTTAAAAATTTAATAACTTCAGACTGGCTGTGCTGAGAAATTTAAATCTCTTTCCCTGCTGTGACTACATCCTCATAGCTCATGGGGAAATACTTGTCTGGATTCTCACAATCCACTGGTCACTTAATTCACTGTTCTCTTTATGAGAGTCTAAGACTGACTGAGAAAGATGATAGAATTTTCCTTCCTCTTGGGAAGGAAGTGATAGGATTGATATTTTTTAAAACATTTTTACTGAGAAGAAATGGACATATAATAAATTGCACATATTTAAAGTGTACAATTTCAGCAGCTTTGGCACATTCATAAAACCATCACCTCAATCGAAATAGTGAAGATATCCATCTCCTCACAGTTTCCAGAGAACACTTTGTAAGCCTCCATCTTTCCATCCCCTACCCTATCCCAAAGTGATAAATAAATTGCTTTCTGTCACTTTAGATTAGCTGGCACTTTCTCTAATTTTCATAAATAGGTTCATACTGTATGTTCTAATTTATGTATGGTTTCTTCCACTCAGCATAATTATTTTGCAATTTGTCCACATTGTACCACGTACTAATGGTTCATTCCTTTTCAATGTTAGATAGTATTCCATTTTGTGGATATGTCATAGTTTTTTTATCCATTCACCTGTTGATAAATATTTAGGTTATTTCCAGTTTGAGGCTATTACAAATAAAGCTGCTATGGTCATTTGTGTACAAGTCTTTATACAGATATAAGTTTTCATTCCTTTTGGGTGAATATCTAAGAGTGAAATGACTGGAGTATATGTTGGGTGGAACTTTTTAGGGAACTGAAAAACTATTTTCCAAAGTCGGTAGTACAACTTTCCATTCCCACCAGCAGTGCACGAGAGCTCTACACTTGATCTCAGTGGGCCTTTTCCAATTCTATCTAGGAAGTACTGAACACCTAACATATGCAAAATAGTATTTCAGGCTTGCTTCTATATTTTAGGTTTTATCTCTTAACAACTCTGAGAGGTCAAGGTTGGCATAGCACCTCAGTTTTTATAGATTAGGATATACGGCAATACAATTAGAAAGCAGTATGACCTGTCCTAGGTCTCACAGCTAATACAAAGCCAGAGCTGAGACTGGAACTCAAGGCTGTCTGATTCCAAAGTTAATGCTTGCTAGGAGAACTTTTTGTAAAACTCATCTAGCCTTTTCACACTAGAGAAGGAGACTCTTGGATATTATCTTTATTTTTTAATTTTTTCAATATAAAAGTAATATATGCCTATTTTTAAAAATGTGGAAAGCACAGGAAAGTAGTAAAGAATCACAAAAACCACTCACACATCTACCACTGGAATAGCACCACTGTAATATTTGTGAGTTGAAGTGTTTCTTATACTTTGTTGATTATAACTTTTTCTTATCTAAAGTATTGGTTTTGATGGGGTATTTAATATTATCATTTAAATGATATCAGTAATTAAGTGTCAGAGGATAAAAAGCTGCACCTAGAATGTAAGCTTCAAAAGGACAAGCATTTTGGTAGTTTCTTCACCAATGTGCACCTAGAAGAGTGCCTGGCACACAGTAGGTACTCAAAACATATTTGATGAGTGAATTTAATTCACTCACTATAATTGATATCTAAGAGGCCCTCCTGATCATACATTTTTCAATCTCTATACACTTTTTTTTCAACTTTAGCCTTTGCAAATTGGGCATTGAAAGACTTCAGCTATTTACTTACTAGCATGATGGTGTTTCTAATAACATGTTCTCCCTACTGGCCATCACAGCAGGTAGTTACTGTTTGAAATATCTTGAAGGCTTTTAAGCCCTGGCTAGTGTGGCTCAGTGGACTGAGCGCTAGCCTGTGGGCTGGGGCATCACTGGTTCAATTCCCAGTCAGGGCAAATGCCTGGGTTTCAGGCCAGGTCCCTGGTGGTGGGGCATGCAAGAGACAACTACACACTGAAATATCTTGAAGGCCTTTAATCCCACTGAAGGTAATTGTAGTCACCAACCTGCTGGCTAAACTACGTTTCTGGCAGTATTGTGGAGACTCACGTCAACTTTTCCAATTTTCTAATTTCCCTGGAAGGCCAGCACATACCGGGAAATCCATGCAGGGCAGTGAGGTGGTGTGGGAATGAGCACCCCCCTAAGAGGAGGTGAGGGGATGGCTTGGGCTTCCCGCGCCCAGCATGGCCAGGGAGGGCTCTGTGCGTGCTGTCTGTGTCCCTCCGCAAGCTCATGCGACAGGGGGGCCTCAGCTTTTCTGCTTCCGGTTTTCCTCAAAGCCCCTGGTCATGAGCTAAACTGTGTCCCCCACAATTCATGTTGAAATCCTAACTCCTCAGTACCAAACTTGTGACATTACCTGAAAACAGGATCGTTGCAGATGTTATTAGTTAAGATGAGGTCACTAGGGTGAGGCCTAATCCAATATGACTATTGTCCTTATAAAAGGGAAAACTTCGACACAAACATGCGCATATACAGAGAACATCAAATGAACATGAAGAAGGCCACTTATAAGCCAAGGAGAGAGGCCTAGAACAGAGCCTTCTGTCAGAAAGACCCTATCCTACTGACACTGTAATCTTGGATTTCCAATCCCCAGAACTGTGAGACAATAAATTCCTGTTTAGGCTGCACAGTGTGCGGTGCAGCGTATGGCAGCCCTAGCAGAGGCATACGCCTCCGCTCTCAGGGAGGACCCAAACTAAGACAATGGCTGTGTCCTATTTTGGTTGACGTCATAATACTGAGAGAGGTTGAGATAAGAATACCTTTGCTCAAGCATCACTCTGGGGAAGTCTTTCCTGACTCATCCACCCCTCTCTTAGGTAAGACTTGCTGTCCTTTGGTTCCCACTGTGCCCTGTCATCTTGCTGTCACAGCTACTAAGGCACATGTACACCTGTGTATTTGCATGTGTGCTACTTCTGAAACATAAGTTTTCTCCTGCAGCAACTATGCAGCAAATAAAAGGAAGATCCGGTGCTGTTCTGGAGATTGCTAGATTCCAGATTTACTCCTCCCTGACTTTAAAAATACAACTCCTGACTATTGGCTCAGCAACTGAAACCCCAGTTAGGGTTCTTGCCACTAGGATGTGACCAAAAGTGATGTGTGCTCTTCTAGTAACACTCCTGGAAGGGAATGGATAGAGGCTCCCCGGCCTCTCTCCCTCCCTGCTCGCTGGGGGATGACAATAACTACAGTAGCTGGTAGACAAGAAATGGGAGCCCCGTGTTGGGTGTTACTGGGCTGTGTGGGACTCCTGTCTCTCAATTTTCCTGTGACAGAAGATAAAACGTCTCATTTCAGGCACTGTATTTTGAAGTCTCTTTGTTCCAGCAACTTAGGTTCTGTCCCAATAATTTAATTCCTTTCTCTGATTTACTAAGAATAAAAGAAGCTTTCAGGCCCCTGGCGTGAGCAGGTGGCCACCTCAACCTTGAAACAAGCACTTGCAGGACTAGACTCGGCCGCGGTGGAAGGAGGCTCCTGTCTGTCTTCCACACAGTGTGCACGGGCAGAGGGCTCGCTACACCTCCTCAGGGGGAAAAAGGATCTTCACAATGCCCCTGTCTATCTAAAGAGAACAATCAATTACCACTGGTTGACCAAGAAAGACAGCAGGAGAATAAGTCTCCTTCACAGTCAACCATCAAGAGGATGTCTGCACCGGTGGCAAGTGGTCATTGCAAGAGGTGTTGGTTCCAAAGTAGCTCCGTGCCTGCATGACAGACACTGCGCTCTTCCCAGAAAGACCAGGTCCAGCCCAACCCCACCTCCTGGCAGAGGTGTCCTCACCCACTGAGACAAATGGGGTGAGGGGCTGCTGCTCTTCAGGCTGAGGCCAGCTGCCTGAAGAGAAACCATCAGTCATCAACAAGGACTTCCTCTGGAAGACCTTGACACCTAAAAAGAATCAAATGCATGAAAATATTCTCACTTCAGGGAGACTGGGAAGCAGACGATGCTGAAGAAATGCTACAGAAAGGACTCAGTGTGGGGTTCCTGACAAGGGAGGGGCAGGAAAGCCCTGCCCTATGAGCAGTGGGGAGGGGCCCCCCAAGAATAAGAGGGAGGGGACTACATCTTATATCTGGCCTACTTAAGAGCTACTAGAAATAGGTGAACTGAGAAAAACAGATAGGGACAGGAGACTGAGTGGATTAGGGAGTCAAACCTTGAGGAAAAGGGCAGGTAGAGAGAGCCATCCCCCTATTTCAGGAGAAGCGCGTTCACCTAGGCGTTGCTCCCTGAGCAGTGCTGGCTTGGCCTTGGCAGACAGAATTTAAGCCCAGTGTGGCTGAGGCTGTAAACACAGAAAAGGCGAATTTGGAGCTGCCTCACACAGGACTCAACACAGCCTGGGGCCAGAGAAGAGCGAGGACTGGGATTTACCAGCACGTGGGCTCAAAGCCTTTGAAAGCCCTGTGCAGCTTGCGTGCAGCTGCCCAGCACAGCAGCCAAGAGCCTGCCCTTTCATCTTTGGAGAGATACAATCAGCAACTTGACAGAATTCTGGCAGAAGCAATTAGCTCATGAATTAGTTATCAAATATCTCATGAAGCCAAGGTCTTGAGAGTACTGATCTGCCTACTTCTCCCAGGAACTGGGGTGCAAAAGGGTAGGCCACCGGCTTTCATTTGCATTAGGGCTTTGGCCAGTCTCTCCATCCCTCCTCCTGCCCTCCCACCGTATGCACACAAGGCTCCTTCCTCTAGCATCACCGTGGACCTGACATGGTCTGCCTTCCTCACCTCCTTTGCCCCATCACCCTGCACCCCTGGAAACGCATCTCCCACCACCCTCCCCCTCCTTCATTCTGCCATGGGCACACTGGTCCCCTTGCTTCCTTTGAAACAGGATGTGTCTGGCTGATCCTGCCTCTGGATGTTTACACTGGCTGATCCCTCTGTCTAGAATGGTCTTTCCTTATCTATCAGTTTGGCTGGCTCCCTTACTTTCTTTAGATCTGTGCTCAAATGTCATCGTATTGTCAGGGAGGCTCTCCCTCATCCCCTGCTCCCTGTGCACCCTGCTGATGCCCTTATTTCTCCCCCACACTCATCACCAGTGATATATGCTGTTTTTTCTTTTTGATATGTGATATATTCACTTGCTTGTTTGCTTACTATCAGGCTCCATGCATTAGAAGGTGAGTACCATCAAGGCAAGTAATTCCCCTGTTTTGCTATTTTCCTGATTGAACGAAGACTTTGTAGCCTAAAATCCAAAGAAAAGCAATGAAGATCTAAATCTCCTGCAAGGTGTCGCTGCCTGTATGATGCATGAAATAAGGACAATTCTATCTCTAGACTGTTTATTCAGCAAGTATCTCTTGTCCTTCACCTCCCTCCCACTGCCGAGTTCTATAGTTCTCTCCCTGAAATTGCTTCCTTCCAGCCCTCCTTCCTTCAACCCGCTATCCACTGAATACTTATTAGGTACCAGGTATTATCTCTTACATTATTCTCATCTTACTATACCTACCACCACCCCCTGGGTAAAGCCTCACTAGCTCCTGTCTGGCCAAATGTGAAACTTCCTATCCACAGTCACTGCTTCATTTTTCCTTCTTTTGGTTCATCCTGTTGGACACTAGGTGAATTTTACTTCCTTTCCCTCCTCAAAATCCTGCAGGGGCTTCCTATTGAATTAAACAGAAATTACTTATCTCAGCTTTGAAAACCCTTCATAAAATGTCAATTTCCCCATGAGCCCCATCTATTTCTATTTTTAGAATATATGCTTTAGTTAAACGAGCCCAGCCATTTTTTTTTTTTAACATGCCCACATGCTGTTCCCATCTCTGGAAAGAATACAATTTCTGTCTGCCTAAACTTGATCTTCCAAGGGTGCTTTTAGCTGCGACTGCTGGGCACCATCCCACCTGATGTAGCCTCTCCCATTTTTGAATTCTCATGGCACCAGATTTAAACAGTTCTTAACACCCCTGCCATATTCTCCCTTGAGTTATGATTATCTGCAGGAAAGAGGTTCTTTATCTCACCCAGTAGAAAACTCTGGAAGGATGAAATTGTATTTTATTTATCTTTTTTTTTCCTTTCCCCAGCAGCAGCTAAATTAGAATCTTGCTCAATACACATGTTCACTTGCTCTTCACTGAATTAAATTATTAAGCACAGCGCATCACACCACGCCTGGTGCTCAAATACTTTAAGAGAAGAACAGGGTGCCATGTTTGCCCTGAAGAGATTGGCAATCTAGTTATGGAGACAAGATGGCTTATATAAAACTGTAAGTTTTTATTTAACTTTCAGCAAGTAATTATTGAGCATCTACTGTGTGCGAAGTATAATATAAGGCAGTATCAGTGGTGCAGACAATAAACACTAATAAAGGCATAGTCTAAGTGTATATGTACACGTGCTGTGGCTACCCCCAATGCTTACCAAATGCCAACTTTTGGTTTGATGAAGCAAGAGTAATGGGCTTACCCGGTGAGGCTGCGTGCTCCAGGTGACCCAGCTGGGGCTGTCTGGTGATTCTGTAGGTTAAATCTGCAGGCCCACGCTCCTGGTCAGTGGCAGAGAGCTGCAGGGTGGTGATTTTCTTCACTGAGTTCTCATCCAAGACCAGCCCTTTATTGGTGGTGATGACTGGTAGGGATTTGTCCTCTGAAAGTGTTAGAAGTAGTGATTTGATAGGGGATATTTTCAGCTTCCTTTCTTCAATTCTGGACCTGGCGCCCAGGGGTAAGATCAGAATAGCTCTTAGGCCTGTGCCTCAGAGAGAACGAGAGCCCACCCCAAGGACCCAGACTGCCATACAGGCGGGATGTGATTCCAGGTTTCCTTACCAGTTGGGTAGAGGAAAGGGTCAGCCTCGTGGTAATCACAGCATAGACTATTTAACCTCAGAATTGCTGATGAATTGTTAGAAACCCAATGCTCCCTTACCTACAACACTGATGGAAAATGACTGGCTGATCAATTTGTTGCCTTCCCCATCAACCACATCAAATTTGAAAACAAAGGTCCCACCCGATTCTCCTTTTCTGTGACTGTATTCTACTTGACCTGTAAAAAGAACAACAACAACAAAAATCAAGATTTGCTACTAATGCTTTCTGCCTTTATTTCTGAAGTGTAAGGCAGGAATTCGATTGCTATCCACACCAAGGAATCAATTAACACCTTCCTCACTTTGACATTGCTTTTGACATTTTAATCTACAGTTTTCATTTCTTCCTTTCCTCTTCTACTATGGACTTCCTCATAAACACCCCTAGATTAAAATCACCCCAAGCAGCATTGCTTAGGGCTGAGCCTCAGCTTTTGGGAGTCTGAGGAAGTTTCATGAATAACTAGATCAACAAAGTTGTTCATGAGGAAAACGTGTAGCACCACGCCCATGTCACTGGTGTGACTTGGGTATATATCCATGTCCCAGGCCAAGAAGATGCAGAGCTGTGGCCCACATTCTCCTAGAAAGCATCACTCCCAATTCCTAATACAGCCTTCAATCATTTTTGGAACATAACCAACCAACAAATAAATAGATAAACAAAATAAACTCTACATAGAAGTCAAAGGATCCAAAGGGAGAAGTGCAATATGTTACATTGTTGTGAACCCACAACATCACTTCTAAGTACCTAGCAACGTAACTATAACTCGATCTCTAGGAAGAGATGCCTGGTCTCAGTTTTTAAGAAGAGACACTGATGCAAGGAATAATTAAGGAATTACTAACCCGCTGCCTATTCTGCCCCCTTCATTAAAGTACAGACAGGGACAATGAGAATCAGGCTGCTCAATTTCACATGTTAGTGCGTGGACAGGACCCTTATCGCTGCTCCTTGGGGGCACATTCCCACCTTTACATGGAATTGTGCATTATCGCATGATGTTGGATTACCTTCCTCCCACAATAGGTAACTTGCCCCCTTTTCTACCCCTGAATGCACCGTACAGTGACTACGTAGCATTTAACATTTATGCTTTTACATTACATCAGCATTTCCTGGAGGAGGGATGAGCTATGTAATCTCCCCCAGGCAGCTCCGATTTATGCCCTTCCATTTTGCTTAGTTCATTAACTTGCACTCTTAGGGGAGCTGAAAAGAGATATAAATTGTTCACCTCAGGCAGGCATAATTTTCACCTAAATCCATCCCAATTCACTCCTTTTTCCTTTTCCTCTCTCTCACACACTTTTTGGCATCACGGCAAGTCAAATAATTTTTTTTCCCTCCACAAGAGCCCCAAATTTTATCCATGCTATGTCAAAGGATGAACTCATTTTAGCCGAGAAGGATAGTTTAAAAAAAAATTGAGCAGACAAAAAAGAATAAATGAAGCTATAACTCAGTTCTTATTCAAAACAAAGAGTGTACAGTTTACTGCCACAGGCGACCAGGCATTTAACTCTGGCTTTGCCACTGTGGGTGGAAGTCGAGGAGGCTGGAGGAGGCTCAGGGAGACTCTCTGACCTTGGCCGATGTCAGCCTGGGTGAAGCTTCGGATGGGGCCTCTGACGGAGATGTGCTCCAGGTTGCCATGCGTCACCATCTGCAGGCGCCCTGCTCCAGGATCTTCCTTCACGATGTACATCACCTGGCTCTCATCTGAGTCAGTGTCTGTCACTTTCAAGTGCTGTTCTGTGATGCGTGCTGTAGACCCTGGAAGAGAATGAGAGACGTAGGTCATTCCCCTCATTGCCTTTAAATAGGATGTCCAATCATTTCAGGAGACTGGGGAGTAAATTATCACACATTCTCTGGGTCTAAGTAAGTACCAGGTGCTTGGCCTTCTGTTTCCAGCGGAATAAATGTTAATTTCCCCAAGTGAAATAGTCCCAACCTCCCAGTTTGCTAATCCTCCTTCGGGTTTAGATCTGAGTGCCTTTTCTCTTCTGATCTGTTCTCCCCATCTCACCATGGTTGCTTTAGTCCCACAGCCTATCAGTCAGTGCCTAGATCCATATAATAGCTCCTTGCTCTGTGATGTAAATCACTCCTAGACCTATGATAAAACCTGCTTGGACCTAACTTATTTACTGTCTTGAGGATCACCAGATCATTAAAAAAAAAAACTGCTTTATATAAACTCACAAAAATATTTGGTTGCCATCTCAGACCAAATAACCAAATTCACTGTTCCCCGAGACAGAGGATAAGGTGAAGATTACAGAGAGGAGGGCCTGGGCGGTGGCCCTACCAGGTGGCACAGCTGCTGGGTATGGGGCCAAGGCGCCGGCTACTGGCAAACGCCTCTTCTCAGGGCCTCGCCCCTTGCTTTTCTGTCCAGCATCTTATCATATTAAAAATAGTAAATTCTGCTACAGTAGATCCTAGTCATCCTGGTGTTTGGAGAGACAATCCACCACGGGCCCCAAATGTCCCTGCATGTTCTTGCTGGGTAACGCTGGGGATGCAAGGCCTAACCACTCGTCACCCAGGACATTCTCAGGGATGGGACAAAGGCCGGGCTTGCTTGTTGCTGGCTATAACATGGGAGTTCCTCGAGCACAGGGTTCCTCCAGTGCATCCCGCGGCGTGCGGAGACATCCATCTGGGGCGGGCCCTCTGTACCACCACCAAGGGACTTGGAGGGCAGAGAGAGCCCATGCAAACGTGCTGATGGCAATGTGGCCTGCTGTGCTGTGAGTGACAAAGTAGTTTGCCCGGCACCCAGGAACCTTGTGTCTTTCACCAGTATCCATGAAACAGCAGCAGGCTAACTTAACTGCTTATAATAGGGTAAAGGTAGATCCCAGACCTAATACTTGGGGCCTTTGGGAATCTCCAAATTTTCATTCATCATTATACTATATATTTTTCACTACAAAATACATGTAAAACTAAGAAGAGATGGTCAAACAGAATTCCCTAGGGATGTGGATGTTCTGTGGTCAAAAGGCCCAGTCTCTAATTAACATCCTGCTGACACGTGACACACATGATCAGTGCAGCTCATACATAAGCAAGATTGTGGATATTATACCCTAGAATACCATATCAAATGATTCTCATTTACTTGCATGATCTCTTTTAGTACATGGAGGCTTCCCAATTGCTCCAACAAGCCTTTTTATTCGTTTTCTTTTTTTTAAATAAGCATGTTGAAAATCCTGCTGGATTTCTTTTGTTGTTTCCATGTAGGTTGCTGGGCAGTGGCAATGTCTGACCTTGGAAAAACTATAACCTTTTCTCAATCTTTTCTCAAATTGACAGGCATAAGCATCTAGCCCAAAGAATTTCAGAGATTCACATTTGTCACTCACGTTTAGTGTCCCTGAAACAAGAGTTCTGGCCACCTCCAGCCTCCCTGAGTTCTGAACACTTGGCTCAATATCCTCCCACAGAGCTAAGGTGGAAGGAAACACTGCACACTGACCGGGAACCACAGCCACCTTCTTCCATTCCTTTGGTACCTGCTGAGAGCTGCAGGCCTCGGTTAACCGCCAACCGGGGAGCGTCACCCGTAGGCAGCTCTATGTGTATCTCCATCCTCCCTGTGTCCAGGTGGAGACCATCAGTGAGAGAGAACTGGAACTCATCCACTGCCACACCAGGAACACCAGGCATGTACCCGACGAGCCCGCCCAGGATGTCCTGGTAAGTGAAGGAAGAGCCCTCGTCTAAAATCCTCCCATTCTTCAGATGCTCAGAAGCAGTTTGCCTCTGAAGTAGATGACCTGAGAAAGGAAGTAAAGAAAAACAAAGAAACAATGGTAGAATATACATGGCCCCCCAAAATTGTCTGATTTTATCGACTAGTATGAGCCTGGGTAGGATGTCAAGCACCTCAGAGGCTCTTGGCAACACACATATACATAAATGACCAACAACTTAGCATTTAAAAAATAAGCACAGGGTGCCTCCCTGCAGCCTCAGCTATAAATAAAGAAGACAAAGTTCCACTTTTCCTGCTTAAAAATCTCTTAAAGAGACACAGATGAATGTGGCAATATAATGGCTTGGAAATCAAATCCCACTCCATGAATTCAAACTCATTTCATTAACTAAACCATACTTTTCCCTTCTGCAAAGTGAAAATAGTACTCTTCCCTCACTGCCTTCCTCCTAGGGCATCCAGGATAGGAAATAAGGATATGTTTTGAATTCCTTTTAAAATCAGAAAGATGCTAAGCATTTTTGGATTGAGACATAATTTCCTGTTTTCAAGGGTCACAATGGGACAGTTAAAGTATTTCATTAAAGAAAGTGAAAATGAATGAAGGAAAGCCAAAATGCAGTGACCAGCAGCATCTTCCATTAACTCTCCATGAACAACAATGGTTTCATCTTTAGGAGACCAACGGGTGTAAGGGATGGACCGTTGGGAGACGCAAGTTTCAGTTTCAGTTAATACCAGAGGGATGGCACTTAGAACAGAAGTAGGAAGAAGATCCCCATGGTGGCTCTTAGCTCTGGTTTAATCAGGAAAAGTGATTTTTCCTGCAAAAGGAACAAGCTCACTGAGACATCTACCATGCCTCTAACCTGAAGTGAACACCTTTTGCAATTAATAACAAGGCTGTTCCTTGCATAAAATGGCCCTGGATTACCAAGCAATGATGCGTTCTCTGAGAAGAGAATATGCAGACTCTGAAACCTACTTTGCCTGAGGTTACATAGAAAAGTGAGAAAACAGCTGAAATTGAATTGCAGAAACACCAATTACCTAGGATTCAGGCTTCTAGAGTAAACGGTGTCTACTGTGAGCCCAAAGAAGATCAGCTAGCTGTGAATTGATTTCTACTTTGATGCAAAGAATGAATGATATAGAGGCAAGGCAGAGGAATAATCAGCTGAAATTTATGTGTTTATTCTAATAACCCATCAGGCACCTCAATTAAGAAAGTTTATGAAGCTGTTGTGTCCTACCGTGGTCAGGCTTTTTGGTCAATACAAAAACCAGCTCATTATCTGGCGTGTCCAGGTCTTGCAGGCTCAAAGAAAAATTGCTTATCACCACTCCCGAGCTCAGCTGCACGCGGAGGGGCCGCAAAGTCATCCTGGGAGACTCGTCATTCTTGCTCTGATTAAAGCATAAAACACTAGGTCTCACACAGATACCGGTTTAAGAGAGGAAAATGCACATTATTCAGAGAAAGCAACAGCGCGACCTCAAGCTTTCACTATCAAAATATCATTTAATATGTCTCCATCTCTAATTCCCAATCAAAATGGTTAGTTTCAAAGGAGAGCAAGTCACACAAACAAAATGTACCCCTGAAAAGAAACGGGTGGACATTCTACACAAATCTTCTTCATAGGTACAATGATCATATTTTCCAGACCAAAAATACGTATATGTGGTTAGACAGGCACAAGTAGATTTGGGGGATAAAAGGGCACATTATCTGAACTCAGAATGGTCTTTAAAATCCCTAAGCATATCACGGTAACTATGGCAGGGCACCACATTTGAAAGTGTGGGTTTTTAAAGTTGTCTCCCTGCCCTTATGCCAGTGCTACTTCCATCACTGTCCCTGAAGGGTGCTGAGGGTACCACATGTTTTATTTTCTCAAGGCAGAGACTATTCTATTCTGAGTTTTATCTTTTATGTCTCTCCCTGGGGTGGTAGAGCAAGCCTTATGTAGTTGCTCCAATGAGAATAAATACAGCATCAAGGAACACATTCCTTTGGTGTTATAATTTAATGAATAAATGCATTAAAAATTTAAGAAAAGGTAAGTATGCCTTAGAATCACATACAATAATTTCAGGGAAAAATTGGCATATGTTAGTTTGCATCTAAATATGAGATTGGCAAGGTTTCTCTGTCAGACCCTCACCAACTGTTTTCACACAGAAAGAATAGATTTCACCCAGAAATGAGAGTTTAGACTTCCAAGTCAGATCACCCCTAAATGCCAGTCTTAATTCTACAAATTTCCTGTAGGTTAGGGTTATTTTTTTAAATTAACCTCTAACACTAAAGGTCAAATTCAATCTTCTTTGCTTTTGAATTTATGTAAAGCTGTTTCATAGTGGGATATTATGGTCAAAGGCCCAACTCTCCCAACTTCCAAAGTCTTTACCTCAATGGTGATATTGATGCTGTGGATTTCTGAACGACTATTTCCATCACTTACATAAAAACTAAAAATATCATGGGTTGGCTCAATGCTCTCATGAACATTCTGAAAGTAGTAAATGTAGTTTTCCAGGACATCTTGAATTGGGAACGATGCCTCTAGGTCACTGGTAGTTCCAGGGCCAAAACGATCACCTGCATCAACATCAACAGAGAAATTTTACATTGATCCATCAATCCCTGCTTACTAAGCTGACTAGAAAACATGGTGGCATCATCAACAAAAGAAGAAAGTGTGTCTGAGCATAAAAGTCAGGGAAGGGAAGGAGCAGAAGACCAGGAATCAGAAGACTTGGGGTTGGATCCCAGCTTCCCCACTATTTCTCACCTATAAATGGATATACCTGCCCTGCTGTTTCCATGGGGAATAAATTGAGATAATATGCATGAAAACACTCAGAATGTTACTATTCTATATAGCACAAAATTAGTGGCTGTTTTGTTAGAAATCTTTCATAAAATAAGTGCTGGGGCAAGTAATGATGCAATAGCAAATGTTCTACCCTAGGCTTTAGTCAATTTTAAGATCACTCTACTTGGTATATCCTGCAAGAGGAACCCTCTTTCTCTACATAAGCAAAGGTTAACTGCATGCATTTTAATGTAACAAACATTCCCTTAAGCATGTTTTCATTTGATCTCTCAGTTCCTTAAGAGAACTTCAGCATGGGTCAGACCTCAGACCCTGGGATGGTCCACCAGGGCTACTGTGATCCTCAAGGACCATTCCGAGCTTCATAGGAAGTGCTGGCTCTAGTTAACTCTTCCTTTCATCCCAACCCCAAAGACTGTAAAAGACCAAGGGGAAGAGTAAGTACTTTCTACATGATGGATGACTTGACTCTTACTTAGTCTGAGTCTCTATAATTGATCAATTTCAAATTATCACATTTTCTTCTTAAAAAAAAAAGAAAAAACAACAACAACAAAAACAACCCTGTGCCTTCAAACATTCACTGGACATATCAGCAAAGGAAAGTATAAACAGAGGATCTGAAATCAGCAAGGCTTTCTCTCTCCTTCTTCCATAGTCCTTTGCAAAGATCAGGTCATATATAAAAAGCCATTGACTTCCTGAACTGTAGAGAAGGTCATTTTTTGTTGACTTCCCAACAGAAAAAATAGGAATTAAAAAGGTTTATTTATAATTTGTTTGAGTTAAGAACTCAAGACAAATATTTCTTCTTCAATGACATAAATTTTTTAAAAATTTTACTCCCTCAAATTTGATATCTCTTGTTGCCAGAAGCATATAGGAGTCTAATCCCTATGATATACAGTTCAGGGTTCCCAAAAGAAACTCCTATAATTCTTTCAAGTTCTTATTTTCTCTTTCCATTATCATTATCAATGTGAGAAATGTGGCTTCTTTATTTGGGTATTTATAGCATAAATAAAGTAAATAATGCCTAAAAATATATTCAGATAGAATAATGGCATTTTCTGTCACTGGAAAACAAGCCATTCAACAAGTGAATCTGTCACTGAAGCTTTTAGTATCAATTCCTCCAATTTTTAAGTTACACCTTTTACTTTTTTCATGTAAATCATTCTTATGTGCTTCCTTTCCTTCCTAAAAGGAATAGGCCTTCTGCACATTATATAGTTCTCAATGTGAGCAGGCTTGTCATGACCATCCATTGCTGCACTGTAATGGAACACAGTGATACCCTAGAGGTAATCAAGGTGGGCCCTGTCCTGTTTGTGCTGGTACTGAGTGTATGTAGATCCCACGCTGTTAGATTTTGTACTTCACAATATAACTATTCTGTTCGCTGTTTTGCTGGTAAGAAGTTTAAGCTCCTCCTTCTAATGGTTTTAAAAGGACATTCTTCTGATCAGCTGGATTTGAAATCTAGGTAGCTAGTTTCATATATGTAAAACAGACTCGGTTCTTAATACCCATGGAGAAAAAGTGAGGTCCTTAAATGACGTGCCTTGGGACAGTTATTTGTGCCCCTGATCACCTCTTCCTTACTTTCAGGTTCAGGCTAATGCAGAGCAGCTGTTTTCCAAGTGTGGCCCTCGGACCAGCATGGATGGCATGGCCCACAAGTGAGGGAGAAGTGCAAATCCTGGCCCTCACAGGCCTCCTCCAGCAGGAGCTCTGGCGTGCGGCCCAGGAAACTGAGTTTGCACAAGCCCTCCCTGTGAGTCTTACGGACATTAAAGTTGGAGAACCATTTTTAGGGAGGCTGATTTTGGGACCAGTGAAATATTCCTCTGTATATATTCCAGGTCAATGGAAAACTGTGTTAGGAAAGCTTAATAAGACACCATCTGGCAAGAAGAGAAGGCCAGGGCATCCGTCCCATGCTGGTTCCCCACCCTTTGCCCATGCTTGTCTCTCTGCGAGAAATGTCATTTTCCCTCTGCTCACTAACCCTTCAAGTTCCAACTTAAATGTCACTTCCATAGGCTTTTCCCGGCCTTCGCAGGCAAAAGTAATTGTTTTGTCCTATATATCTTCTCAGTGCTAAGCTTCTTTCTTTGTCCTGGCCTTTCATGTATTGTGTAACTTATCGGTCTTCATTCCTGTCTCCCACTTGGGGCAGGGGCTGTGTTTTATTCATCTTTATATCCATTGTCTCTAGAATAAACATTTGTGGAGATAAAGCGAATTCAGTGATGAACAAATCTAAGCACATACCGAGGCAAGAGGGGGAAAGGACCCATTGTTTTCTACAGGAAACCATGATCGCTGCTAACTTTCTGGTAACCAGGCTCAAACCTCAGGCACCATGCTGGCCACAGACACCTTCAGTCAATGACCTCTCTGTGGGAGCCTCTGGCTGCACCCCAATTAGAGCCAAGTGCCAGCATTCAGGAATCTCACTGCAGAGGCAGCAGCACAGTAACCTGCCACGAGCTGTCTCAACTGCCAGTCATTGCAGTCCCAGGGGCCTGTGGATGGGACACATCTCGCTTCTCCTTCTCTGTGCTAACCACTAAGGGTAGTGGGCCCAGGGCAGATGGCAGGGGCGGAGGGACGTTGAGGAGAGGCTCACAGAGAGGCAAGCATGCATTTCGATTCATGCCATATCTTTAGAAAGAGCCAAGACATAAGCTATGGTTCAGCTAAACTGCAGCTGCCTCCCAATAATAAGACAGAAATTTTTATTTCTTTGACACACAATTCTGGGTGTAATCCACAAGGCCCCCCATCTCCACTGCTGGTGCCTTACTCTATTTTTTTTTCCATAGCATTGATTTACCTCCTAACATCTTACTCAATTTTCTCACTCGTTAGGTTTCTCATCTGACTGCCCCCCAGGATCTAGGGAACCATGAAAGTACTGGTTTCTGTCTGTTTTGTTTACTGATGTTTCCCTAGTGCTTAAAAAAGTGCCCAGCACATGGAAAATGCTCAATAGCTTTCTGTTGAGTGGATGAAACCTTCCTTCCTCCCATTCCTTTGAAATGGTTCCATTCCTCTTTAGTTCCCCATGTCCTGGTTTAATCGGAGGCAGTTAACTCCCTCCCCCACCCTTCTTTTCAGGTTTGAAAGAATTCTACAGCAAAGCTCCTGCTGGTACCTGTGCCTGTGTTCTCAATGCAGCCGAACTTGGGCAGAGCACTTAGTCTAATGATGGCATCTCCCTGGAGGTTGTCATGATCATCAGCAGCAAAGAAATGGTGAAATGAGAGTGGGGTTCTCCCTCCCTCGTCAACCTGAGAAAGAAAAGAATGCAGAGGGTCCTTGGGCGATTGCACATAACTGCGGGAAAAAGAACTGAATTGCAAAGTGCTGCCGGGGGTGACCTTCTGGCACCAATTTCACTTCTTTGAGGAGGCAGATCCTCTACGCACAAGATGAGGAATGAGCATGCTGGTGAAGTCAGGCAATCTTTCAACGCCTCTCAAAGCGACACTCAGGCACGATGACTTCTGTGTTTCCCTTCAAAGTCGCGCTTCCTTCAATGATGGATCTGGTTATAAAGCAGCCCTGGCCCATTCTAATCACTCAGCTCAGCATAACTGCATGACAGGATGGCTGCCTTCCTTCCATATCAACATTCAAAAGCCCGCAGCAAGACAATGATCATCCAGTCCTGCCTCGGACACAGTGAGGGCGACTGTCCTATAGGTGTTCCCATGCAGAATAAAAGTCCCATTTATTCTTTTACAGTATACATTTAGAGGTGTGCAGAAAGAAAGGGCTCAGCATACCTGAAAGCTAGTGCTTATCTTAATGTCAAAGAGGAAAATAAATCAGTGTAAGTAAAAGCGGTTGCTTGCGCTAGCTTCCTCCTTTAGGGCCGTTTTGCATGCTAACTCTACAACTGGAACCTGGTGTTTTTTGCTAGACTTCTGGATATGACCCAGGCCTTTCACTTTGAACAACTCTTGGCTGAATGTAGGAAGACCAACAAGTTACAAAGTGGAAGGTCACCCTGGCTTTGGGAATGGGGAAGGTACAAATGGCAGCCCCAAAGTGTGGAAATGGGAAAACAGGTGGAATATCATACTTATTTAGAAACAACTCAGTTTTATCAACTTTTAGTTGCTTGATGAAACCAGAATAACTCCTGAGTTTTTGGCATTATGGTGTGTATAGAGAGCAGGATGAGGACACTGAATGAAGTTTTATGGAATTTCCACAATGTGCCAGGACTGTACTAATTTTTTTAAATGCTATTTTATTAATCATCAGAGCACTCTTCTGGAATTACTAATATTTTAAAGATGAGGAAATTGAGGCTAAGAAAAAAATACATAATTGGTCCAAGGTCACTCAGCTAGTATGTAAGAGAACTGGCACGTGACCTTAGCTCTCGGTAACCTCATAATCAGGATTCATTATCTAGCTGTCCCCCTCCCCCACCTCCCTACCCCAAGGAACAGTCAACATTGTTTACAGTGATAAGTATCAACTTGACTTAAAGAGTGACTTGGGGGACATTGTTCATATTCCCATGTTTTAGTTGCAGCAAACATTACATTATAAACTCAAAGATCTATTCCATTTCTAATTGTATTCCCACTACTATACACATCTAGCATTTAGGTCTGGCACAATATTGGTTGACTAACTAAACAATGTAGATATAATTTGATTTTCTGCATGTCATTATTTTCTTACTTTTTGAAAAACTCATGATTGAAAAGAATGCATATCTTGATACTATTGCCTCAATATTTAGGGGGAAGAACTTGGCAGCCAATTTAGAAAGGGATCCTTTATTTACGGTGCCACAGAATTCCAGCTCTCTGCAGCACTTGCTTATTGGTGTGAGAGTTGTTTACCGTGATAAGGTCAGCAAAAGCAATGATTGGAGGTGGATTCTTGACAGGAGTGATCATGATGGTAAACATCTGGTGGTCCAGACGGTTGTGGTCCATATCAGACACAGAGAAATGGAAGCTATCAGTAATCAGCTGACCATCGGTCTCAAACACAGCTGAGTACCTATGGAGGCCAAGAGAAGAATTACCTACACTGAGAAACCGAGTAAGATGACTGTAACTTTGTTTGAAAATGGGGCCAGAAGCAATATAATCTTTCAAAGGATCTACTGGTTAATTGTCAACTTTTTTTTTAACTTTTCCCACATCCTTTAAAAAAATTATTGAATTTATTGGGGTGACACTGGTTAATAAAATTAAAAGTGTACAATTCTATAATGCATCATCAGTATACTGTATTGTATGTTCACCATCCAAAGTCATGGTTAACTATTTTAATACAGTCTTTAAAAATTCTTTCAAGTAATGCAAAGTGGTTACATACCTAATTTTCTTGTTGTTGATGTCTTCCATTGTGAAATTGGCAACCTCTGAGATTTCTTCCACTTCAGTTCCTAAGGTTCTTAAAAGAGTACCATACATGGGCAGAGATCTTAACTGAATCCAGATCGCTGAGTCGGGGGAAGAATCATCCTAATCAGGCAAATATGGGATAAGACGTGAATGCACATTTGCAGAAATAAATATTTCCAGTAGTTAAAGTGCTTCCTCCTTTGCTAATTGGAAAAATCTCTTTCCCTTTGTGATAAAGCAACACCATTTCAAACTGCATGAAAATCCCAGTACTTATTCCCCCTAAAATGCCTATTTGATAACCTCTTTTTTCAAGAGTAGCTCAAGAAAATAGTGGGGAAATTCACTTTTTGAGAGGGGCATAAAACAAGACACCCTATTGTTACTGTAAGAGCCACAAAGGGCTTTGTTTTTATTACAAGCATCTAGTGAAGAACAAAACATGGTCAGAGATGTAAAACATCTTTCTAACAACTCAGTAATAGGCTTCTTTTACAGCCTCTAAGGATGATTTGCTTTTTAGAAAAGTGTAAAATTCCCTTATAACATATAATACAATGATAATACAAAGAAAATTCTGAAAAACAAAAAGAATGGAAGTTACTTTCCTCAGCCAATGACTCATTTTAATGTTCAACATGATAAAATTTTTAGTTTATGGGAATTTAAGGAATGTTACAGATTTCATTCTATCAGAACTGAAAAGACCATTTCCTCTTTCTTCTGCATTGCTTACTGGGAAATCTGTGTTTTCCGTTTCTACATGGACAAAAATTGAATATCTTAATGAACAATTTCCTCTTTCTTCAAGGATATTTTTGGAAATATCTACAAGGTCGGCAGCATCTTCTTGGAGAGATTTCCTTAGTCTTTCATCTTTTAGGGCATTTGATGTGAACACAGGGGCACTTTACCCTCTGCCACAGCAACGATGAAGGTAAATATTGCATAGTCAGTGTACTTTCAAATGTGAATTCTCACAGCTCTACTGTATAGTTAGTGGAGACACTGGGTCAGAAATGTGAGCACGGATACACGATCTGGGGGCAGCAGGTTTTAATCAGTTCTCATTTCTAGCTCCGGAGGCCTTTTTAAGTTAGCTGTTCAGAGCCTCAAGACAAGATCACAGAACTTCCCATATTTCCTCCTGTCACTTGACACCAGCAAGGAAGGAAACCCAAATTCACTAAAGCAGCAAAACTTCAGAAAATCCTCCCTAAATTTATACTTTCAAAGTTTCCCTATTTTTCAACACAGGTTGTCAAATAAATGTGCAGGCTTCCAAAAGACTACCTTCTAATATTACTGTGAGTACTCCCTGAAAGAGAATTTTTAAAAGACAGCTGAGAGGTCAAAGTATTGTCTTCCAAGATGGTGATAAACTGCAGGACAGATCTCCTGATTCCTGATGAGAAGTATCTTCTAAATTCCTCATTGGCAAGTTTGGCAAAGAAATACTTTTTTCATGTCAGGCACATCTTATTATAATGTTTCAAATCTCAAATGACTGCTAGGTTTGAAAAAGTGTGAAATCAGCTATATTTTTTTTTTTTACTGAAAATGCTGCTATAATTTAAAGAAATTACTATTTTGGGATATCGAAGACACTATGGGTACAAAAATTTATAAGAATAGAGAGCTTGTTCTCATGTAACTTTCCTAGTTAAAGACCTCCTTACCCTTTTGCACAAACTCATATTTTCATTTTCTTATTATTTATAAAGCTACTGTTTTGCTGATTTGACATGAGGACTAGAATTTTAATAATTAATATTTGTCTATGTGTTTCTCCTTTATGCTCTCCCTGAGTCTATCTTTACCCTGGATCTTGTTTCTCATTTCCTTGAATTTCATAAAATAGTTTGGTATATTACTACAAAGTATTTTAGTTGTTTTTATACCTATGAAAAGGGAGTTAGACTCTCTTTTTGTGGGCTTTATTTTTCTTTTTGTGTAATAGTGGGCCACTAAGATCTATCAATATTGTCTGTGTAGCAACAGTTCATCGGTTTCAAGTGTTCTCTCATGTTCCACAGAGCATGCATATTACAAGTTATCTGTTATCCTGGCGATGGGCATTTGGCTTGTTTTGATATTTTTGCTCTTACAAACAATAATGCTATGAACATTCTTGTGCATATTCTTTTGGTACAAATGTGTAAGTTTCTCTTGGATAGGAATCTAGGAGGGAAATGGTTAAGGTATATGACATTCAACCTCACAAGACAATGCCAAATTCTTTTCCAAAGTGCCCATTCCAGTCTACACTTCCATCAGCAAAGTAAAAAGCCTCCTGTAGGCCCATTTCCTCCCCCACATTTGGTGTTGTCAGATTTTAAAATTTCTGTGAATTGAATTGGTATAAAATGATATGTAGCCTTATTTTGCTTTTCCTAATCACAAAAAGCTGACTATCTCTTAGATTTATTGATTCTATGCATTCATCTTCTGAAATTCCTGTTAATGTCTCTTGTTCATTTTTCTACCAGATTATTTTTTTCTTCTTCATCTGCAGATGTTCTTTATCTTTTCTTTGTTATTTTTGCTTATATGCAAATATCTTTGTTCAATTTTTAACTTGTCTGTTTTCTGTATTTACAGTGTGTTTTGGGAAACATATGTTTAATTTTAACATAGTCAAATGTATCAATCTTTTCTTTCGAATTAGCACTTTTTGTTCCTACTTTAAGAAATTTTTCTCTTTCCCGACATCCTAAAAAGAATTATAAAGTTTTGCTTATGACATTTAAGTACTTGGTTTGCCTGGAGTTAATATCTGCGTAGGGCGTGAGGAAGGAGTCCAAGTTCTTTTGTTTTTCCATACAGGTTCTCACTTTGTGCAGATCCATGTTTTAAATAGTCACTCTCATTTCCACAGATCTGGTTTGCTACATCTGTTTTATACTATAGTCCCATGTGCAGGTCTGTTTCTGGACTCTCCAGTACATTCCTGTGCTACACTGCTTTAAAGAGTTCAGCTTTATAATAAACCCAGATACCTGATAGGGCAAGCGCCTGCTCCCCTACCATTCTTTAGGAGAATTTTGGTCCTTTGTTCTTCTTCATATATTGTAGAATCAGCTTATTAAGAGCCATAAAAAGTCTATTGGGTTTTTGATTGGCTATCAGTTGCATAAAAGGATCACTTTTTGCATCATTTTGACACTAAATCTTACTCATGACTATGGCAAATGCATAATTTATTTAGTACTTTTTAAAATGTCTGTCAGTGAAGTGTTTTAATATTCTATGTAAAAGTACTGCCTGGTTTTTGTTATATTTTGTGTGATAGACATGATTTTTGTAATGCTATTGTAAATGGTATCATCTTTTTAGTTATATTTTACTTGGTATTTTTTGCTTATGCATAGCAATACTATTGCTTTGTTGATCTTCTGTTTTGTCTCTTGGTAAATTCTCCCTCTATTTCTAATACGTTATCAAGAGATACTTTTGGATTTTCTTTATAGTTAGTCATGGCATTAATTATTCCTAGAATTCACACATCTTCTGTTAAATTTATTTCCAGACATGTGTTATGCAATATCATTGTAGATGGTATATTTTGAATTATTGTAGTTTTGGCTGGTGCATATAAACACGATTAACTTTTTAAGATGAATCTTATGTCATCCTCCCCATATTACAGATAAAAAAAAACAAAAACGGAGCCCTAGAGAGTTAAGTAATTTGCAAAGCGTTATTATGCCAGTAAGTGGTGAGCTTGGATTGAAACCCATCTGTTCTAACTACAAAATCCATCGCCTCTCTCCTCCACTTGTTTACTTATAGTGCACAGCAAACTGTAAAAGAAACCACCATTAATAAACAAATATCACAGAATCCCATTTATGCCTTTTGTCTCTCTTGACATCTAATTAGTGAACTCTAATTATGAATAGACTCACCTGCTCCTATCTCTTTATATTGTTTCATTTATGACCAGATTTCATATGGTTTTTCCAACTTTTCTGGATGTCCACTACAAACTCACTAACTAAGCATATCTGGAGAAAATTTCCCCGTTAACCCTAAGTATAAAATTCTTCTATAGCCCTCAGAGAAAGTTAGTATATGCCTTAGCTAGTCTTTAGAATAGGCTATGCTTTCAGCAGGCTAGGATAGTTCTTTTGGAGTCTTTCTGCTCTTGTGGGTAAATTTACATTTAATCAATTTCTGAAAATGCATGTTCAGTGGCCAATGGGCTTACATTTTGATATGCAGCTTATAACATGCAGTTAATGGGTAGGAACTGCTCCTAGAGGGTAATTTTGGTCTGTCACATATTTTTCAAGCCTTGGAGATCTATTGATTAATTCTGTATTCATACATTTTTATGAATTCATGAGTTTCATAAAATTCAAGGCTATCACTGATGGTAAAAATCACCTGTCAATTAAAAAAAAGACTACAAAGTCAAAGCTGTTCTGAAACTGTAGTGGACCCATGAGAAGAGTCAGGGTGGAATGCAGTTTCCCATCATTTGAGAAAAGACAATCTGAGGGGAAAACTCTGTGCAAAAGCAATTGAAGAAATTGTTCCCAGGCCAATGCTTTATCTTTCATGCTACTACTCAGGACTAGATTTTATAGCCAGACCCTTCAGCCCAGAAAAGGATTACTTAAAACTGCACGCGCACACGTGTGTGTGTGTGTGTGTGTGTGTGTGTGTGTGTGTGTGTGTTTTAAGGCCAGGTCACTGGTTGGAATTTTAATACTAAGAATGTCTACCATTCAGATAATCATTTTTATTTTCAAGACATTTGTCAAATGTCTCATTATTATGTTTACATAGAGAGTTCATATCTGTTTACAACACACATAGCTGAAAAGTAGAATGAACTATCCTCATCATCATTAGGGCCAGAGGGTAAACTCAAAGAAAGAAGATGAGTTTAATGAACAAGGATCACTTATCAAGTTAAGGCCAAATGAGGAAAAAACAGTAACAAACCTAGAGTTCCTGAACTTTCCCTCAGTCCCCTAACCACCCTGCTCATCTTGAGGTGTGGAATGGAGGGTGAGTTAGAGCCCTTGCTTAGGAAATCCACCAGACAGGCACTGCCAGCGGGACGTGCCAGGCTCTGTCCAGAGCTGAACCTGAGACAAAAGCTGGTGAAAAGTGGGCTTTCTCTCGGAAAAGTGGGCCATAAAATACTGTTACCTGTCAGCCACTGATCAGGTTAAGTTCTTCTAAAATGCTCTTTCCAAACACATTATGGATGGAACTTAAAATATGGGGACCTGAGGTGCTTAGACATTGGCACTATTTCCTGTTGAAAATCACCCAGCCCTACACATACCCATTGTGTTTTCATGGTTCGCTCATTCCCTTGTCGGTTCATGAGACAACAAGAGCAGCTGGAATAAAGAGTGTAACTGTTCATAAGAGTAGAACTATAGAATGGTTGAGAAAAGAATTCTTTCCATGGCTATATGCCTAAAGCCCATTTCTTGGACATGGCATCGGTCTCCAGTCAGCCTGGTCAGAGGGTGCAGTGGCGAACGAGAGGACAAGTATAAGCACTTACGACATAAGCGAGGTGTGATCTAGTGATTACAGCTGTGCTTTTGCTAGCAACGGTGATGCTCAGAGAGGCACCAGCAGCCAGCTGAGGCCCTCGGTCCCCTGACAGTGACACCTCCACTCTCACGTCCACAGTTGTCACCGAGATGCCATCTGTGACAGAGATCTCCATGCCATCCTCCCGGGCAGAGGAGCCATCATGTAGATACCGCAGAACATTTTTCTGAATATCCTCATATGTGAAAGTGTCGCCTTTTAAGAATAAAATAAATTACAAAAACAATTACTTCTGGGAATGATGGTTTTCATTTATATAACACCTTTTATCTCAGGATTTCAAAGTACAATATATTTATAGGATCATAAACTCTGGGAGATGTAAGCTAATTAGTCCAGCCACCCACCCACTATAGGATTCCTTTTACACTATTTTTAAAAAAGGTATTTCACTTGTCCTTCAACACTTCTCAAGGTGGGAGGCTCACTGTTTTACAAGGTAGTCATTCCATGAAAGGCAGTTTTATTTTTCTAGAAATCTGCTTCTGTAAGACCCATTCATCACTCTTAGTTCTAGAGAATAAAGGACAAGCCTCTATTCTTTATAATAGTCCTTCTAATATCTAATCTTGATACTGAGAAGTTTTTGAAAAAGAAAATAAATTATGCTTAATGAACCTGTAAGAGGTTTGCTTTAATTGAGAGTATAACATTTTTAAAAAATTTAACCTAATCAACAAAACAAGCAAGAAAAATATAACCAGCAATACTGAAAGAAAAAAGAAACTGACCATAATGAGAGGGAAGGAGGGAGGGGGTAACGGGGAAGAAGGGGAAGGGTCAAATCAAGGAACATGTGCAAAGGACCCAAAGACAAAGCCAAAGTGGGGAAGGATTGAGGGTGGGAGGTGGGAGTGGGTGGGGCAGGGGAAAGTGGTGGCGGGAAAATGCAGACAAATGTATTTGAACAATAACAAAAAAAGAAATCTAAACCCAAACTATTAAGAGAAATGATAGAATAAAAGATGCTTTTGGAAAAAAAGAAAAAATAATAAAAATATCTACAAATTTAAAAATATACTTGAAGTTAGAAACTCAAACTAAGTATAGAGTACTAATTCATGATATATGAATTACATAACTTTGATATGTGTTGTGTAAAAAAAGTTTCAAGGTCATATCAGTTTAGGGAAAATTTAAACAAAATTTCAAATTAAGAACTTTTGAAGTGCAGGATTTATTAGAATTTTAGAATCTTTTAAAAAAACTTTTATTGTTTTTTTTAAGAGAGTGAGGAAGGGCAAGAAAGAGAGAGAGAGAGAGACATTGATTTGTTATTCCAATCATTACACACTCATTGGTTGATTGCTATAAGTGCTCTGACCAAGGATGGAACCTACAACCTTGGCATATCAGGACGATGCTCTAACCAACTGACCTACCCAGCCAGGGCAGAATTTTGAGAAGCTTTAAAGATTCTCAAAATTCTGCCCTGGCTGGTGTAGCTCAGTTGGTGGGAGGATTGTCCCATACACCAAAAGACTGTGGGTTCGATTCCTGGTCAGGGCACATAACTAGGTTGTGGGTTTGGTCCCCTGGACAGAACACATTTGAGAGGCAATCAATTGATGTCTCTCACATTGATGTTTCTCTCTTCCTCTCTCTTTCTCTATAAAAGCAATGAAAAAAAATGTCCTCGGGTGAGGATTAAAACTTCTCAATATTGTTTGGTCACAGAGCCCTTTTTAGGAGAAATGCTACTTTGTGCCATCAGTCCCAACAATTTCAAAGAGCACAGTTGAGGTACCGGTCTTCTTGGATGTTATCGTCAACTGTACTTCCTGATAGATTACTGACTCTCATAATTGGTGTTATGTAATTAAGCTAAAGAATTTATTCATTCTCTGTATTAGTCTTCTAAGCCTTCTTTCAACATTGCGTTACAGTGATTTACTGGTGCTAGTTGTATTGTGCTTAAAAAGATAATAAAACTAGTAAGTTTATTATAATACATTAAAAGGAATATTTTACAAACATCTTTGGATCTCACATGTTAATTACACAAATACAGGTAAAATATAATGTTAACAAAACTGGGCTATGGCTATCATGCTTCTATAGCAGTTTTCTTATGATACTAGAAATCTATTCTAATAACCTTTCATTTGTTTAGTAAGTTTTTAAAAATCTAACTTGGTGACTCCCAAATGCCTACTGGTTTTCTCACAAATTCAATCTGCCTTCAAAGTCAAAGACTTGCCCCCACCCTTACCTCTGCAGGGATATTCAGAATAATGCATCATTACATGATAACTAGGAATTATATAAAGGTTTTGAGAAAGTACAGATTGTGGGAATAAGCATCCCAAGGAAATGACTTTCAAAGGAATAATATCTATTTTGATAAGGCATGACTATTAAAAACTAGATTTAGTTATATTCTTTGTGCTTTTCTGTTCTTTATAAACAATCAATATGTATTACTTTTAGAACTGAAGAAAGCACAATAAATACTCTTTTAAAAAGCTGGTCACATTACCACACTGCTATATCACGTAAACACTAGTTTAAAACTGTGTTCCTTTTTTTATGGATGAGTATCCATGTAGTTTACACAATCAGAATCACAGCGCTATAAATATTGAGGAGATTTATATACCATGGTAAGGTAAATAAATTCATGCCCATGAACAACCCATAGGAAAGTGGCAGCTGACAACTCACATAAGGTTTACTCTAAATGTGTTTACTCAAGGTTTCAGAAATCAACCAATTTTGCCTATAATTGGAGGAAACAGCTTCATAGTTTTGGGTGTAGGAGGTTACACAGAGAGAGAAATACCAAATATTTCAGCCAATGGACTAAACACTAAAGTTCTTTTCCTTTCTAAGTATCTCCTCATAGTTTGTCCCACAAAATTGCTGACTTCTTGTCTGAGTCACATAAAACTGACTGAAGAGCAAGAAATGCCCCCAGTAGGTCAACAACAGAGTGAGCAGCTACCTGTGGCCATGGGCCCTCGGAACTCAGCGGTGTCCTTGAGGAGCACGCCATGCTCTGGAGGTTTCTGAAGCTCAAAGAGGAGTTCTTCAGGCGCGGTCTCGGTATCTCTTATTACCAACTGAAGTCCTGCAGTCAGGAGAGTAAAGCATGGTGAGAAGGTATGTACATTAAAAGCTATATTCTCTGTATACATTAAAGCCACAGGCCAGGCTGGAGACCATGTTGTGGGGAATCTGATAGTTACAAGAAAGCACCCTTTAATTCCTATCAACCACAAAGGAGTGAAAATTGATAATATATAGTGAATTCTCATATTATTAGCAGATTCTTCTGTATGTTAACTTATAAGTAGGTAGTTCTGAATTCAGAATACTGTTTTTCCCCCCCATACAAATGAAGGTGTGGAAGTCCAAAAAAAAGTCAGTCCTGACTAGCTAGCAGAAGTTTTCTTCCAGAAAATACTCCTAGAAACTGTTTTTGTTTTTTTGTTGTTTCTTCCCTTCTTCTTTCTCTAAATCTATATAAGAATCAAGTTATTTTAATGATGGCTGCTCCAGCCATCACTGGAGTGAGAAGTAGAGTAAAAGCGACAGTGCGCTTAAGTTGGATGATAATTAATTTTAGGCCAATACCCACATGTAGAAACTGGATAAGGATCTGTAGAGCACACCTAACAAAAATCACAACATCTACTGTTTGCTTTTATTGTACAATGTTCTTGGTAATGAAACACACTTCTAAAGAGTGAGTACAGTAATAGGTAAATCAAATCACGTACAAAAAGAGTTAGTGGGCCAACACTAACTCTCCACAACTGCTGAAGGTTATTGTGACCTGTCATTTCTCTTTGTACTCTTTACTTTCTAAATAAGAAATAAAGGGAATCATTCAAACGGTTCCCCTCTATTGTCTCTGCTCTCTGCTACTTTGTATTTTTGCAATGCCAACAAATCAATCTCTTGGAGGCTGGGACATAAATTCTGTGTTGTAATCCATCACTGAGCATTGGCCTCTCAAGGGTTGATTTCCTTCTCTTTTCATGGAAATGGGCAGAGGGAAGGATACAGATGAGGCTGCAAAGCAACTTTTGGAAGAAGAGGTCATTACTTTTTGGACGGGAGCTATTGCTGAACTATGGTTCCTTTTCGAAAGCCATGTTTCTTTCAGGCTCCCAGTTCTTACCCACGGAAGTGCTGCCTCCTGGGCTGACCTCAAGCAGTGGGGCTGTGACCTGGAACGCTGGCGGGTGCCGATCAGAGGGGACTAAGTGAATGGTGAGGGCCATCTCTGGACTCGTATATTCTCCATCTGAAACTAGAAAGGGCGCATATACACGCACATAAATCTACTGTAATCTCGTCACCTGCAGGCTATTTTCATAAATGCGTGGCCACAAGTTTTGTACATTACCTTAACACTTTGATGAGATGCTTACCAATGGAAAAACTAAGCAAGCAAGATACTGCAAGCTGTTCTAACAAAACTGTTTCTATGGCATAACATAAAGGCTAAAGGACCCTAACAACAGGTTCATTCTGAGAAGCAAGTTTCATAACAAGCCAATATTGATAAACATTAGTGTGAAGAAGAGTAATATGTAGTTTGCACCCTTACATGGTGTTGGTAAAGGCTTTTATTTCCGGAATCATTTTTAAATTAAGTTCATTCTTCCAACGTTCCAGAGAAATATTTTTTCCAAGTAATCTCTTTTAGAAATGACATGTTTATGTCTCATTAGAAGATAACTTTTGAACAGAACAGAAAATGTCCATACAAATATCTCTAATGGCAATTGTTCAGAAGTAAGCAGGCCCATTTTTACCTGGTCATTATGCACAATGCAGTAAATGGAAGACACCTTTTTGAACAGAACAGTGACCTTAAGATTTCATTTCCCTGGATTATCTGACATCCAAGTGAATGCTGATCACCTGAGGGAAATGAAAGCAGAATTGCCAGGTTCTAGACTCTTATTTCCACTTTCCTATAATTTAACTCACTCTCCCTTCTCTAAAAGCCAGAGGAATTCCGGTACTACCAACTCATCAATGCATTTATCTGCAGTGGCAATTGAGAAAACTGGACTACTGATTATTTTAAATGTGTGGTATGCTTGTATATGGGTTAGTTATAAGGGACTGGTTTCCTTTTTCACTTTCTCCTGGACTTACTAACAGTCAGTGGGAATCTGACTGATACTTAAGTAGAACATTGTTCGGTGACTCCTAGTAATGATACCATTTAGATTTTAGATTTCTCTTTTCCTTGGGAACTGATCTAAAAAACAAGACTAGATTTCATAAGGTATATTCTATGTCCAAGAGAAGTCCAGAAATAGCTCTATTAAAGGACAGAAGACATCATCCTTGTAAGAATTAAGGTTTTATGGCTCTGGTCATTCAGTCAAATGACCAGAGCCAAAGATATGCTCAGTCTCCTCTTTGGATCATCAAAGATAAGAAGAGATGATTGTTAACTTTTGGGGGTTTGTGGACAAGCATACAAACTTTTCATAAATTTCAGTCAATTTGGAATTTTCTGAAGGCCCTGGAACCTAAATCACAAACCCCTCTGTTAAATAATAACAAATAATTGCAAAATACAATTTTAATTTTTTCCATGTTTTACATTTACTTTTTTCTTAAGAGAGGGAGACTTCAGGGAGCCTTTGACATCCTCACTTCACAGAAGAGGAAAGAAAAGGCCCTACAACTTCAGAGCTTTGGTCCTGTTACAGCTGCCTCTATGAGCAAGGCATACCTTTGCCTCTGTGAGTTAATGGAAGAAAGCTATTTTTCTGGTACCTATTACATAACAAGAAAATATATCATGTGGGTACAGGGCTTTGCAAGCAAACATGAGAGCTTACAATGTAAATGTTAGCAGTTACATGTCCAGGCCTCTTTTTAAGCAGTGGCTCTGATTTTTTGAGAACCCTCAGACCGCCTCTTTGACAGAGGCCTCCTGTGCGCACCATTCACCTGGTGTGTTTTCCTTGCTCAGGACAGTTCTGCAAGGTATCTGTGCTTGACTTGAAGCAGCCAGGTCTGGAATATCAGCTTTCCTTCTTCCTTGGCTGACTAACCAAATGAGCTGTTCTGCGTCCTGTGGGTTAATGTCAGGGCCTGAGCTTGTTGCTGCCTTAGTTACTATGAAGTTTTGAAGTTTTCTCTCACAAAACTCTCCTGAGAGATGTGTTTCTTCCTACCAGATTCCAAAAATTTTTCTCCTTAAAAAAAGGAAGCTCTCACACCCTTCACAACAATTAACTCAAAATAGATCACAGACCTAGATGTAAAACACAAGCCTACAAAATGCCTAGAAGATAACAAAGGAGAAAAGCTATGTACCTTGGGTATGATGATGCCTTTTTAGATAGAAGACCAAGGACACGATTCATGAAAGAAATAATTGATAAGCTAGACTTAATCAAAATTAAAAACTGCTATGTGAAAGACAATGTCAAAATAATACAAAGACAAGTCACAAAATGTTAGAAAATATTTGCAAAAGATATATATAATAAAGGACTGTTATCCAAAGTGTACAAAGAACTTTTGAACTCAACAGTAAGAAAACAATCTTATTGTAAAAATGAGCCAAAGACTTAAAGAGACACCGCACCAAAGAAGATATAAAGATGGCAAATAAGCATATGAAAAGATGCTCCTCATCATATGTTAGCAGGGAAATATAAATTAAAACAATAAGAAGATGCCCTACATACCGATTAGAATGGCCAAAATCTAGAACACTGAAAACACCAAATGCTGGTAAGGATGAAAAGCAAAAGGAAGTCTCACACGTTGCTGATGGGAATGCAAAATGCTATAGCCACTGTGGAGCACAGTTTGGCAGTTTCCTACAAAACTAAGCATAATCTTATCATATGATCTAGCAATTACACTCTTTGGTGTTTACCCTCCAAAGCTGAAAACTTACTTCCACATAAAAACCTGTACACAGATGTTTTTATAGCAGCTTTATTCCTAACTGTCAAAACTTGGAAGCAACTACGATGTCCTTTACTGGGTGAATGGGTAAATAAAGTGTGGTACATCCAGACAATAAAATATTACTCAGCACTAAAAAGAAATGAGTTATTAATCCATGAAAAGACATGGAGGAATCTTAAATGTATATTTACTAAGAGAAACAAGTCCATCTGAACAGGCTGCATACTGTATGATATCAACTCATGACATTCCGAAAAAGACAAAATTATGAAAGACAAAAAAAAAATACTGGTTGCCAAAAGTGGGAGGTGGAGTGGTGGATGGAAGAATAGACAGAGCACAAAGGATTTTTAGGGCAGTATATATACTCTATGACATTATAATGATGGATAAATGTCATACATTGGTCCAAACCCACAGAACGTATAGCACCATGAGTGAACCCTAAAGCATACTATAGTTTCTGATGATTCAATGTATGTTCATGTTTGGTTAAAAAATGTGCCATTCAGGTGAGCAAATTTTGACAATGGGAGAGGGTGTGCTATTCACGTGTAGGGGTAGGGATTATAAGGAAAATCTTTATAATTTTGTGATGAACCAAAAATTGCTCTAAAATTGTTTTTGAAATAAAATTTTAAAAGACCACTCAACAATAAAAAAGGATTGTCAATCAGAAATCAGATAAATCAAAGTTAGCCAAAGGTCTTTTACTCCGTAAAATAGGTTCAAGGATCAACAGTTAACTGTAAGTCCCAAGGAAGTCAATAGTTAACCCCTTCAAGTGTTCAAGTTTTCAGGTAAAAGTTGAGGCTTGGAAACCAAACTGGCACACTACCATGATACTTGTTTTACATGGCTAACACAATACACACCAGACTAAACTAAATATCCCAGACTCAGAGTCAGAAACTTGCATCCCGGTACTACTGTTCACCAAGTGTGGAAATCTGATTATTTACTATAATGACCTTTGGTTCCTCAGCCTTAAAATACTAAAAATAATATCTGTCCTTACAATATTGCTACAAGAACAGTGTATATTGTAAGTTGATTTGAAAAATATAAACATTATAATCTATTATATAATGTTATTAACTGTATGAATTACCTAGAACTCTGTCACTAGAAATGAATGACATAACACCAGAAAAAAAAAAGGCATCCAAAATTAAAAAGGAAGAAGTGACACTGTCACTATTTGCAGGTGACATGATATAGAAAACCCTAAAAACTCCACCAAAAATCTTACAATAAACACATGAATTTAGTAAAGTTACAGGATGCAAAATCAATATACAAAAATCTGTTGCACTTATATCTACTAATAACAAACTATCACAAAGAGAAATTAAGAAAATAATTGCATTTGCAATTGCATCAAGAAGAATAAAATAGGAATAAATTTAACCAGAAAGTGAAAGGCCTGTACACATGTAACTATACTATATTGATGTAAGAGACTGAAAATTTACAAATAAATAGAAAGATATTCCATGTTCATGAATTGGAAGAATTAATATTGTCAAAATGTCCATACTATCCAAAGCAAAGTACAGATTGAATGCAATCCCTAAGAAAATTCCACGGTATTTTTTGCAGAAACAGGAAAAATAACTAAAAAATTTGTATAAAGTTACAAGAGACTCTGAATAGTCAAAACAATCTTGAAAAACAAGAACAAGCTGGAGGTATCATGTGCCTTAATTTCAATTCTATTATAGAGCTATGGTAATCAAAACTGTATGGTATTGACATAAAAACAGACATATAGATTAAGACTAGAAATAAGTGCATACATATGTGGTAAGTTAATTTATGGCAAAGGAGCCAAAAGTATACAATGGGAAAGGACAGTCTCTTTAAAAAATAGCGGTGGGAAAACTGTATAGCCACATGCAAAAGAAGGAAACTGGATCACTGTCTTAGACCATACGCAAAAATTAACTCAAAATGGGTTTAAGACTTGAATGTAAAACGAGAAACCACAAAATTCTTAGAAGAAGATGTAGGCAGTAAGCTCCTTGACATCAGCCTTGGTGATGATATTTTTTAGATCTGACACCCAAAGAGAAGGCAAAGAAAGCAAAATAAACAAGTGGCACTACATTGAACTAATAAGGTTCTGCACAGCAAAAAAGCCATCAACATACTGAAAAGTCAACCAAGGAAATGGAAGAAAATATTTGCAAATTATGTATCTGATAAGGGGTTAATATCCAAAATATATAAAGAATGCATTCAGCTCAATAGCAAAAACAAAATAATTTGATTAAAAAATTGGTAGAAAATCTGAATGAATATTTTTTCAAAGAAGACATACATATGATGATCAGGTACATGAAAAGCTGTTCACACCTTTAATCATCAGGGTAGTGTAACTCAAAACCACAATAAGATATCTCCTCACAACTATCAGAAGGGCTATTATCAAAAACACAGTAATTAACAAATGCTGGTAAGGATGAAAGAAAAAGGAAACCCTTGTGCACTGTTGCTGAGAATGCAAACTTGTGTAGCCACCATGGAGAACAGTATGAAGATTCCTCACAAAATTAAAAAATAGAACTACCATATACCCAGCAATCCCTATTCTGGGTATTTATCTGAAGAAAATGAAAACACTAACTTGGAAAGATATCTACATGCCCATCTTTACTGCTGCATTATTTATAATATCCAAGGTATGGGAAAAACTTAAGTGTTCACTGACAGATCAATGGATAAAGGAAACGTGATATATATAGTGGAACATTTTTCAGCCATAAAAAGAATGAAATCTTGTCATTTGTGACAGATAATGTGGATGGACCTTGAAGACAAACCATATGATCTCACTTTTATGTGGACTCTAAAAAATAAAAAGAACAGACTAGTGGTTGCCAAAGGTAAGGGATAGTAGGTGGGAGAAATGGGTAAATGTGGTCAAAAAATACAAAATTCCAGTTATAAGAGAAATAAGATCTGAGGGTGTAATGTATAACATGGTAATTCTAGTTCATAATACTGTATTGCAATTTGAAAGTTGCTAAGAGAGTAGATCTTAAAAGTTAAGCATGATACACCACATAAACAAAATAAAGGATAAAAACATATAATCATATCAATAGATGGAGAAAGAGCATTTGATAATACCCAGCACCACTCATGATAAAACCTCTCAGCAAAGTGATAATATAGGGAACATACCTCAATGTAATAAAGGCCGCATATGAAAAACCCATGGCCAACATCATACTCAATAGGCAATAGTAACAAGTGTTTCCCTCAAGATCAGGAACAAAACAGAGATGTTTACTTTTACCACTTTTATTGAACATAGTACTGGAAGTCCTAGCCCCAACAAGCAGACAAGAAGAAGAAATAAAAAGGCAACCAAACTGAAAAGGAAGAAGTAAAACTGTCATAATTCGCAGATGTCATAACGTAGATAAAGAATCCTAAACATTACACCAAAAAAGTGTAAGAACTGATAAATGAATTCAGTAAAGTAGCAGGACACAAAATAAACACCCAGAAATCAGTTGCATTTTTATACACCAATAATAAACTATAAGAAAGGTAAACTAAGAAAGCAACCCTATTTGCAATTGCATAAAAAAATACCTGGGAATAAATTTGACCAAGGAAGTAAAGCAGAGGTCCCCAAACTTTGGGCCATGGACCAGTACTGGTCTGTTAGGAACCAGGCTGCACAGTAGGAGGTGGGCGTGAATATAATGCACTTCAATCATCTGGAAACCATCCCCACCCCGCCCTGGTCCATGGAAAAACTGTCTTCCACATAACTGGTCCCTGGTGCCAAATAGGTTAGGGAACCCTAATGTAAAAGACCTGTACTCAGAAAATGATAAGATACTGAAGGAAGAAATTGAAGAAGATAGAAATAAGTCGAAGCATATACTGTGTACATGGATAGGAAGCATTAACATCATTAAATTGTCTACATTACCAAAAGCAATCTATGGATTTAATACAATTCCTATCAAGATACCAATGGCATATTTCACAGAACTAGAATATTCCAAACATTTATGTGGAACCACAAAAGACCCTGAATAGTAACAGTAACCTTGAGAAAGAAAAACACAGTTGGAGATACCATACTACATGATATCAAACCATATTACAAGGCCATAGTAGTCAAAACAGCATGGTACTGGCATAAAAACCAACATATAGATTAAAGTAACAGAATAGAGAGCCCAGAAATAAACCTACACTTTTATAGTAATTAATACTTGGCAAGGAGGTAAAAACATACAATGGGGTAAAGATAGTTTATTCAGTAAATGGTGCTCGGGATATTGGACAGATACATGCGAAAAAATGAAACTAGATCACCTGCTTACAATACACACAAGAATAAACTCAAAGTGGATTAAAGACTTAAACGTAAGACTCAGAACCATAAAAATACTAAAAGAAAACAGGCAGTAAAATCTCTAACATTTCCTGTAGCAAAATTTGTTCTGATATGTCTCCTTAGGCAAGGAAAACAACAGAAAAAATAAATAAATAGAACTAATCAAACTAACAATTTTTTGCACCGCAAAAGAAACCATCAACAAAATGAAAAGATACCAACAAAACAAACAAGCGAGCAAAACAGAACCAGAGACATGGAAACAAAGAACAAACTGATAGTGACCAGAGGGGGGCGCGGAGCAGGATAATGGGGGAAGGAAGGAGAAGGGCTAAGTCAAGGAACACGTATGAAGGACCCGTGGACAAATTGCGGGGGCAGGGTTGAATGTGGGCGTGGGGAGTAGGTAGGCCAGGGGAGAGTAATGGGGGAAATATGGGGACAACTGTAATTGAAAAACAATAAAAAGGTTTTTTAAAAATGAAAAGACAACCCACTGTATGGGAGAACATATTCACCAAAGATGTTTCTCATAATAGGTTAATATCCAAAATTCATAAAGAACTGATAAAACTTAACACCAAAAAATCCCCAAACAATCCAATTTTAAACATGGGCAAAGAACCTGAATAGGCACTTCTCCAAAGAGGATATACAGATGGCTAATAGACATATGAAAAAGTGCTCAAAGTCACTAATCATCAGAAAATGCAAATTAAGCCCTGGCTGGTGTGGCTCAGTGGATTGAGCACTGGTCTGTGAAGCAAAGGGTCGCCGGTTTTATTTCCAGTCAGGGCACATGCCTGGGTTACAGGCCAGGTCTCCAGTAGGGGGAGTGCGAGAGGCAACCACACATGGATGTTTCTTTTTCACCCACCCTTCCTCTCTCTCTAAAAATAAACAAACAAACAAATAAATCTAAGAAAAAGAAAATGCAAATTAAAACCACAATGAGATATCACCTCACACTGGTCAGAATGGCTATCAATAATAAATCCACAAGCAACAAGTGTTGAGGATGTAAAGAAAAAGGGCCCTTGAGCACTGCTGATGGGAATGCAGACTGGTGCAGCCAGTGTGGAAAGCAGTATGGAGTTACCTCAAAAAATTAATTTTTTTAAATTAATTTTTAAAAGAAACCAAAAACACTGATTCAAAAGAATATATGCACCCCCATGTTCCTTGCAGCGTAGTTTACAATAGCCAAAATTTGGAGCAGCCCAAATGCCCATCAGTAGATGAGTGGATAAAAAAAGCAATGGTATGTTTACACAATGGAATACTATTTGGATGTAAAACAGAAGGAAATCTTCTGTTTTGCAACAGCATCATGGATGGACCTGGGGAGTATTATGCTAAGTGAAATAAGCTAGTCAGAGAAAGACAAAAACCATACGATTTCAGTTATTTGTGGGATCTAATGAACAAAACAAAGAAACAAAATAGACACAGGCTTATAGATACAGAGAACGGACCGGCAGCTGTGAGAGGGGAAGGGGATTGGGGGGCTGGGTGCAAATGGTGAAGGGATTAGAAAATAGCTGAAAGTGATGATGAAGAGAACAAAAAGAAAGGTCAAAGAAGAAGAAAATTCCATTTTATAATAAAATTGAGATTAAAATCTTTACCCGTGAAATGAAATTTCACCGTTTCTGGGAGACCTGCAAGAAGAGAAGAGAGAAAATCAATGTACTAAACACTTTAGGGTCAGAAACAGATAAGGAAGGTATAAAATATGGGCCAGAGGTTAGAAAAGTAAAGGATGTTTTCATCTAAATTATTATGGTTTTAGGAAAGGCTACCAGGTCATTTGATAATGTTATGTTGAATTTAATGGTGCCAGCACTAATTTTAAGTAACAAAAAGAACCACACAGTGGAATAATTTTCTATCTCAGCAGTCAGAGTGATTTATAATTCATTCGGATCTCATTTTATCAGTACATAAAATCTTACAAATCTGTAAATGTGGGTGATGTCATATATCACTGACAAGGCTCTGGTGGGTAATTCTATTGTAGAATTGAGTGGTGCCTGGGACAGCGATTTACACACTGCAACAGTGTGAGAGATTTATCTCATAGCATTTATCCCATAGATTATCCAGGACAGGACTCCACTCTCCCTACGAAGGCTCTAGAAGCTCAGATGAGTATAATGGATATGGAAATAACTTCAGCCATGGCTGACACATTTTTTTTCCCTCTAATCCCAGGATATCCTGAGTAAAGTAGGGGTTAGAGAACCATGAACATTTTCATGGGCTATTGATTACCCAGTTACTAAACGCTTGGGGATACTCCTTAGAGAAGCAGCCTACCCCAACCCTTAGAGATTATCCCTCTGAGTAACCATTTCCTAGACCATTGCATTTATATAAATAATGGTAAGTATTACTTTAAATGTTGGCCATTATTTAAAACATAACTCTAATTATTTTATCCATGTTTGACTCATCACAAGAAATTAATAGCTGTTCTATATTAATAAAGTTACCATATCAAAATAATACTCAATATTAATTGTGTTATGTGGTACATATACCTTAAATATCATAAAGAAACAGGCTTCAAGAATTTTAGCCTCATTCCAAGGCACAGAAATATTTAGGGTAAGGACTCAAAACTCCTGCTCTCTAGTCGGCAGCTTTGATTACTGGGTCAAAGGGAGAGATTAGGGGTGGTAAGGATTAAGGTTAGCTTGGCCCAATGGAAGGGCACATGCTAGCTGCTTGATTTAGAAATTCAGTTATTCTGTTACTTAGCCTTCTCTTCCTTTAAAAAGATGCCTTCTGACAGATCCGTTTTAATCCCCAAAGGTTGCCTGCATTCTCCATTCCTACATGGGATCTTCCCCAAGGTACTGCAGGACCCTTGTCAAATCCATTCATATTGCTGCAGTTGGAGAGTTCCTGAAGAAAAGCCATCCCCCAGGTCTTAAACTCCCCCCACCCCGATTCTTATTGTTCCAGTGATAAAGATCCAAATCCCTACAGGTGTACAGTGCCTCTAAGGTCTCGCCTCTCTCCCTCCAGGCCCAACCCTGATTTGTTCAACTGTCCACATCCAGAATGCCACATTCTGTCCCTCCCCAGGGACTCTGCACATGGGGTGTGTGACCTTTCTTTGGGAACGGTCTCCAACTAAACTATCCCAACACGCACACTTAGACTAGTTAGCTTCTTCCTATCTTCTCACAGCCATTATCACCCTGGGGGAGCCTCCTGAGCCTTGAGTCCAGTTCAGTCTTGTTACATCTAATTCCACCACCTATCCAAGCTCTTACTTCATTCTGCAATTGACCATTCATTACTAGGATTATTTATTGAATTCTGTCTCTATACCTACATCCTCAAACTCACCAAGAACAGGATTTATGCTTCTTTTTACTCACCATTATATATCCAAGGCCTTGCTCAGTGATTGCCACATAGTAGGTATAAAATAAAGATTTATTTTTGAAGGCATGAATAAATTTTTTTAAAAGTGGTGAACTGAGCCCAAGTTACATATTGGCCCACAAGTCTCCAGCTATTCCGATAAGCTATAAAGCAATGTCACTGAACTACCTAGGAGGACTCGAGGAAGAGTTAGGGTGAGCCTGCCATGAGGGTCCACAGAGAAGAGTTTGGGTGCCTCAAAAGAGAGAAGAACGCTTTACCGGCGAAGGAAAAGGCCATGATCTCCTGGAGGTGGGGCGCTGCCGTGGGAGGACGGTACATGATTTTGCCCTGGTTAATATCTTCCTGTGTGAAATACCGGATAGGAGAGTGAGGCTGGTCCTTGTGTTCGATGATACCTGGGGAGGAGACTGGGCATGAGCATCAACAGTAGTTTGGGATGACTAATTGAATCACCAGAGCCATCAGCTGCCTGTCCCACTGGTTGAGAGTCTTTTATCCTTCAGGAACAATTGCTCTTGGGTTGTTCTTGGTATACTATCCTGTTATTCTAGGAAAGGCCAATCTGAAACCCAAATAGACTCTTGACTAGGAATGACTGACTATCAGCAACAGCAAGGCACAATCTACTGCCTCTACCATAGCTTAGACCAGGTAATTCCCCAGAAGTCATAGATATCTTACCATACTTATGAGATCCTCTCGATTGAGTTTAAGTTCAAAGGTCAAGGTCACAGAGAAAATAGCACAGACTGGTCTCCTGGTGAAATTTTTCCCAGTGTACCCTCCTTCCTTCAGGAACTCCTTAGTCTCTCTGATGATCCGTGGCAACAGTAACATGGATCTTGATTATTTTAAGACCTGGATCTACAATTGTTATTCTGCTTGTGATAAATGCTTTAGGAGCTGCCTCTCTGCCTGTCATTTCTAAATTTTACAGGTACAGAATTGATGCTGCGATATTCTTTCAAGTCCTATGTCCTATTATCTCTTTCAAAGGAGGATATTTGTGAAGCTTGGTGTTGGACTATTTCAGTTTCTGAAGGGCTGAGAAACAGTCCATTCAGGCTGCTGGCCTAACAGAACGTTGTCCCTCCCTGCCAGCACAGGGAGGACAACTCTATCTATGACTTAGCAGCTTAGAAAAAGAGGATGATGACTTTTAAACTTTTAATTTCTTTAGATTTTATCAAAAGGGAAATGGAATTTAATTTTTAGACTTTGATTTCTCCTTGGGAATTTGACCATGTGGTCAAGGGCAGTGACTGGTCTTGGGAGAGCAACCTTAGAGATGGAACAAGAATTGTCTTAATAGAAGCTAATCTCCTTCCTATGAGGGACAGCCACATCTCTCTTGGGCATTGGCTTATTAGTTAAACCCAAAGTTCAGCGATCTGAAGGCTGAGGACTGATAGCAGGGTTCGGCCTCTCTTCTGACTGAATCCAGACTTCCACACATCCTATTGGAGCGTGTGTGGCTCAGCCCTCTCTGAGCTCTCTGGCATAACTCGTTGTCCTTGGCACATTCTCACTCTGGTTGGCTCACTTATCATAACTGCACCAGGGCAGACTGTCCCTACAGACAGTGCCCGTGTCTATCCAGGTGTCTGTCCAGGTCTGCTTATGCAAGAGGAGGGGAGCTCAGTCCAGGGACTGAAGCTATGTGCACACTATGCTCTCCATTACAGCTCTGTTGATACGAAGTTGATATGTTCATCTCCCTAGGTCTGACCACAGTGTCTCTTTTTCTCAATTGGTCCTAAACTCAGAGAATGGGAACACAGGATATTAGTAATTGTTACATCTTGAAATTTCAACAAGTCTAAGCAGAGAAAACTCCAGAGCTTTTAAGGCTGGTCAACAGCTAGAAGACATCACTTAAGTGATCATTTACTACACATCTTACCTTGATTTGGATGCAGGGGTATAGTGATATTGTATATAATCTTTCCACTTGGTTTCTCAGAATTTACAAAGGAGAGGGAATGAGGCTGAATCACAGTCAGGTCCTCTTCCTGAGCCTAAACACAATTTAAGAAGGAAGAAACGGTGTGATGAAAACAAATGTCAGAGGCAAAAACAAATATTATTATGAAAACAAAGCAAACCCATTCTGGGCTTTTAAATTAGTCTCACGTAACAAAATTTTCTCTGAGGGTTCAAAAGAAGTAGCTGGTCTCTTGCACTGTAGATTGGTCCCAGCCCTAGGAAGCTCACAGGGCTATAGAGTCCTCTTCAGGCTTCCTTGCAACCTCACCCTTCTCCCTCCTGCCCCCTGCCCCAGGTTTATCCTGCTGCATGTGCTGGGAATTTCAATATGGCCACTTGCCCTCGGTGGAGCTCACAGTGGTGCATGTTTGCAAATGAGCCATCACAGCTGGCTATTCTACTGTTCACAGCTGGATTACTACATTTCTGCTCCTTCAACTTAATGAACTAAAGTCGCATCTGGTAAAAAGTTCCCTCTAACCCACCAGCTTTGCTGATAAGAACTGTGATTCTTTGTTTTGTTTTGTATTTTTAAACCGTGATGGTTTCAGAGAACTAAAGAGGAACTCAAAAATCTACAAAGGCTCATCATTTGAATTGAGATTTAAGAATTATTGGTTTATTAAAGAAAATAATAAAACAGTCAAGATTTCTCTTTGTCTCCATTCTACTATTCAAAAAGAATCAGATACTGCTTTTCTCCTCTAGTTCTCAGAATACGATGAAGACTCAGGCAAAATTACTCAGAAGACCACTGTGTGTGTAGCACCTTTTACTATCCATTCACCTGTGTACATCCATCGCACATTATCAGTGACAACACTTGAGAAAAGGGGGGCAGAGGGAAAGATTCAGTGTCTCCTGACCAGGCATCCCTGTGAGGTGGGGACAGCAGCAAAAACAGTGGAGAGCAGAGGAGAAGGGAGTGTGAGCATGGCCCCTCTGGCTGGCCACACATGCTGTCAATCAAACAACAAAAACAGCGAGCTCTTCGCAGGCTCTTCCTAACTGACCCCTGAAGGGCTGGAGTTTGACTCCTCTCCTCCTTGAAGCTGTGCTTCCTTCAGAAGGAATTTCCCAGTTTAGGAAAGGATTAAGTAGGGTTTAGTAATTCTTATGGAGGAGGCGTGGTATTCTTCCTTTTAACCAGGAAAAGATTGAAGGTTACAGTTGCTCTTTTAATTGTCCCCAAGGCCTACTTGTCCTGGGAAGAGGCAGCAATAGTGGATTAAGACAATCCCTCTATAGCAAAGTCATATTTCAGGGCATTGCTCAGCTCTGGAAGGTATAAAGCAAAGCAAATCAGGATTTCAAAGTAGTACCTGATCTCTCACTCTAAAATAAAACAAGTAAGGACAACAAATTAAAAACATATGCCCTATATAAGGTGTGTACTGTCCATGCATGTGTGTACACGCCTATACATGTGTACACATGTGTGCACAGATGCATGGAAAAAAAGTGCAGGTTCAGCACATGGTTCAGTATCGTTTGCCACCTTTGTGATCTCAAAGCCATCAGACTAACTGCAAATTCTGTGTATTATTAAATATTTTTGAAAATCAAGAGGTCTCTTAAATACTAAAGTGATAAGAAGAAAGAATTAGCATGGACTTAGGACGATGGAAAAGAGAACTATGTTCCAGCCAAGATAACAGATAATTCATATCCATGAAATTTATGGATACTATTTCTCTACTAATTGAAATAGACACTAGGTAGAAAAAAGACTTGATTCTCTGAACAAAGCAATATTGAGGTTGTGATGTATCAAAGTATAATCAATTTTAATATTGCCTATTTGGAAAGTTCAATACTCATCAATTAAACATAGTAAGAAATGAGAGATTAAATTTCATAGAAATCATTACAGAAGACACTTTTATTAACATATCTGTCAACAAAAGAATACTACAGAATAATTAATGACTTTCCTCATAGCCGCATTATTTCTGCGTACATCCAGAATCCAACCACATCCCACGTTGGCCATGGCCACCACCAGGATGGCTCTCAGCTGCTCTCTTGCTCTGCCCCCATCAATGCCCCCCCAATTCTATTTCAGCCCAGCAGCCAATGTGATCCCTTTAAAAAGGACATTAGACCTCTGCTCAACACCCTGCAATGGCTCTCCATTTTCCTCAGAATGAAAGCTAAATCCTTATCACGGCCTCTGAGGCCTGACGTGATCTGCACCCTGCACCGCCTCCTGCACCCCACCCCACCCCGCGCACATACTGAGCAAATCTGTGAATTCATGTCAGTTACACTTGCTTTCCTGGCTTCCTTGCTGTCCCCTGAACACCTAAGCAAGTTCCCAGCTCGATGCCTCTAAACACATGTTTCCCTGGCCCTGGAATGCTCTCTCCTCAGGCATCTGCATGGCTATCTCTCTCCCTCGCTTCCTGCAAGTCTTGCCTTAAATGTCATTGTCTTAACAAAGCCCACCCTGACCGCCTTATTTAAAATTGCAACTCATGTCTCCTCCGCCCCCACCACTACCTTCCTGATACCCTTGGCCCTGATCTACTTCTTGTTTTACCATAATACTTCAGACTAACTTGCTACGTGTGAGTTATTTATTTTATTACTTATACCCAATAGAATGTAAACTCCATGAGAACATGAATTTTTGTTTGCTTATGGGTGGATCCCAAGCACCTAGCACATGGAATTACTTGATAAAAATTTGTTGAGTGGATAAAACATATCATAATAAAAAGATTAAGCTAATAAAAAAGATAATAAAATTACTTTTTATAATAATTTAATCAGTAATTGTTTTAGAATACTTTCCATTGCATTTCAATGTCATCTAAACAGTCAGGTGGGGCAAACATTTTAACACTTAAGCCTTAGCAAAGTGCACATAACTTAAACTTTAGATCAGGATTTACAAACAACATTATCATTTCACCCTGTATTAAAAAGAAAGACCAATTTTACACGCTGACTCTTGTTCTATAAAAGCAGCAAAGTATGCAATGGACCCAAGAAATCAGATGCCCATGAAAAATGAGATGAGATAAAAAAAAGGAGGTATTAAAAAATTATCTCATCACAGAGTTTATTAGGACAACAAAATTAATTCATTCATATATTTATATAGCAAATTATTTAGTAAGAAACTACATGCAAAGCACCAAGCAAAGAGCTGTTGGAGATACAAGATGAAACAGATATAGATCCTTTCCTCAAAGAATTCCACTTTTGTTGTAGGGAAAAATCATAAATAGTAATATAAGAAATTCTAAGTAGTGTAAAAGACTCAGATAAAGCACAGCAGGAATTCCAAGGAGAAACAAACATTTCCACAAATTGCAGATAATAATTCTATGCGTTTCTTACAGGTCTCAAGAATAAACATGGGCACAGAAGCCCACAGCCACAAAATAGAGCATGCTAAGACTTAAGTCTGTATCACAAAAGAGATCAGCTGTTCTAGCTCAATCCCCACTAGCCCCAATAGAAGTGGTTTTAACAGAACTCTGCTACAGCAATCACTCTGAAAACAAATGAAACCAGGAGAGAAAGGCTTATTCAAGGCCTTTCCCTCAAGTGGTGACTTTGGCCAACCCAACTCAGAGTGCTGCAACTATATGAAAAAGGAGATAATAAACACTATGTCTTTCACATTAAGAGTTAATAGAATTTCTTTGCCCTTTAAGAAAGGAATTGGAATATGAAAGCAATTGGAAATATGATATTAAAATGTATGTATGTGTGTATGCCTATATGATTCATTTATTGGAATTTGAAGGGGATATAATTTAGGGAGTTATTTATTAACTATGTGAAAGTAGGTCTGAAAATATTCATTTAGTCAGCAAATATTTACTAAGCAACTACATTATATGGGGCATTGTGCAAGATGCTGAGGACAATACCAAGATTAATTAATCAAATATTTTGCCCTTAAGATTTTCTAAGTCAAATAGTAGATGAATACTGGGAAAAGTATGAGTTGATGTGAATCTATTAACTTATTTGCAGAATCTTACACTATCTAGGCTATGACAGTTATTGGTAAATACGCATGCCCAAATTTGATATATGTCCTAAGTGTATAGACTATGTTTATGTATTTATAAATATATATTTATGAAAAGTGCATTTATTCTTACATGTTTAAATTCCAGCCACCTTCAAAGTACTCTCCATTTGATGCAATACACCTATTGAGATGTTTTTCCCACTGCTCCAAACAGTTTTTGAACATGTTGATTTTGATGCCTTTTAGTGCTTCTGCTGGTTTTTGTTTCACCTCTTCCACACTGGCAAAAAGTTTCCCTTTGAGGACTCTTTTCACCCCAAAAAAGACCTCAAACAAAAAAAAGTTTGCTAGAGGAGAGAATGGGTGACTAGGGAGGGCAGGGCACAGGGGTCGTGCAGTTTTTGGTCAAATGGACAAATGTGTAGAAAGAGTCTTCAAAAAAATTCACTGAAGCCAAATGCAGCCTCTCACAGCAACACCAGCTTGTGCACTGATACAAATGGGTTCCTAGAACACTCACCTAGCAGGGGAAACCTGTACTACAAGGGGCCTGTCCTCCAGAAAATAATTCCGATTTTTTGGGGTCCCCCCTTATCCCATATATACGATATATATCGTATATAGGTATGTATGTATATAATTCTGATGAACACTGAAAACTAAACCATAAAATTTCATTTAAAGGATATTAGATTTGATGAATAACGGAATTACAGAAAGGTCATAGAACCAATTTCAATTTAGTCAGGTATTTGATTATGTTGCTTTTCACTCTTCCTGGGAAATCTCAGTTATGCCCGAGGATTTAACCACTATGTAGCATTAAGGATTCTTAAAGGTTTATCTCTCACCCAGAATGTCTACTCATCTACTACCCACTCTTAATAGGTGCACCCCCCAAACTGAACTCATCATGCCTTCAACCCCTCCCCTGAAAGTCTTCATACATTACTGATCTCAATGAAGGCATCTCAATATACTCAGAAATTGGGGCATTTCACCCTCCTCTCACATTTAATTTCACTCAAGAACTTACACTCCAGCCAACTGAACTCCCATTCCTCAACCATGTCATGTTCTCCTGCGTCTCCCTCTTTTTTCATCTGCTGCTCCTTTGCTTAGATTGAATTTTCCCCTATTTCTAGCATAGACAAGTGGTTCTTCAAGTGTGGTGAGCAGAGCAGCAGCAATAATGTCACATGGGAACTTGTTGGAAACTCAAATTCTCAGCCCTATACCAGATCGACTGAATTAGAAAACTTTGGGGTAGGCTCCAGCAATCTGTGATGTAACCAACACGACAGGTGACCCTAACGCAGGCTGAAGCGGCAGACCCTGCTTTCGAGATAACTTTCACTTCAACCAGCTCAGTTCTCCTAGAGGAAGCCTTCCGTGTCCCTGCCATACCCCACTGGGTCCGGTGCCTTCCTTTGCCTCCCTATCATGGCTCTGTCACAGCATTTATCGCTATAGTGTCAGTGCTTATTTATTTGCTCTTCTCCCCTTTTATTCTCTAAGTTTCTTAAAAATAGAAACTGCATTTTATGGTCATTGAATAATCAGTGTCTTCGGCATAAATAAGGGGCTCAAAAGTGTATGGCTGAATGATTGGAGATTCCTGCCCTTAAACACAAATATGAACATATCATGTATGTATTTAGTATATATTTCATAATGTATTTCCTAAATGTACGCAAAACTTGTACTTAGATGCATCCGAATCACTGGATCAAGAATGTGTTTTTTTGTGTAATTAGGGCCATTACTATAGAGCACACAGATTACAAGTGTGCTCTATAGTAATGGCCCTAATTAATATCAAAATAAATACAAATTATGTATATTTTAAGGAATGAAAGATTAGGCTAATTGTATTTGATGATAAACTAACTTTTGTGATATCATAAATTACACAGGACAGACCTGATTTGCAAACTAGCAACCTGAGACCCGAAAGGTTAAGTAGCTTGGGAAGTCTCTAGTGGTCCATAGCAACAGACCGGGAACGGCGCCATCTTCCTAGCTCCTGGCCCATTTTTTTCCCTCTAAACTCCAAATAACACCGCATTAGCATTTGGCAAGAAATGTGCATGCACATTTTTCTTCACGGTTTAGAGAAAATTCTGATCCAAGTTCCTTCAGTCAGAATAATGAATTATAGACTTTATAGCGCTGCTGAATTATGATTTCTTTAAATTATGGTTTACAGTGGAAATGCCGATATCAGCCATTCATTAAAAACTTTCTATTTGCCCCTTTATGTCTCTGTCATGTCTCAGACCCATAATTTCTAAAACTATAGCTGATTTCTTTGTCATGGCTCAAGGCTGATACACACTTTGGAGTGTAATTATGTGGGCGCTAACTAATATGTAGACCCATGATGATTAACTTACACGGTCTTAGAGGCTGTAGCTCTGTCCAGAAGAGGGGTTCTCGCATAACATCCCCCCCAAGACATAGGGTTACAGTGGAGCTGTTAATTGTCTCAACTAAGTTAGCTGTTGTCTCACTTCCAACCTTCCCATGTGCCCACACTCTTTCCCACACAGCATGCAAGTCCTTCTGTGAGGGATCTCACTGACCTCCACATCCTCACTACTCCGCCACCGCCTTCCTAATTTCTCCAGTCTTATTGAGATATTTGCCATTTTTTCCCAGCAATCATATTCTCCCTGCCCCCTGGATCTTTGCATGTGCTCTTTGTATGTCTTTCAGTGCCCTTTGCTATCACCTCTCCATTCCTTCCACCCTGCCCTCAATACTTTCACTTGGGTAATTGTCACTTATCTCCCCGAATTCAGCACAGACACCAGCTTCTTCAGGAAATTTTCATAACAGAGAGGAAATTTATAATAGGGCTTCCATAAAAATGGAGTAACAGCTTCTCTAGCTAGGTGGAGCTATAACTGCTTGAGTAACTACACCCAAATGGTACTGATTAAACAGGCATATGCCAGAAATTCCTTCCAACTACTCTGCGACTGTCTGGGATGCTGTAAGGAGGGCAGCGGCAATGGATAAAAGGTCAAGGTGGGTTCCACTTAACTTTCCTTTCACTCTGGGAATTTTAAGTTTCATTTTCAACTCAACCAGAAATGTGTTTACACGGCTGGTATGATCTTCGTGCCAGGCCAGGCATTCACCAGATACAAAAAAACAGGACACTCCATCAAATCCCACCAGTCAGCATGTCTCAGAAGCCACGAGCCCTCCCATCCAACTCACGGTCATATGGAGAGATGCCCCCAGAGAGAGTTGAGGTGCGTCAGGTGTCTGTGGTAAAATCGCGATGTTGAACATGCGGCTCTCCAGGTGGGTGTGGGCGTCTGAGGCACTGGAAACCTGGAGAGAAACATCCTACTGGTAAGGCTCCGTTGGGCAGAGCATGTTTGCATGTGTTTAATATGCGCCCTCCTGAAATCATCTGTCTCTGAATTCTATGTGCTCCTGCATTACAGGAGTATACAGAATCATTTTAAGCAATTCTGAAAATGCAGGAAAGTATAAAGAAGAAATAAAATGTCATCTAGAATTTTACTACCTAGAAATAGTAGTTATTAACATACTGATGCATTTTAGTTTACTCTTTTTCCTATGCATACACCAAACTTTATATATCAACTGTGTATTCTAAATTTTTACTGAACAGAATACTATTGTATTTTTCTATATTATTAAACATTCTTAAAAACACAACTTTTGATAGCTATATTATGTTTCACTATGAGCACGCCTAACACATGTTAGATATGTGATTTTTATTCTATTTTTAAAATGTTTGCCCATCACAGACGTCTACATTTAGGTTATAAATGACAAATCTCAGTCTAATTGCTGCAAGGCAAGATTCATAACAATTAGCGTAGTGGTCAGAAAGTCAACTTTTTCTTGCTTCAAAAATGCTGGAAAAAAACCAAATGATGCTGTTCTTAAAGCAACTTCTCCCTCCCCGGTGCTACTGAGCAGCTCCCTTGCTCTCCCCTTCTCTCCGTCGTCTGCTCCAGCTTAGGCTTCTTATGAGAATTGCGAAGACTGTGCAGCCTGTGTAGTAGCATTAATTCCATAGGAGAGGGAGCAGGGTTCCATAAATTCTGAGAAAAAGGCAGGAATAGCAGCCCCTTCTTATGTTTTCTATAGTTAGGCCAACAACACTAAAAAGCTGTCTCTCTTCTCTGTATCTTCATCACATCCGATGCCCCAAGCTCAAGCTTCAGGGTCTCTATATGTTTTCTAGGAGCCATCTCACAGTGTCACTATAAATACTATGAGTAACAGTACTCCTAATTCACTGAACATCTCTCATGGGCCCAGTACTGTACTAGCTACTTCTCAAAAGTCCCTGTATGCAATACCCACAAAGTGGATATTATCTCCTTTTCTACAGATGAGGACAATGAAGGTCCAAAAAGTGAAGCAAGGTGTCAAAGTCACAAAAAGCCAATAAGAGTCAGTATTTAACCAAGTCAGCAGGTTGCGATCTTTCTCCTGACCAAGATGATGCCGTCTGAAAGCTTTAGAAGGTTAGGAAGATACGTTCTCCTGTCTCTTGAAGAAGAGAAATGGAACCCTGTGCAGGCAGTGAAATGTGAGCATACTGCCAAGCAAGGGGATCAGTTCTAGATTCCTTAGTAAAGATACTGGTGTGAAACACATTGGTCTTTTTAAAATCACATCCCCTGAGGCTGTGTGTATTCAGATCCCCAACACGATCTGAATACACCTGATCCGGGGCTCCTCCCCATGCCAAAAGTGACATAAGTGGCAAGCTATCCTCTCCTTATGCTGGGCTGCATTTTGTAAAGCCACACGCATCACATAAATCCCAAGTCTTACAGGCAAAGTAGCAACTGGGAGGCATTGATGGCTCATGACAGTGCATGAACATTAAACTGAAATCAAATTCATGCAACTCGTATTGCAATTTCTGCTTAAAAGAAAAAAAGGGAAGAAAAAGAAGAACTGTGAAAACAGCATTTTTTTTAAAGTTTAAAATCCTTTAAGGACACTAAAGTGAATGAGAAAAGTTGCTGTTTTTTTAGCACATAGTTAGAGTGTCTGTGTCATTTCAAGTCAAAATATGAGCTGAGCCTATAAAACAATGGGACTGTAAAAACAAGCACACCAAACCTGTTACATCCAGGAAAGCATTAGCTCAGAGAGTTGTTTCATACCTGCCTTCAGAGGGAGTTCAAAAATCATGTCCCTAAACTGAGCTTGTTACTTCATAATTACTTCCTGTTTCAACCCAAAACAATTACTCTTCTTCCCACCTGACATGATTCTGAATATCTTTGGCTACTTGGTTATATTTTAAAATCTACTTCCAAAGGATTATTATACTATCACTATTGAGAATATTTTGAAGAATATCCTATGCGTTTGGGAGATTTCAAATAGGAGTTCTAAACATTTTGAGCAAAATGAATGAAGATTGTTCAAAGGGAACCACTAAGTAATGATGTTCAACTGTGTGTCTTAAACTCAAGTGAGCTTGTTTAAAAATTAGTAAATTTTGCTACTTTATAATTACCCACTTAGTAGCCAACTTGCAAAAGCAATCAAATATCATTTTGAGCAGGTGCTGAGAATCTCTGTCCAGGGAAATGCTCCAGATTGATAATGTTCTTCATCCTAACATCTATGAAGGCAAAAGCAGATCTGAGGATTCTAGCTGGCTAGGTGACTTCTTTTGATTGAGGTCTTTGCCTCCATTGCAACTCATTCTGCTGAGTCCCCAGGTGCTAAAAATGAAAAGTTAATTCAGGCAAAGGCCACATATGTGCTAGGTATAATTTCATTTTAATGGTTTCCAAGTTTATTTCAACTTGCTCTTTGGAAAAGCACATCTTTTATACAATACAAATTAGTCAAGCAATGAAGATGTGCATGCCAGGCATCAGAGGCAGAATGTATGATAATGTTAACAAGGTGAGCTATTGTGGTAGTTTATCCCCAACTGGATTCCCAGACAAAGGAACTTGGCTGAGCATCATGAATGCTTCTTTATATTTTCTCTACACTTTCCCAAATTCTTTTCTATGTCTATGTTTAAATTTTATCTCTCATTCATACTTCCTCATTCCTTTGTACTTCTGTTCAGTTCTTTATTTCCAGATTGTACTTCACAGAGGTTTGCCTAATTTTATTGGTCTTTCCAAAGAATCAGGTTTTGTATTCGTTCATCAATTCTAGTATTTTATAATTAACCAGTTTTCTGCCTATCTCTATTAATTCCTTCCTTTTGCTTTTCTTAAGTTTCCTTTGTGATTCTCTAGCTTCTTGAGTTAAATATTAGGGCACTTATTTTCATAGTTTTCTGCTGAATAATAAGGGCTTAAGACCATATATTTTCTTCTGAATATTACTTTGTCCACATCATTTAAGTTTTGATCATTTATTTCCTCCTCATCAATAATTCTTAAGAGTTTGTGACTTTGATTTCTTTTTAGAAGTATAACTATTTGGGAGACTTTTAAAATTTCAAATGGTTTGAATTTTTTATCCTTTTTTATTAACTTCTAATTATACAGGAAGGAAGGCCTGCTAGAGTGTGATTGGTAGGGCAATAATATGGGTGTAATAACTTATAGTTTTATTTTGAACATTTCACCTAAAGTGTCATGTGGTGTGCTTGAGTGTGATATTATTATGTTACAGAATTACATGCTTATGATTTTGTAATAAAAGGTTTTATAATAAAAAAGGGTGTTATTTGTGCCAGACTCCATATTTCATAATAGCCAGAGAACATCCCCAGTATAAATTCTTGTTCTTTCTTGACGGTCTTCTTATGATTTTGTTGTTTTAGCTTGCTCAGGCTACTGTAGCAAAAATACCACAGACTGGGTAGCTCAGAAACAACAGAAATTTATTCCTTCTAGTTCTGGAGGCTGGAGCCTGCAGTCCCAGTGCCAGCACGGTTGGGTTCTGGTGAGGGCTCTCGCCTCGGCAATAGACTGCCACCTTCTCGCTGTATCCCCGCGGTGGGGAGCTAGCTCTCCTGTGACTCTTGTAGGTGTACTAATCCCACTCATCAGGGCCTGACCCTCATGACGTCATCTAATGTTAATCACCTACCAAATACTTCACCTTCAAATGCAATCACATGGGGGAGAGAAGGACCTCAACATATTAAATTTGGGGGGGGCGGTTACTAGACACAAGCATTCAGTCTATAGCAGTGATATTGGACCAATCTTTATAAACAGTAGTAACAATCCTTTACCTAGTAATAGGCAGTATTCTAAATGCTTTTTATGTATTAACTCATTAAACCCTTATAATAATTCTATTTTAAAGATGAGGGATCTAAAGCACAAACATTTTGCCCCAGTAATTTTCCCAAAGCTGTCTACTTAATATGTGGCAGAACTGAATTATGAACCCACTGGGTTTGGCTGCCAAGTCCATGATCTTATCAGAAGATGGTAAATGTTCCAAAAACAGTTTAAAAAAATAAGGCTTTTTCTTCCATATGGCATTTTACTATTTTGGAAACATTTTTTCCTAAACACTTTAGCCACTGTTATAAACTTCTTTTCTGTAAAATGACTCTGCTTCCAGAGATATCCATAAGATTCAATTAGTAGATTAAAAATACCTCTCAATGCTATTAATTTTCCTTTTCTCTTCCCCCAAATACAAATACTAGGCGATCACAGAAAATTCTCTGAGTTGTTTATAAACAAGGTTGAGGGTTTTTATCAGACCACCCCGACATCAGAAAAGTCAGGACGCAGAGGGCACCTGAAAGCGGAAGGCGTCACTCTGGGCTGGGACTCCTGAGTGCCTGTACCACACGATGCCTTCGTTGATGTCTTGCTGGGTGAAGGTGCTGGTGGGGGTTGCTGTCCTCCCATCAGGCAGGTGCTGTCCTTCTGTGGGGCTGTCTGCAGGCATGTTAACCAGAAGGACCACCTCCCCTGCGAAAGCCACATAGTTAGTGAGGATCCCTGGGAAAAGTAAAAGTCAGGGCTCTCATCTTCTTTTCTACCACTTTTTTTTTAATGGAAAAGATATGATGAACCTCTCTATTCTTATATGAGGTAAAGGGAAGAACGTTAACACAGAAGTCAATAGATATTTCTGAATCCATCTTTGGATGTAGAATTTCCAGTCATTTTGCTAAGAGAACAAAAAGACGTTTAAAGGCAATGCATGTACAAAGTTACTGACTTGCATCTATCGAAATTACATAAGGAGACCCCAACAGCCATGAACACTGCAGACAAATCCTTGAATACTGGGCAATGAGATTCATTTCTACCTACAACTTTCTATGAACATAAAATGCTTTCCAACCAGAACGTTGTTGGTATAAACACAACAGAAAATCAGAAAAAATTTCAGAAAAAGTTATCCTTAAAAATTCTGTACAATGAGAATAATAATAGGTCACCCTGGAATGCATCAGCAGGCACAGTAAGGAGCACTTCATGTGTGGGCTTAACCTGGTTCCATTACATCCAGCTGTGTGAGCCTACTTATGCGCTGTGAGCTCTGCTCCTCATTGGTAAAATGAGAATAGTAATAGTCCATACTTAATAGGTGCTTTAAAAAAAATGTCGGTCATCCTTATCATTACATTTTTTAATCCTTCTGAAGATGCTATTATCATCTCCATTTTAAAGATGACTTTTTTTAGGCTCAAAGCAGTTTAATAATTTGTTCAAGGTCACACAAATGATTGGAGGAGATGGGATTTGAATCCAAATCTCATATTATTGGTCATGAAATTCTGTTAACAATCCTGATTATTTTGTGTTCATAGGCCAATATTTACCATTATAAATAACTAATTATGTTTTCTCCTCCTTCATTCTCTAAACTTTATTAGACCTGAAGCCAGGAAATCTAAATCTAAATAACCCCGCCAGTAACACCAATCTGTTTCTATTGCCTATTCTTCACCAGAAGCTACTATCCTTTTAAAGTGAAATTGCAAATACAGGGGTGTTATAAAAACAATGAAAATTTCACAAGGAGAACATGCCTTCAAGTGCAGAAGACCAAACAGAAGAATGGATGAATTGCTGAAAACAGAAGCTGTATTCTCACAAAAATGCATCTAAGATAAATCTGAAATAAGCCTCTCTAATCCTCAGTGTGTAAGTGAAGGGGGCATGGGAGGCGGGAGGGAAGGAGAGAAAGAAATTGTGTGTATTTTAACAATGTTTTGTAGAGGTTAGTACACTAAACATATTGGGCAATTAGTAACGTACTTTATTACCCTAGAAATTTGTTTTCTTACTTGAAGGAAATGCTCATTCTAATACTTACATGCACTAAATTCAAGTTAAAAATCAGCATAATATCCTGGATAAGGATGAAATACTAAAGTAAGAGGACAACACTAATATGCCTCTTCGTATAATCTTGGGGAGAATCAACTCACTCTAGTTTCTTTTTTGTATCATTTCTGAATTGTACCTAAGTCACAAATTCCACTACCTCTCTCTCCCTGATTCAGCTTTTGTTCTTACAATGTTACTAATAAACGTGCTTTTCTAGGAGTTGGACTGATATGACTGTGAGTATAGTTGCAAAACATATGAAAAGATTTCCACCAATGAAAATGTGGAGAATAAGGATAGAAAATTCAAATGCCAAGCTACTAGTCATTCTGTTTTATAATGTAAAAGCTAAGCAGAATTTTCCTCATGAAGCCTAATGAAATAAACCTATTTTTTTCCAATTAAAAAATATCATTGCCACATTATGGAAATTAACAGGAATCAGAGGATACTGGCTAACTCCATTAATCTCAGCCTAGTAAGTAGTCAATGGGTACTTGTTAGGTCCTAGTAGCTGTGGCAGGCCCTTAAGGCTGGGGAATTCAAAGATAAGCAATAAGTGCTTCCTTTCGCTGATGATCAGCCCTCCTGCATAAGCAGCAGGGATCCACTGTGCGATTTTCAGTAGATGAACGGCATGAACTGATTTAGAACATGGAATATACATGAAGGGAATACAGAGAGCTTATGAGGCTTGAAAGTCCTATTAAAAAGACTGGATTTTATTCTATAAAAATGATCACAGTCATGGCTAACATTTATGTGGCTAGTGTGACCCAATTATGAGGCTACTGCAAAATACAGATGAGAGATGGGGACCTGCACTAAGGCCGTAGAGGTAAGATTGAAACGAAATAAATGGAAACAGAGAGTCCCTGAGGAAGTGGAAGCAAAAGACCTGACAACAAACGTAGCTGTGAAGGATGAGAGATAAGGAGGATCCGAGAGTCACCCGCTAAGTTAAGTAAGGGGTAGGCACGTGATGCCACTGGTGGGGCGAGCAGATTGGAAGGAAGAGGAAAAGGTCAGCATTGGGCATGTCGAATACAAGGTGCCCTTGTGACAAGCCCATGAGTAGACAGGAGGAAATACCAGAGTTTTGCGGGATTCCTCCCAGTGAGGTGAGAGATTTTATGTAGTACCTCACCTCCACTTTTATCATTAGATAACAATGACCCTGTAAATATATGAAAATGCAGGGTTAAAAAACAGAAAATAATCTCTGCTTTGAATTTCTTTTATACTGAAATCTATATTTTAACCAAGAAATCTGAAGAAAAAATTTAATAGGTATTAAGGATTGGAATCTCAGGAATTATCATGATTCATTTGGCATTGGAACAATTTGTATTAAAGCTTTCTTACAGTATGCTAAATAATTTAGAGTTGTCAGTATGCTGGATTAAGTCAGATTCTTTTTCAAATGGCACTGAAAATATGTCATTAAAACCATCTCATTAAGTTTACTTTCAAACCTGTGAAGTAGTTAAAGGTACAAGTAGTAATCCACTTGTCTAAATGGACCTTTGAAGACACTGATGAGTCTGCCAGAGGCTGAATTTAGATCCGTTATGCACAGACCACACAAGCAATTTACATTTACTTCAGTTTCACAGTCAGGTCTTCACAAAAAGCTTAAAAGCCAACTAGAACATTCTAAAGTGATGAGGGAGTGTATAGTAGTTGGAGTGGCTATGAGGTAGAGGCTCCCCACTCCACATCATTGGGTCAGATGGGTGTAAGTAGATATGTGTTAAGTGGGCTTCTATTTCCCACCATGCTTTTTAACTCATGAACTGCCTAAGGTAATGTGATTTGCATATTACCAATACAGAGCTCTGGACACAGAGAAAGAGGATTATGTTCATAGGAAATGGTTAATGAAGAGAGTTATAGTAGGAAAGTGTCACAGTCAAGCCTACGTGGCATTTATCAAGTTGAAATGGCTTAAAAATAATTTAATTCAGCATTTTTCTGTTTAACTAACTTAAACAGAATATTGGAATGTTGGGCTGTCACTGGAAAATATAATTTTTTGGCTTTTAATAATCAAGATAAAGGTAGAGAATTTAATGCATTAAACACATCAAAGACTTTTAGAGCTGAAAAGGTCTTAAACATTTTCTAGCTTAAAAATTAATGGGTGAAAGTAAGGCAAAGTTGAATAAGTTTTGTGGACTAATTAATAGTATTGTATCAATATTAATTTCCTGGTTTTGATAACAATTCAATGGTAATATAAGATGTTAACATTGTGGGAAACCAGATAAAGGATACTCAAGAGCTCTTTACATTATTTTTGCAACTTTTCAGTAAGTTTAACATTACTTTAAAACAAAAAGTTAAAAAAATATCTAGCCTAATCTTTCAAAGAAACCTATGGCTCAATAGGTCCCGTTGCTTTCTTCAAGGTTACACAACTATCATAAATGAAGTCCCAACTAGACCAACTGCTTTGTAATTCTATCACTTCCTGATTAGGTTATGCTTTCAGTATCTTTGTGGTCATTGGAATTATTCTTATTATTTTTATTCTTATTATTTTTAAAATCATCACCCTAGGATATGCTTATTGATTTTAGAGAGAGAGAAAAGGAGGTAGGGGGCAAGGGCATGAAAGAGAGAGGGAGACAGACAATGATTGGCTGCCTCCTGGGCATGCCCTGACCAATGACTGAACCCACAACCTTTGGTGTACAGGGCCATGTTCCACCAAAATGAACCACCTAGCCAGGGGACATTGGAATTATTTTCAAATTATAAAAAAGTTAATTTTTCCTTCACAACAGAAAATATGTATTTTTAATGATTTGATAACTCAGAGGAAAAACAGATTATTCCTCTCCTATTTAACACGCCACGCAAGTTTTCACTTTTAATGAATATAATTTTCATTTTCAGATGAGCTATTAATTTCTTTGTAAAAATCTACCTGTCTATTCTTTATACGTACAGCATTTTTTATTTTCTTGCAGTTTCAATTCTTTTCTGTATCTTTAAATCATTTTAAATATACTTATTTCAGGGTTTTTATAAGATTGTCCCTTTATTTCAAATCCTTTGGGTTTTAATCTTCTTGTTTTAGTTGTGGTACTATAGATTGTTTCCTCACGTGGTCTGTAATTTTAAATTCTGAGCTAATCTTCAGTGGTTTTTATCTGCGAGAATCCTGTGTAGTGTGGAACATTCTACAGCAGTTTCTCTTAGTTTCTGTAAGAAACCCAAGAAATATCATCAACCTGAGGTTAATTTTCATATTAATGTCTTGGCCCTGGGTTTCTCAAATAATGTACATAACTTAACTCTGAAGCTGCAAAAGAAATAGGCTTGCAGTTCTGAATTCTCAGCAGACTTTTTTGGTTTACTCTGAGCCCTGAAAAACACACATAGGCTTCTTTGTGATCCCTCTGTGCTAGTGAGCTTCTTGTTTTCTAGTCTGTTCCTGTAACTGAAGGTAAGTCCTTCCAGAGTCGAGGTTCTATTCAGGATCTTAATTACAACTTTCTCTCTCTGTGTGGGAATTAAATCCCAAGCCCCTGGGTTACTGAAACACACAGAGCCCCTCTTGGGGGAGTCTCACCATCAACATGCCCAGACTGGCCTCAGTTCCTTCTTTGTTTCTGATACCTCAGAATTTCTCTCTATTCTTGTAAGATCAGCTATACATGCCTTATAATTCCTATAATCTTTTATGCAGCATTGCTAGCTGATAATGATGGAGAATTTTTCAGGTTATCATGCTCCACTCTCTCACTAGAGCTTCAAGTAACAATGGATATACTGAAACATGTTTTTGTGTAAAGTTTTTCTTAAAAAAGAAGGTCTCATCAAGAAGACTGGTGATGTTCTGGGAGGGACACAAGAGGGAGTTTGAGGGTCTGAGCTTTGAAATTAAACTGCCATATAATGGATAGGTGACTCCTGGCAAGTTATATTTTCTGTAAAATAAAGTTGTTTTAAAGCTTAAATTTTAGGTTTTTATATGATGTTTACATTACTTACCATAATACCTAGTATATAACACGTGTACAGTGTGGTAGCTATTTTTGCTATTCTGTTTTTAAATGGGATGTGTGAGGTATTAGAAAGTCAAGTTCGTTGGAGTCACAACTTTTCTGCATGGCATTGTGCGAAAGCAAGTCTAAGACTTCTGAATACCATAATGATATCATGACAAAGGAGAAAAGAGTTACCAAATTGGGGGTGGTCCTGTGTAATTTTGTAGATGATTTCTGAGGCACTGGCGCCTGGAGCTTCCGCCTGCAAGATCCTGTTGGTAAACTGCAGCATCCCCCCTTCTGGAACCCACACCATTGAATTAGCTGTAAGCCGAAGGCCTCTGTCGTTCTGCAGTAGGGAAAGAACAGAGAATTAGGGCCAAGCAAAATAAGAAAATACTAGTCCTTAAAAACATGTTATCAGGTCCCAGATTATCTAATAAGAGAGATTCATAGCTTTAGAGTCACTCTGTGAATCATAGCTGGTCCTTGAACAATACAGGTTTGAACTGCATGGGTCCACTTACACATGGATTTTTACCGAACAACCTGTGCATTTGATTGACTGGTGCAGTTTAAACTGTTGTTCAAGGGTCAACTGCAAAGTTGGGAATCTGCACCAGGAATCCACATGCAGAGGGCCAAATTAAGTTATACGTGGATATCTGATTATGCAGGCAGTCAGCACTCCTACCCCGTGGTGTTTAATGGTCAACTGTATATATGTGTATGCTATGTGTAGATACATGCACAGGCACGTATGCATGTACATATGTGTTTTTCCTGCTTTTTTCTTTTAACTTATAATATGCAAATAACTTACTTTATTAAGGAAAATGAAGTCTTTTCACTTCTTTCTATCATTTGTCCATTTACCTGTCTTCCATCTTCCCCATCCACCCACATTCGAGAATTATTCATTTAGGTCTTTTGCTAGAGGGCTAACGTACATAAGGATGGCTGACATAAGACTTCAGTTTCAGAACTTACAGTCTATTGGAGGAGACAGACATATAAATAATTAGAATGTATCACAAGTGATACTCTATAAAAAGCTGAGCAGAATGCTGTGGGTGAATAAAGGAAAAAGGAAATCTCCTTTTTGGAGAAGGGATGCTCAGGAAGGCTTTCCTAGGGAAATATTGTTTAATTCTTGAATGACCAAAAAAAAATGGGCTAAGTAGAGAAGTGGTGAAAGAGATTCCAGGCAGAGGGCCCAGCCTAAGCAAAGACATGAGACAATGCAGTGTGTGCCTAAGGAAATATCCTGGTGTTTGGGTAAGTTTAAGGAGCCAGGGGAGTGGGCGAAGGAAAAGTGACACACTCTTGAACTGGAGGCGGCCAGAACAGTGGGGGGGTCTGGGGCGCTAGATGAAAGAGGTGAAAGGACTAAGAAGCACAAGTTGGTAGTTACAAAATCGTCGTCGTTACAAAATCGTCTCAGGAAAGTAAGTAAAACATAGGAAATATAGTCAATAATATTGTGATAACTACGTATAGTACCAGTTGGGGTACTGGAAATATCGAGCAGAACATGATGTAAGTATATGATTGTCTAACAAGTAAGGCTGACACTAATACATAATACATTTTTTTAAAAGAAAGGTTAAAAGAATCAAAGAAAAGTGACACTCTCTGAAGATTGGCTAGTATAAGGCAAAAGCTATACTAAAACTTTCAATTTACTTTGTAGGCAATGTAAAGTCACCATGAGTCTTTAGGGAAGATAATGGGATGATCAGGTCTGGGTTGTAGGGAGCCTCCGGAAGCAAGAGCTGGAAGGGACAAGAGCTGGGGTGCAGCCACGGGGACCATTGACAAGGTCTTATAATGGCTCAGGTAAGAGAAGACAAGAAGGTAATTGCAGTGGGAATGGATAGTTAGAAACAGATTTGAGAAACATCCCAGAGACCAAACTGACAGGCCTGGATGACTGATTGAAAGTGAAGTTTTAGAAATAACAGTTGGGAATGAATAGCTGACTAGAAGAAAGCGCCCATTTAGCACCCCGGAGAAGGCAACCATTTTAATTGCTAAAGCTAAGGTCCTTAAACGGCACTGCCACTTCTGATTTGCCAGGTGCGCGCCTCTTCCAAAAGTCTCATAATTGACACTTTCCGCAGAATGGGATTAGTGAGGTGGCTTGTGTTCAGTATTTAGTTTGTTTTCATACTTGAAAAATCAGTAAATCTAATATTTTAAAATATGGCATTTCATAATGGATGTTTTTCTAAATTATTGTTTTTACTTTCAAATATGCTAACAAAGAGAACAGAGTAAACAGCACTCCCAGGAGGGGAATATTCAGCACAGAAGACAACAAATATTCTTTTCAGTCACTTGATAAGGGAGCATTTGCCCCTGTCAGGAGGCGGTCATAGTTATTTTCACCAGTCACCAGGAAACTGAGTCAAACCGTGCCCAGAGAACAGCCGCAAAGGCAACTGCTACTGTGATTGATGTTCAGGAGCAAAATCCTGGAGGGTTTTCTCCTTTCACAATTGATATTGAATATTATTTATAAAAATATCAAAGTGTGTCAAGAACTTGGCATGTCATTTACCAGAACTCTGAGGGGAAAGGCCCTATTAACTCCAACAGAGTTTTCCATAACATAATACACTTGGACCCAGGTGTCTTAATCGCTAGAAATACTTCCAATAGTAGCAGCCTCGTCGACTTTGATTATGGTTACGGGGATCAGTCATACACCAACAACCTCAAGCTTGGACTGATGAGGCAGTGTGGCTATTCATATTCCAAGCAAGTAAGCACTGTGACCCAAATGCACGCCCCAGATGTCTCTCCTACTACATTTCTATCTTGACTATACTCTGTCAACAAAATTCCTTATAATTCCTGTGTGCATGTAAATTTTTAGGAGGCAATACTCCTTGCATGTCAGTGTTCAGAGACCAGCAACGTCTGAGAGCTTATTAGAAGTTCAGAATCTCAGACCCCTACCCCAGACTTCTGAATCAGACCTTCTGAATTAGAATCTGCATTTTACTTTTTTCATTGGCTTTACTGAAGTATACTCAATAAAAACTGTATATATTTACGTTGGACAATGTGATGTTTTCATATATGTATACACTATGAAATGATCACCACAATCAAGCTGATTAAGGTGTCCATCACCTCACCATAGTTAGGATTTTTTTGGTGTTGTGGAAACATGGTGAACTCTCTTAGAAAATTTCAAGTATAAAATACGATATTATTAAGTATAGTTACCATGCTGTATGTTAGATCTCCAGAACTGATTCATCCCTTATAACTGAACCTTTGTAGCCTTGGACCAACATCTCACCATTTGCCCCACCCATCGTCCCTGGCAGCCACTATTCTACTCTGCTTTTATGAGTTTAACTTTCTGAGATTCCACATTTAAGTGAGATCACGCAGCATGTGTCTTTCTGTATTTGGCTTACTTTACTTAGTATAATGTCCTCCATACTCATCCATGCTGTCACAAATAGCAGAGGTTCCTTCTTTTTAAAGGATGAACAATTGCCCATTGTATATATAGACCACATTTTCTTTATGCATTTATCCACTGAAGAACACAGGTTGATTCTGTATCTTGGCTATTGGAATAATGCTGCAATAAACATGGGAGTGCACATAGCTCTTCAAGGTACTGATTTCATTTAGATGGGACATACACTCAGAAGTGGGATTGCTGGGTTATAGGGAAGTTTCATTTTTTAATTTTTGAGAAACCTCTATACTGTTTTGCAAAATGGCTACCCCAATTTATATTCCCACAAAGAGTGTATAAAGGTTCCCTTTTTTCCACACTCTCACTAACATTTATCTTTTGTCTTTTTGATAATAGCCATTCTAACAGGTGTGAGGTGATATCTCATTGTGGCTTTATTTGTATTTCTCTGATGATTAGTGATGTTGAGCATCTTTCTATGTACTTGTTGGCCATTATATGCCTTCTTCTGAGAAACGTCTGTGCAAGTCCCTAGCCTATTTTTAATCAAGTTGTTTTTCTGCTGTTGAGTTGTTTGAGTTTCATATATATTTTAGGTATTAATCCCTTATCAGATATATGGTTTCAAATATTTTCTCCTACTCATAGGTTGCCTTTTAATTTTGCAGATTGTTTTCTTTTGCTGCACAGCTCTTTAGTTTGATTCATTCCCACAAGCCTTTTAACAAGATCCCCATGAGCTGAGGAGCCGTGCTGAAGTGTGAGATGCATGGCCCAGGACAGGGACCATGATGAGTCTAGAATGATTCTCCCAAAACCCCACAGACAGGCATTTAGAATATTTATGTTTATAACAGGTAATACATATTCCTCTGTTCCTTGATTATTTGTTTATAGTACATAAAAAGAAACAGACAACTAAGGAAAAGAATAATTCTTCCTACTCATTGTGATGATGACGGTTTTTTTCAGTTGTTTTCTTTTGGGAAGAGTTAAGAAGAGATAAATCGAAAGCTATACACTGCCTTTTCTACAGACAAAGAGCCCAAAGGGCCAAACATTTTAGCCTAATTTTCCCAATGGGCCTGACATTTTTAGTTTCTTTATCTTCTTGTAATTTTTTTCTTCTTCTGCACAATGATGCATATATCCCTCTAAACTCGAGAAATTAGCCTTAATATCAGTTGACTAATCTTCCTAGTGAAGTTTTATATATCCTTCAGGGTACTACATTCCAAGGCAATGAAATCTTAACAAGAGATTATGGGGGCATAATTAAAACAGTGCTTTAAATTAAAAAGTTCTTCTAATTCATTTCATAGGACAACAGGCATATGGAAATGTTGGTAGTAAAGTTTAGCCATTATATATCGTATTAGAAATTAAAAAGTTAATGTTGTAAACCAAAAGTCAGGGCCGAAGTCTCTATCATCTGGAGTCAAAAAAAACCTCTCACGAATACAATGAAAACCTCCTCACCTCCAAATGAAAGCTTGGGACAAAATGATGAGCTCAAATGATCATGCTACCCAACTCCAGGCCAAAATATTTAAGACAAAAACATTAATTAAATAGAAAATTACTATAATTGGATGTAGTCAATGTCAATGTCAAACCTAGCATTTTATTTATTCTGTAAGTGTACCTTATTTTGCAAAGGCTCATTTATACCATAGCTTTTAAAATTTAATCTTGTAGAAAATTGTGGATTTAAGGGAAGGATCATGTTGGGTGGTGCATATAAGGTGAATCTTTGATGCTATTTACCAAGATGAAGAGCAATAGAAAGATAATTGGACTGTTTTTTGTGGTTCTCAATGTGTGTATGAAGAAGCTTTGCTCCTTCAGGTCAAGAATATAGAACCTTTTCTCCATGTAGATTTCAACTGCTTTATAAACAAACAAAGGAGAAAATACATTTTTTGTAATCAACATAGATTTTTTGAGTGTATACCTAAGAGACACATCTTATAAGACACTAAATTGAACCTCTTAAGCAAGTCCAAAAAAGGCAAAACCCTCATATGTGGCGAGGATTTGTTTATTTATGAAACAGACTCTTATTTGGAAAAATTAACTTTTTTTGTGCCATTGATATGTATAATTCTTACAAATATCCTTGTTACCAAACTGTGTCCTTGTAAGACAACCTTTGGGAGGAGAGCTTTTAAGAAAATTGAGTGAAGGCACAGCAGGGCTTTTAGCTGCACACAGGCCTTACCAAGGTCAAATAGCCAGAGTGGACTCCTACTAATAGAATTTTCCATTCAGTTCATAGCATGACACTTGGGGACTTTTAACATCAAAGCATTACCCAGTGGCAGAAAATAACTGTTCAAACAACAACAAATGAGGTCAGAAAGATCATCAGATTTATGGCCAACATGGAAAAAGATGCATGATTTCCAGAGGCCTTAATTAATAAAAAAAGAAGGTAATTCTTTGAAAGCCCAGCAGTGGAGAGCAACCAACCGATAAGCTTGACTTTTCCCTGCACACATTTTTAGCCCTTATTAAATGCCAAACTGTTTTAGGATCATATCTCTAACAGGCTTGGGTTTGGTAATGCACCCAATTAATAAAAGCCTGTTCAGCAGAGCATTCTTTATTACTTCTTAATCTTTTTGAGTTCTTTTACCTCCTCCCTTCAACAGAACATGTTTCAACATCAGTCCTGGGACTATTTTCTCCTCAGCCATTCTGTATAAGCCTGTGTCATAGTCAAGTTTACTCCCTGCCAGGCCAAGGATAAAAGTATGTTTGGGGGATGTGATGTAGAACTGGAGGAACGATGGGAACAGATATCACCTGCCCACAGTCCCAGATGGGCCACACCAGCATTGGCAGAGTTGCTACAAAGGCTTCTCATTTGATGCAAGAGATCCCTTCAAAGGCACCAGCCTCACCCAAGCAGCTGCATCCACCTATCTATCTCTACATCCAACAAAAATGAACTAAACTCCTACGATGTGTGGCTGAAGAGAGTAAGACTGAAATAGTTTCTGCTCTCACAAAGCTTTCTTTTTCTATCCCACCTTCCCTTTCCATCTATTTTACCAGGTTAACTTTCCTGTTGAACAGCATTGGAGTTAATTTGTACATCCATTCCCTACGAATTAGGCCTAAACCCCTTGGCCATTCCATTTAAGCCACCAGCTAGACATCAGCCAGTAAATGACCTCACTCCAAATTTAATACACAGACAGCCTCAGGATAAAAACTTGGATGCCCATATTCGGACATAGCTATCAGGACAAAATCAATTACGTCTGACTATACATCTACTGGAAGCTGTTAATAGTTGAGGCAATTTTTTCTTCTTGGGCTCCAGTAGACTTATGATTATGAATAGCTTCACTTAGACTGCTTGAATAGGACATTGAAAAACTGACTAAATTACTGTCTCCATTCTGTGCATTAAGGGGATAAGAATGCATATGACCGAAATATTGAAAAGTATGGACTAGAATGAAAAGAACCATGAGGCTAAGTATGAGGAGGCAGAACCACGTGAATTGAAGTCACATCTCCTGCACTAAACACCTTTATGAAAAGTAAATGTTTTTAAACTCTTTAAATGTTTTCTAATCTCTGTTTTTTAGTTTCCTCTTTTGGAAAATTAGAGATAATAATGGTACAAATATCCTAAAATGATTATGGAGATACAATAATTTACATCAAGTATTAGTGCCCAATGAAGGTTCAAAAACAAAACGAAAAACACCTACCACCCATAAAATTTCTTCTATTCTAATATTCTTTACTAAGATATTGTGAAAATAAGTAGAGTAAATAGGAGAAAACGTACTTTGAATTCCTTAAAAACATACAGTACATATTTATAAAATATTATCAGTACTAGAGAGGCAAATTTATTATTAGTACATCCTGATGGATGCTGGGGCTCTGGTCGCTGGTTTCATTATCCTGATTCATCGCCTGATGGACAGGTAAGCACAGCATGATAGAGGATGAAAAAATGGCAGGGGAAAGGAGCGATACACACCATAAATGTCAACATGACTACCAAATTATACACACCATAAGGATTCTGAAGTTATGTGCTTATGCTCTAATTATAAATTAAAACTCTATTTTTCTTTGTTTTGTTTTGGTAGTCAAAGCAGCAAAAATCCTAGAAATACCCTTCAACCTTGGGTCACACTACACAAAATGATTGTGCAGTACACCAAACTGAGTGCCAAACAGGGAGATTGAAGCCATGGTTAGGAAGGCAGCTGCTAGGGTTGCACAGAAGTCCTGTAATGATCTTTGAAAAGAAACCAAGAAGGAAGAAAAGAAAACTTTCTGTGTCTGTCTAGACTTCATCTCTTTAGAACTAAACCTAATTTCCCAGGGTATTTGCAAAAGGATGATAATTAGGATTAGCAACAAGCTGGCTATCTGCCAACTCTGTCTCATGATCAACCTTCACTTACGCCCATCTATCGCACCATCGCTGTTTTCAGCAGCTGAAAATAATGAGACAAGAGCATCAGAAACTAGCTAGCAGATCACCTTAGATTCAGGTGTTCACCTTAACAAGGACCAATTGCAAATTTTGAGTGATCACTGATGAGCAAATGACAAGCGATTTCTAACCTGTCTTCAGCAAATCAATCTCTCTAGCTGATCACTGATTATGCTTTATTAGGTACTGATATTTGGTATGAAAAGTTCTCAAAAAATTGTCTTTCTGTCTAACACCATGGAAAAGAGCCATTTTTGCTCTAAGAGAGAAAAGAGCTTCTAATGAAATATCATCAAGTATTAAAAGGTTTGAATATTTTTCAATAGATCCCTTTAATTTAGCCCAGTATTTCCCCAAATGTGATAGCCTCCCATTAGTAATACCCAAGAATATTTTATGTAGTACGTAGATGAAATTTTATAAAATGGTTATATATTAATTTTAATATTGTAGAAAAAGTATAATTCTACATTAAGCCCATGATTTCACAAGTATTGTTTATTAGGATGAGGCCACAGTGAAAACAGAAGTTGATTCAAGGAAAACTATTAAGTAAATAATAGGGCAGGTGCTTGCAGATATGACAGAAATATACAAAGATGGCATGGGAATGACTCAGGCTGAGAAACTGCTTCTACTCTATAAGCCAACAATTTCTATGATTAATATAAGAAAGTTCCCTCATCCTACTTCAGTTGGGCTAACAGAATGTCTAAATTCATCCTTTTTGATTCATTACAATAACTGGACTATGAGCTTCACATATTGCATGAGCTGTTTTAAAAGAACAGAGAGCAACAGGGTGTGTCTGACTCTTATGAACACGCTCAGGCAGGAGACATAAGGATCAGTGGACAATGAGGCATTTTTAATGGAAGGAAGTTAACATAAAGATTCAAAAGCTTTCCTGTAACTACCGTGGTTCTCCGTAGAGAGCATGGGACCAGTCTTTCAGATCAAAGGTGCCCCTAACAAAATAGATATTGTCCCTATTGAGTAAAATGTTCTCTTAATCTTTGAATGTCCTAAGAATCTCCATAATGGGTGCTTAACAAATATTTGGATAAATAACCAACCCATATTTTTATGAAATTAAAAAGTAATGTCATCAACAAAACTTAACAGCAAGGAAACTGTAGCTCTGGGAATGACACACCTACCTTGGGCACAATCTTCACGCGAAATAGTATATTTTGGAAGGAGTGTCCATCACTAGCCTGCAAGACTGCAACATCGGACGTGCCCTCCAGGCCATCGTGAGCATAGTGGAGAAGGCCCCTGGAGAGTGCATCCAGCCGGAATTGATGGACAGGGGCTGCTGGGGACTGAAGCGTTTGAAGCAACTGGCCATGAAGTGGAGGATCCAGCACTTCGACTGCCACATCCTGTGGATTGTCATCATCTCGGATGTCAAGCAGCTGGGTGGTGATGGTTCCCCTCTCTCCCCTGCTAATGCGGAGGACCTCATTTCTCAGCACATAGGGGGGCTATGGATTGAAGGGAAGGAGGAGAACAGAAGCCACTTAGCAGAAAAAGTGAAGACAATCCAACATGCTAGGTATCAGTTGTGTGCAATCCAATTGATATTTTGGTGCTTTTTACAGAACTCTAGATGTTCTCTCAAAGTGCTAAACTGCTGCATATTAACAGTATCTGTCAAAGGTATGGTCAGTCATAGTAATCACAGCAAATGAGGTTACTTCACATCTCTGGTTCTGGAAGTTTCTCAAGCGATCTCAGGACTACAGTATTCATCAGAGGCAACAAAGGAGAGCTTCTTGCTTCTAAAACTTTGAAGCTCTGTTGTCTCAATTTATCCTACATGCTCTGCATATAACTGTGATCACCTCAGTGTCAGGCAACCCAATCAATTGTCTGAATCCAAGAGAGACTAATAAGATATATGGAATTTTTGCATTTGCTTTGAGAGTTGGGCATTTCATTCCAGACCATGTTGTAGCATGCTGATTCGGAGTAAGATACTTTTGCATTCTGAATTTATGCTATTTCTGGTCGCTCCCAGTCATTCTCTTCAAGCTGTCTCATCCATATCTTGAAGGGACCCACCCCAGCTCAGGTTAAAAAGCCTGATAAGATCATGGTCAGAGTAAGGCAACCACCTTGTTAATTCAGGTGGCACTGCTAATATAGCAAAATTTAATATGTTTTCCTTAGGATTATCAGGTTTCCTCTCACCAACTTGAGTAAGCAGATAAAATGTTCTTTCACAAAGATAAAAGTTAATGAACCATAAGAGAAAAACATCTCACATAAAAAAATTAAGGCCAGAAGCCAAAAAAAAAAACTATCTTATTTTTTTTTTACATCGTTTGAAGTTGAACCATCTAGGACTTTTCTCAGCACATGCCTTCTTTAATCCAAAAGGTTTTCTTTTAAAACTAGCCTTCCTGGCCTTCTGGGAATTTCTATATCTATTAAAGTAATGCCTAACTAGTGCATTGTTTTAATAATCACACAATAGGAAACTAGATAATAGCTACTTAGAATTCCCAAGTGAAAATTCAAAAGCTGTGATTCTACACATGGGAATGAAAGGCCCCTTGGATCCTGAAGAGAGAGGTCAAAGGTGATGTCAAAATCCATAAATGGAAAAGATTGAATTAACTTACATGAGAAAATCCCAGGGAGCCTTAAGATCATGTTGAAATATTGCAGAAATGTAAAGGAACAAAGATAAGTTAAAATTCATCTCTAAAATTCCATTTTTGAAAAGTTAAAATCATAAAAGTTTCTCATAAATAAAATAAAAGTGTCCCCTACTATCTATATACTTGATATTTGGAAAACAAACAAAAATTAGGGAACCATGGGAACTCACCATCTCAGTGAGAAAGTCACTTTCTGATAATCTACACTAGGCCTTTTATTCCCTTGTTTTGAGTAACTATTTTACACAAAAGAACTAAACAAAATTTCTGAGCTTAAATACTGAAAAACATTTAAGCGAGTAAGTCCAAGACTTGATGTCACCCTCTGATCCGTATTTACAGAGATCACATTGCAGCTACAATTAAACCAAAATTCATACTCCTAGCCAAACCCTGAGATCAAATTAATTTAGGATCAATTTCTAATCATTCCTCAACTTCAGCCATCCTGAAAGTGAGAATACCATCAAGAAGAGTTGAGCTGGGCTCTTCATACCATTTGGCAGTCACTTCTGGTTCAAGTCTACGTTATCCACAGTCCAGTCTTTTCATTTTTGGACCAAAGATATAAAAAATATCAGTTTAAAGGCAATGACCTCAGGTCTTTCCCTGAATCTTGAGTAAGATACTACTGAGACCTAGATATTTAGAGAGCCTTGGCTCCCTGGGATAGCGTCCCATTCTCTTGCACTCACAACTTAAGAATATATCTATCTTCCTACTCTCTTTACACATTTCAGCTGCTCAATCCCTCAAGCCCAATTACTCAGAGCTTCTACCACTATATATATTCTGCACACATAAGTACAAGTTGACAAAGATGAGTAATGAGGACACAAGAACCATCACAATGAGTTTTACAACATCTACCATGATATCCTCAGACCAATGCTTGGCTGATGACCACACTGGCACAACATTTAAGCAGATCTTTAATAAGACCCTCTAACTACTGCCAACTAAGATAAATGTAGTCCAGCTGCATGACAGATAAGCAAAAGTATCTGACATAATCCCATATCCATGAGAGAGAAACATTTAGACAAAATGAACTTGTTTATCTAAGAGTAAGGAATATGTTAAGAACTAGAACACCTCAAATTATCCTGATGAGCTAGTTTTTGGATTCAGTATAGCAAAATAAGGCACCATAATGTAATGGTCACGAGCACAGAATTTGTATTCAGATTTCCTGAGCACAAATCTTGGCTCTCTATTGATATACGCATTATTTAACCTCCCTGTGACTTAGAGTCCTCATCTGTAATTTGGGGATAATAATACCTCCTAGGGATGGCATGAGGATTAAATGAGAAACACTACAAAGAGTACTATAGATGTATTAGTAATTGTTGTTACGGTTGTTATTGCCTGCAAGTACTAAAAAATTATTCCATGAGGAAACTGAGACAAGATTAACTCAGCATAATCATTTTTTTCTTCAACTACAAGAAAACTTGATTTGTGCATAAGAAATGATAGGCATGTAAAATTATTAATAGCATGGCATTTTTATTACCTGTGTAGAAAATGCTTGTATGTTGATCAGCTGTGGCTCAGAGAAGAACTGCTGGTCACTAATTTTCAGGGAAAAGTAACCTTTCCTGAAAGAAGTCCCCCAAAAAGAAATGATAAGTGTAATCATTAAATTAGTCTTTAGAAAGACAAGGATTAAAAATATTTTCAGGTTATGTGCATGGAAGAATTTGGATCAAACCACTGCAGCAATGTAACACTCATACTATAAGTAAAAATGACCAGACAAAGATGAACCTGGTGAGATTCAGATAAAACTACTGGGTGTTCTTTCATCTCATTATAACAGTTATGTAAATTTTTCCCTATTTTTCTAAGTTGAATATATAGAAGGTTGAAAATTACTTTGGGGACCAAGAAAGGTTTCTAATATATTGTAAGCTAATGGTAAAATTGAAGAATGAAAAAGGAGTCTTTCATAATCTTGGAACAGTTCCCAATGAGTCCCTCTTCCCTGCAAACCCTCTCCCTAAGCCCTTGATACATGTACCCCAAATACCCATGTTTGCAATGCTTTTTTTACCTGACTCTACCCTATGCACCCACACCAGCCACACACATGCAACATTTAATGTGGATTTGATTAGGGAAGGATGTCTGATCATTGACTATTGGGAAACCATAGCCCATTGTGTTGAGAATGTGGAGGCAGCTAGGTCAATGAAGCCTATGAGACAAGACACAGAGACAAGAGAAAGAATTGAGTCTTGCTTCCTGTTCCTGGTTCTAGCTTCCAGGCTTGCCCTGGGGCCCAGCTGCCCTTCCTATTTTTAAAATGTGAGCCGTATCTGCAATGTTACAACAAACCTTATTATTTTCCTTAATCTAGTTCACATTGACTTCCATCACTTGCAACCAAAGAGTCCTAATTAAGAAAACAAAATAAGGCTCACTCTTGGTTGCAGTTTCTACTTCCAATAAAAGAGTGTTGTTTCAGCAGCTTCAGAGACTACTAGAAACGAAGGTAGGAGCTGCCCCCATCAAAGCCAAACCAAGCAGAGAAGTCACTGTGGGCTGGTAAGGTGTGATTAATGCATTATGAGAGGGTTTGAATTCTGATCTATGACAGAAACCATATTTTAAATGTTCTTTAAAAGGTGTTCTAATTAACTCCTGATACATGAAAATGTGGATGGATCTTAAAAGCATCATGGCAAAAGCCAGAAACATAAGATTACATACTGCATGATTCCATTCATATGACATTTCAGAAATTGCAAAATGACAAGGGTAGGAAACAGATCAGTGGTTGCTAGGGAGTGGGGAAGGTAGTAACTGTAAGTGGAGTTTTAAGGGGTGATATAGCTGTTTTATATCTTGAATGCATTATGGTCTCAAACTGTAAGACAGTATACATTTGTTAATACTCATAGAACAGTGTACTTTAAAATAGGGAATTTTATTAAATGCAAACTGTACTTCAATAACTCTGAATTTTTAAAACAGTTTTCTTGCATTCCCTCCGATTTTATCTTTCCCTTCATTTCCTGACCCACCCCAGTCCCGTTGCTCTCCATCCCTACCTCCAAGACTTCAAGAGAATGCAATTGATGGGAGCAATAACATAAACCACAAGGGGGTGTTTGCTACCAACCTTCTGGGGAAAGTAGATTTTTGGTGGCAGTGAGGTTCCAGTAACTGTGTTCAGTATCTCAGCAATGCAAGTTGATCATGGCTACTATGGCTATATTTACAATTTGTCTTGTACTCCATAGGAGCATTCCAATATCAGAGGAATTCAATCCTAAAAAATTCCAGTCCTAAAGAACTATGGTCAACATTTACATGGGGAAAAACAAAACCATGAACCTATGTGGCAGGTTGTACCTTTTGTTTTTATATTATTTAAAAATATCGTTTCCTTTTTGCATGCGTTTCTACCAATCCTGTTCATTTTACTATTACTCTCCTTTCTTTTGTTAAAATTTTTAGACAAAGAAGATCTAAGGTTAAATGAGTATCCCCTCAAAGTACTAAAAATTCCCTAAAAAGAGTTAGCATTCTTCGTGCCATTTAGGGGTGCTAAGCTGACTCTACAAGGAAATAGATGATGTGAGATTAAAGAGGTTAAGTAGACAAGAGGCTTCGCTTTGGTTGTCTTTGAAGTTTTATGTGTTTTATATACATTTCAAAAGTGATCCCAAGATAAACAATTATAGGAATGGGGGGTGTGTCTCTGTGTGTGTGTGTGTGTGTGTGTGTTGCTAACACTTAACTATACTTGCTACTAAATGAATGCAGGAGAGGGAGCATGAGTTTGAAGAGTGATTCTGTGGCATCAAACACTAGAGTTTTAAGCTCCATCTGTGGAAACGCTTCCACATGCCCCTGCGGGATGGCAGCATGCCCATTAGTCCTACTATTGTTAAGAAGGCAGAAATCATAGTGGCTGAAGTCATGGGCAATGGAATCAGAGAGCCTTGGGTTGGAGCCTCAGCTCTGTGCCTGTGGGGTGGGGGGCCTTGGGCGAGATTACGTACACCCTCAAGGTCTTGGTTTCTCTATTTGGAGCCTGAAAACATAAATATACAGAATTTGTGTAAAGTGTTTAACACAGTGTGTGGCTCATAGTTGCTCTTATTCCTGTAAGATGGTTTTGAGGTTGTTGGCTCAGCAGCTCTGACCTGCAGATAGAGAAAGTGCCATTTACTTTTCCCCCACCTATGTCCTAGCCCAAACGTCTCAAAAAAAATCTCAAGTTTAGTGGTGATGGTAGAAAATAGTCACGGTTTCCTTATCACTGTTCCCTGGGTATCAACTCCTTGTTTACAAATACAGTCTACTCTGAATTATCTGCACTAATGAAGCAGAGCAGGGTGAAGGATAATCCAACAGGCTAATCTTTGGGGTGCATTCTCTGATTTCGGTTTAGTAGATTTACTCTGCTAATTACATGGCTATATTTGCTTGGGTTAGTGTTCACATTCAATTGCATTCCTGAAGCATATGTCAGCTGGGGTGGGGAGACAGCCAGAAGTGGGCTAGGCCTCAGAGGAAAACTGGATCAGGCTTAAAAATTAACTACAATTAATCCCAGAAAGTGGATAATAAAAAGTTAACTGACTCTTCATTTCCTTCCAACCGTGAAATTCTGGGACCCAGACAATACCTTGAAAAGTGTGGACTCCGCCCTCTAGCCACTCCCTACTCCTCGTATATAGTGCTAATGTGGAAGAAGCAGCTGCAGCATCTGGGTGTATAACTAGTTTTCTTTCTGCTGGGCCAAAAAACTGGGTAATTGTACTAGGAACTTTCCTGTCACATCAGAGAATTACACATAATTATGTGATAAAATGAAAATGCCTCTTACAAAAGCGCACTCTCTGAGCAATTACAGTGAAATGATGACAGGCAGCTGAAAGCATTTGGCGTTTGTGGAGTATCGATCTTTCCCAGAAGAGAAGGGATAGCTATTGAGAAAGGGGGAGCCGAGGGGGATGGGGCGAGGCACCAAGCACTGCAAGAAAGGAGGCAGGAGGAAAACAACAGAACACCAAGTCACCTGGGTTTTTCTTTGCTGTGCACGAAACGCACTTTTTTCTCGTTCACATCTTTCCAGCTAAAATGGCCAGCCTTGTCGAGCTGAACCTCCTTTCCATTCCTTGAGAGCACTAGCTGACCGTTGGTAGGAGTGCTCACAACATAAAACAGGAGGTCTTCGACCCTGCCGCCCTGGTCTTGGACATTCAGGAGCGAAAAATCCAGTGGCTTCATTGAACCAATTGCAAGGGTGAGAGAACCATTCACATGAAGACCAGGAGTGTGTATTTTGCCTGGAAAACATATGAATCCAAAGGTCAGGCTTGGTAATTCACTAATCACTGTGTGTCTGTGTGTGTGTGTGTGTGTGTGTTGAAAGAAATAGGCTTGTAATGTTCATTCACAGCTACACGGATGAGACTTTAGGCTACTGTACACCATAAGCTTCCTTCTAATCCAGTGCTGCTCACCCTGGATGCACAAGAAAATAGCACAGGATCTTAATTTGTATGTTAAACTATAAAACTCCTAGAAGAAAATGAGTAAATCTTTGAGATCTTGAATTAGGCAATGCTTTCTTACATATAACACAAAAAGTACAAGTGACAAAAAATAGATAAATTAGACATTGTTAAAATTAAAACATTTCATGCTTCAAAGGACACCAGCAAGGAAGTGAAAAGACAACCCACAGAATGTGATAAAGTATTTGCAAATCAGATATTCCTGAAAAGGAACCTGAATCCAGAATATAGAAAGAACTCTTCCAATGCAGTAAAAGACAAGTAACCCAATTTTAAAATAGACAAAGAATTTGAATAAGGATTTCCCCAAAGAAGATTTTAAAAAAGGCCAATAAGTACACAAAAAGGTGCTTGACATCATTAACAATCAGAGAAATGCGAATTAAAACCACAAAGTGATACCATTTCACATCCACTAGGAAGGACAGTAAAACTGCTCCTGAGGATGCAGAGAAACTAGAACCCTCATACATTGCTGGTAGGAAAGTAAAATAGTGCAGCCACTTGAGAAAACAGTCTGGCAGTTCCTCAGATAATTAAATACACAGCTACCCAACGATGCACCAATTTCACTCTTAGGCATATACCCAAGATAACTGAAAACACATATCCAAACAAAAACTTGTATGCAAATGTTTGCAGCAGCATCATTCATAATAGCTAATAAATGGTAACAACCCAAATGTTTATCAACTGATGAACAGATAAACAAAATGTGGTATATCCACACAATGGAATATTATTTAAGCATAAAAAGAAATGATACACTGATTGATACATGCTACAACAGGGAGGGACCTTACATTTTACCAAGTGAAAGAAGCCAGATGTAAAAGGCCACATATTGTATGACTTCACTTATGTGAAATGTCTGGAATAGGCAAATTCATAGAGACAGGAAGTAGGTCAGCGGTTGCAAACGGCTGCAGTAGGGGGCGGTGGGGAGAGACTCCTAAGGGTTAGTAGATTTCCCTTTACAGTGAATAAAATGTCCTGGAATTAGATAGTGCTGACGGTTGCATAACTTTGTGAATATTCTAAAAACCACTGAATTGTGAATTTTATGGTATGGGAATTATATTTCAATAATAATGACAAAGAATTACATAGGGATCTCTAAAACAATACTGATACAGGGGTTCCACCACCAGAGATCCTGACTTACATGTTCTGGGTGGGACCTTGGTGATTTTGACAGGGGACTCGAAAGTAGGAAAATTTTAGTTTCAGGAAATAGTTTGATAAGCCTAAGTAGTAAATGCATGTGAAAAAGCTATTGTTTCAGGAGCTGCAGGTATGGCCCATCCTGACTCCAGGAAATCATAGTGATTGATCTTTGCGCTCTATAAGAGAGACGACAGCATGGGGTACAGCTAAGGCAACTAAAGACAACACACCACCTGGGCACAGCTGGAGATATTGGAACTAATGTGTTCCAGGGAGAGACAGACAACTCCCCCACCCTCATGGCAAGAATGCTGCAGTTTTGGGGTTTTTTTTAATTTTCCCTGAATTCCAAACCCCTCACCACACTTTGTTCTCTGTTATAAAGAGGCTGGCTGGCAAGGAAATGCAGGATGATCCATTAGGGTACAAACCCGCAGTCTTCTCAGATCGCTAGCCATCTGAGTAAAGAACACAAAAAGATTCAATCCCTGTCTCTACTTACTGAGTCTGGTAGGTGACAGGCAGCCCTAATGCCGGCTTCTGGTTTCAATTTTACAAACTCCCTGGGTAATCCTAATAGGCTCCAGCGTTGAGAACCGCGGTCCTATCTTAAGACATCTGTCATGTCTGACGATCAGACCCACCAAGGGCAGGAAGAGAGGCAAGTGTGTAATACCAATGGTAGAACAATACTAGTTAATCTATAGTGAAGTAGGATTAACTAAAGTAAGAAAACAGCTGATGGGTGAACTAGGATTCCTGACCACTCTGTCTCCTGCAAGTTGTTTTGCCTGGGCTTGAATTGGTAGTGTGTCCTTCTATGTGTAGGTCATACAGGACAATTAGAAAATGCCAAGTTTCAAGGGGACTACTTCTACTGTAAGATTACTCTAGTGAAAGTAGAATTCATATTCGCACATTGACTTGTATTATATCCCAAGAGGAGTAAGCTGATTCTCAAGTACTTGCGGTCTCTAGAAGGTTCCCAATAAAATAAGCCAGAGATACTTTTTCTCATATGAAGTCTTAATAACTTTAGAGGTCAGAAATACAGAGATGAAAAATATGACTGTTATTGATAAAGGTTACCCAAAAGCCCAGGAATGCTCAGTTATAACAGAACTAACTCCCAAGCTTTATTCACCTATAAAACTTTTGAGGTTCAAAATTAAGACTGAATGTAAATTTGCTTCCCTTTGTAGGGTAAAGTAAAATGTCCATTGATGTGTTTAACAAGACTAGCTAGATTCCTTTAACTTGTTACCTTATTCTTAATGGCAAACAGTGTAGCTTGAAATCTATTCACTTCAAATGTGTGAACCTAATGGGGCAGGCTCCTCACACTATTCATTATTTATTTATAATTTATCTCCAGCATGTGCACAAAGAATGCACCATTGCATCATTAGCTCTACAATTTTATATACATATAAATAAATGATGTCTATATAAGTATACATGTAATTTCTACGACATAGTTGTAGTTCAGGAACATAAGTTTTACACCAAATTTCTAATCTGAGAGTTGAGTTTTAAAGCACAGATTGCTTCCTTTTCTCCTCCAAACATCTCAGAAGTTCAGTTTTCCCAATCTTTTATGTTCTGTAAAGAGCTTCTTATTCCTAGCAGCACCAGGGTTTTCCCCTGGAACAGGAATCCCACATTTCACACCACATGAGCCAATTGAATGTGCAAATTCAGCCTTTGAGTACAGAAATTACAGGTGAATTCACCTGACCATCAGTCCTGAGCAAGAAGTACTTACCCGCACATGTTTCGTTAGGAGAGTGGGCAGAGAAGCCAGGAACACAGCTGGAAACACAAAGGCCACTCTTCAGAAAGAATCCATGGTTGCAGCGGTGACATCGGTTTCCATGGCTGCACTGCAAGCACCCCTGAGGGCAGGCTATGGAAGGCAGGACACACTCAATGAGGCACAGCAAAGACACAGGCACCCAGCTGGGGCCACCAGTGGTAAAGAAATGAAGAGCGAAAACACAAGAAACACATGCTTCCCAACTGTGGCAAAAGAAAATTCCAACAGTTTCCTGAAGAATTTCATAGAGAGCTGACTTGCCTTCTGAAGGAAAGTGAATAGGGAGGAGCACTGTTGCTTTATATACTGTGATCTGAAAATGTTTCACGTGAATGGGTTGTTTAGAAGTTAATCATATTGGCTTGCAAGAGACGCAGCTTATAGTGATTAAGAGCATAGGTCTTTTCTGGGTACTGTTCCTCCTCTACCACGTACCAGCTGTCAAACTTGGGCAAGTTCCTTTCACAATCGCTGGTGCAATTTTCTTGTCTTAAAAATGGGGAAACTAATATTACCTCATGCAAATGATTGTTGGTAAGATTCCATGTGTTATAATGTGTCATGACTAGAACAGTGCCAGGCACATAAAAGGACTCTATCACTGCTACTCTTGTATTATTAATTATTATTATGATGATGATCATCATTATTATTTTAAATGGATGAGGAGAGCAATCTACTTAAAGGACCATATACTATTTCTTTGGGTCAAGTCAATAATCTATAAATTGAGTGTTCACTGACTAATTTTTTTGCTTCCATAATTAAGATTTTGTTAAGAGGCAGCACAGTATAGTTTAAAGGAATTAGATATAACAACTTGGGTTTAATACCTTATTTTATGTTTCCTTGGTTAATACTCTTAACCTCTTCGGTTTTTTTCACTTGTAGAAGAGGACTCAAGTGCCTGCCATATTTTACCAAGCCATTGTGAATATTAAATGATATAATACATACAGAGGAAATTTGGTAAAATATAAAATGCTATGCCTCGGTAATGGCATTACTATTAAATGTCAGGTATTCATTAAAGTGGAGCAAACAAGTATCAAGTTTTGATAGGGATGAAGAGAGCACCCTAAGGAAACTTTCATGAATACCTCAGTGGACAAGGTGATTAAGACCTTGGGCTTAACTTTAGTTTCATAACAAAAGGTCAACATATCTCACTAAGTACCCCTAGAAATCCTACTCTTCAAGGATATTATGACAATATCAGGTCACTTGTTATTTAGTCTATACACTGAAAACTGTGCACATATCAACAGAGCTGATGCACTTTTAGTGGATACTGCACCTTAGTTCAATATAAGTTTTACATTCCATAAAATATTGACTTCATTTCCATAAAGATCATTAGGAACAATATTGATTTTGTGAAAAAGAATTACTGGCCTGCTGGTCTATGTTCTATTTAACCTGCAAATGGCAGAGTGCACGGGAAGTCATCAGTTACTTCGGCCACGTGCCCTGGGTTTTCATGCTCCCTCTAACTCCAGTTCTCTTTGGTGACCTGAAGACGAGCATGCCTGAACTGCTCGCTGCCTTTACTTTTTTCCAAAGGACTCAGCATGGTCTCCCAGTTACCTGTGCATTTGTGATTTGCATGGTCTGCAAAGTATCCCTTCCCACATTCCTGGACACACTGGGCTTCCAGGAGGAGAAATGGCTCCTCACAGCGGGTGCAGTCGCCGGGGCCTTGGCACTGGAGACAGTGGCTGTCACAGCCTGAAAGACAGAAGTCAAGTCAACAGGAATGTGCATGGCTTTCCCAGGGGCTCCTGGTCCTCACAGTAAGGCAGTGTTAGACAGCAATGAACAATATAAACTGGTGTCCTGGGCAAAGCAGCAGGCTAGGAGTGAAGGAGCCAGGCTTCCGGTTGTGACTGTTGTACCTACCAGCTGGGTGACAGAACTAGTTACTCCACTTCTCTGAGCCTCAGAGTTCTCTCCTATGAAATGGCAGTGGACATGCCATCCCACCCAGCTCCCTGGATGACGATCAAGTTAAACCATGGCAAATACTAGGCAAACTAGAAATGAACAGATATTAGCCATTATTGTTATTATTAACTAGTCCTTGGCTCTCTGTAACTGCTTTCACTGAAATGCTGATCTCTTCTCGACTCACTCAGTCAATTATCTGAGTCTCCCAGGGTGCTCCTAAGAACATTGTCTGTGCACTTTGGGTGGGCATTTCAGGGTCTCAAGATTTTGTGGTATTAAATTGAGGCAGAAGAGGGTACCGAGGCAAAGAAAGGTGCTTGTGAGATAAAAGGTGTATGGAGAGGTGCGGGAAATAGATGGTGAAGTAATGTGCTCAAGTGACCATGTGCTCAAGTGACCAGGGTACACAGACCTTTCTATCTGGATCACAGGTCTGTTCAGTTTTGAAGGAAATCCAGAACTAATGGCCCAAATATACCTGTTTCTGTGGCCATGTACCCCCAATATTCCTAGACTACCCTCGAATTTTAGGAAATGCTGTATTTGGGCATGAGAGAAAAAATAAAAGAGACATTTTCATTATACCAAAGAAAAGGTCTTGGGAAAGAAACCAGAACTTAGATGAAAAGCCAGAAGGGACACTTGCCACAGGCTCCTTCTCAGAACAGTAAACTTAGAGGAGGTTGAAGCCTGGCTGAGCACAGAGCAGGGGCTCCGGACACTTACTTTTGCAGAGGCCCGAGTCCCGGTAAAATGTTGGTGCGCACTGCTCCACGCAGACCCCGTCCTGGAGGACGTAGCCGCCCATGCACTGCAGGCAGTCTGTCCTCAGAGGCCCGCTGCATGCACTGCAACTCCAGTCACACTCTAGGAAGAAAGCTTACATTAGATCAGCTTCCTTTCTGTCCAGCGCCTAAATTACAAGGATGCTGCCTGCATCTGCAAGGAGGAGAATGAGGACAACATAAGAGATGTCAGATAAGTAGGCTCTACTTGTATAGTCTGAACGCCTCTCTGAAGTTTAGTGTTTCCTAATTATGTTAGACATCAGCATGTATGGATTGCTCCACGCTCCTGCAGAGCCTGCATCCGTGGAGCTGCCAAAAAGCCAGAACAACTTGATTTTATTCCATGGGCCTGAGTTCTTTATCCCTGATATTCCATGTGTTATAATGTGTCATGACTAGCACAGTGCCGGGCACATAAAAGGACTCTATCACTGTTACTCTTGTATTATTAATTATTATTATGATGATGATGATCATTATTGTTTTAAATGGATGAGGAGAGCAAAGCCTTCGTGCAAAGCCTGCTACAGGGAGTGGCCAATCTGCTCCACAAACCTAATCTGAACCTCCTCTAAATGCTTGAGAGGAAAAGGATGTCAGATGGTCAACTAAGAATGTATCTGCTATCTCCACTGAGACCAGCTGCATGACACTCTACTTCTCAAAAACCAGGTGCTGCCTAACATGACAGAAAGAACCAACAATGGTAGAAGTAAACAAGGCATAAAGGAACTGTCCAGAAATAAAGGGCTGGCTGAAATAACAAAAGATCTTATGTAGAGCATAAGAACTTACTCATTTACATGTTCATTCACTCAACGAGCACCTACAGGATGCACAATAGTGACTGAGTTATAAAGTGTTAAGTGTAGGCCTTGCCTTTGAGGAGCTTATAATCTAGTGGGTCCCAGTCATAGATGTGCACCCAAAAATCCAGTGGGATTGTTAGAAATACAGGTGATCAGGCTCAACATCAGAACTACAGTCAATCTCAGGGGTTGGGTACAGAAGAAAACACATTGCTGCTACTGTTTTGTTACTGTGACTATTGTAATTTTTATTGCCATTGCTTTTAATGGCCCTGGCAGTTGGTATGCAGTCAGAAAACTCATGTTTGAAAACAAAGTTCTAGCTGATAAGGTACATGTTTCATGCATGGAAGAGGACAACATGGCATGGTTAAGCACTTGAATTTTGAAGTCAGATAAATCTGTATGCAAGTCATAGCTATGCCACTTTTTGTCTGCATATCTCACACATCTTCCTTAAGCTACTTAAGCCTCAGTTTCTTTATCTGTAAAACAGGAATAAGAATAGTACCTTTTGCATAAGGCTACTGTGATGATTGAATGAAATAATGAATGTAAATACCTCAGCATAGTGCCTGACACATAGCAACAGCTTCAAAAATATTTGCTGAACTGTTTATCTTGGAGAAATATCTCCACTGGGTGCTGCCTCACCCCACCTTCCCTCCCTGCTAAGAAGCTGGGGAAACCTCTCATTAGTCACTTTTCCCTCTTCCTTGATGCAATATTTCTAAGTCCCAAGGAAGCAGGTAAATGTGCAAGACAGTACATGTGCTTCCAAGAAGATTTATAAAGTTAATCTCGCTCATTTATTTGGCTGAATCAGTCCTGAGGGAAAATGACTAAAATAGAGCCTTGAAAACTGCCAGCATGGTTATGAAATCATTTACAATGGGGAGGATTTGTGATAATCTTGTTTTTCACCACACACTAACGACCTCTGGTTAGGAAGGAAAAAAAAAAAAAGCTTCTGTGGTCTTCAGTGCAGCAGACCACCTAAGTTGACAACCAAGTAGAATTTCTTGGAGTGGAAAGTCTGCAATACTGCAAAGGTTTAAAGCATCCCGAGTTTACTCGAAAGATCTTTGCTCCCCATATCTGAGCCCTAGATTCTCTGGCAGAACTGGAGATGGAGAGGAAAACAGAATGAGGGAATGAAGAAGGGACATAGAAGAGAGCAAGAAAAATCCATTCTTTAGCTCTGCTTTTCCTCTGGCTGAGCATTGTCACTCAAAGAGCAAAAGGCCCTAGAATTCCAGCCACTGGAGAACAAAGAGAAAGGCAACTGGTTTTTGACATTATGAACTCCTTGAGAACAAGGACCACATCTTCACTCCTTTCAGTTTGTTAAGCAGAGATGACAAATCAGATCCAAGTCCTGTCCTCATTAGGCATAGAGTCTAGCGATGTAGAGTTGTAAATGCAAATGCCTACAGGGCCCAGGAAGGTAATGTAAATCCCTGAAATAGGCCTGGTGTGATGTAAAAGGAAATGGTGGGGACTGTGGAGACATGCAGAGATCATGCTCCACCCAATAGCGACAACAGCTACTCATCTCCAACCTCCTGCTGCATTCTGGGAATGCAAATCCAGTTTTGCCAGATCTTCTGACTTTTTCAAAAGAAACTGAAATACTGAAAATATCACTTTCTGTATGTGAAGTTTCCTGATTTTTAAAAGGCAGCCATTAAATATTTTAAAACACTGGAATATTAGGTGGGCCAAATACAACCTCAGGGTTTCCAGTTTTCCACCCCCGGTCTAATTATTAATACCTTGCACAATGTCTGGCACATAGTAGGTACTCAAAAATTTTTGTTAAACAAATAAATATTTTCACCTCCCCAATCAAACCTTTAACAAATAAATTAATGAATAAGTAAATGAATACATACATATGTAATGACTTCTTGCTATTATCAGAGAGAGTCTAAATGTATGAGGGTTTTCTCCACGTAGGGGATTGCACATCTACAGTAGAGGGGGAATCACTGAGTAAAAAAAATGTTGTATGACTCGGGAAGAGCTTTACCTTTGCATGTCTTGGTGGAGAAGTCAAGGTAGTACTGTGGGGCACAGCTCTCGTACTGACATTCCCCAAAGAACAGGACCTTGTTCGGGTCTCGGCAGGAGGTACAGCTGGTCTGTGAATCACAGCTTCTGCAATGTGTGTTGCATGCTGAGCAGAAAGGAAAAGGAAATGACCAGATGATTACAATTGCAAATACTGAAGCGCTGATCAAACCTAGACAGATGCTGCAAAGAAACAAAGCCTGGCTCCAATCTATTCTTTAATTATGGCTCATAACCCTCCCCTGTGATCAACAGAAAACAGAAAATGTTAGTCTTACTTTCCAAAATAAAATAAAAAAAAGGGTAATCTTATTTTCCAGAGAAGATAAATTATAAACCCAAGAATGAAAATTCCTCATCTAAATTGCCTTGTGATTCAGCAACAGAATTTATGCTTAGTCCAACATCTCTGATAGTCAAGACTTTTATTTGAACCTTACTTCTTAAGGAATCAAGCCCCCTATAGTTTATGTTGTAGATTCAGATTTTATGTGATGCCAAGATTAAAATTAGGCATCAACTGTATTGTGGAGCTCAGGAAATACCGTATTTCAAGATACAAAGGACTTTAAGGCGACCTGGCTTATTGATTTACCCAGTTGTGATTATCAATGGTCAGTTACTTTTCATGAATGACCCCCAAATCTGATCATACTTCTTCCTTCCCCAATTTAGCAACTGGCATTTCTCCATCTATGCAGCTATTCCCACTAGAGACCTGTGAGTCTATTTTGACACCACCCCCCAACCGTTCATTCATTGGATCTGATTTAATCAAGCTCTCCTATATAATTCTCAGAATTTTTTGCTTTTCTCTATATTCACAAATGCCACCACTCCATCCAAGCCATCATCATCTCCTGCTGGTCTACTGCCATCACCTCCTAATTAGTTTCCCAAAATCTAGTCTGACTACTGTGCAATCTATTTTCCATGTTTCCACCAGAGTGATATTTTTATTCATACTGTTCAGGCTTCAGCAGTCAATTTCATCTATGAACTTATATTTTTCTTGACCCCTGGAAAAATGTTCAGCTTTCATTTATGCAAATACTGCTCCTCCATCATTCCCTTAATTCTTTCCACCTAGAAATCTTAACACACATGTTTGAGTCCTCTCAGTATAATCTCCAAGCCTCTTGTCTATAATTCATACTCATTCTTCAGCCTCTTCTCCAAAAAGGCCTTCCATGACTCTTCAGTCTAGGACAGGTCTCCCAGTTCCTACTTTTATAGCACTCTTAATTTCTTTCATACCATATATAACAATTTTCATTTAAGTGATTATTTAACATCTGTATCCTTTAAGCTGTAAGTTTCATGTAAGCTAAGACTAGGTTTGTTTTTTTTTTCTTGCAATAATCCCAACTCCCAGCTGATTATCTATTATTTTGTAGGTGTTCAGTAAACACTTGTTATACAAATGAAAGAAGCCAGATATTTTAATTATATATACTCAAGCACAAGCATCTCTCCTCATTCTAAAATCTTCTCTAAATATAGGTCAGAGCAAAAGTCTGGTGATCAGGTGAGTTTTAGCAAATCTATGGGATATCAAATCATGAGACACAATGCAGGAAAATTATGTCCCTGTAAAATGGAAAGAAAACACTCTTGTTTTACCAGGGCCATCGGTATAACATGTTCATTAGAGTGTGCAGATTTGTAATTAAAGGTCCCAGGAAAATTCTTGATAGGAGTTTCATATAATTTGGGAATAATTAGAAAAGAATATTTTAAGTGTTGGAAACTTACATGACACTAAACTTCTATCCCCCTTTTTTTTTTTTACCAGTATTTCTATACATGGTGTATCTTAATTTTGGCCAAGTGTTTGATGACAATCCCAAACACAAACTTGTTAATACAAAAATAAAGTGGTCTAGTAGTTGCAGGTGGTTTTGAAGATGATTGAAATACAGACTCAAAAAGGGATCAGTAAATCTTTGTAATTGATAAAGGAAATGTCTCATAGACTATTATGACCAAGTCTTAAATTTTTACTTGATCAATATTTTTATTAATAACTTTAATGAAAACAAAGATGTCATGCTAATGATATTTAAATATGCCATATATACCTATCCAGGAAACACACTAGTTAAATTTTGCCAGCTGAGAGAATAACAACTCAAACTTATTTTAGCCCGTTGAAGCAATATGCTAAAAGTAATCAGATGAAATAAGCAAAACTATAAGTCCTGCATTTATGTCCCATAATAAATTACACAAATAGAGAATACCTTAAAAAGACCTTAGATGGCAATTCTCATAAAAAAGGATCTGAAAATGTTAGTTGATTAAAAGCTTACTAAAAGTGCTGTAAGGTTACTAAACAAATGAATGCAATCTTAAGCTGAAGAGCCCTCATATAAAATAAATGCAGCGGAACCCCCTGCTTGACATGGAGCTGCAAAACCAGGTCCAAATGCCAGCTCTCGGGCTGGGTCACAGTCACTGCACAGCCTACTTTCCTGGAGTTTATTTCCTCAAGGTTTTGTCTGTCTCCATGTTCCTGGATCCTTTAAGCAGTCTTTCATTTCTTTTCCGCACCTCAGTGTAAAACTCAGCCCCTTCATTGGCTTCTATATAAGAAGTGGATTCACTTTGATTATCTTGAAACATTAAGGGAATTTGGAGGGATGCAATAGTGGTACATTGAGAAGCGTGGGCCTTCCACCCTTTCTATCTGAATAATTCTTCCTCTCTTACCTAACCCCTCACCCTTCTCTAGGGCAATCTGCAAATGGCCTTGTCTCACTTGGAGCAGTTCTGCACATACTAAAACCTCTTAGGTTTTCAGCTTCCATCTTCAGAAGATTGTGGGTAAGAAGCACTTTCTCCAGCCTATGAAATTCAGACAACACAAAGTATCAGTCCTATCGCAGTCATGGTGGTATGACCACATCTGGAGGAGAGGTGCAGTTATCTGAGGTTATTGACCCCATGGAAAGTGCACAGTGAAGGAGGAAATGACTGGACCAGAAACCAGCAATGGAAACAGGGATATAGTTTAAACATTGTCTGAGGAGGAAGGGACCTCACAGCTTATGAAGTCCATTCTCCCTCTTAAATAGGCTTGTTTTCTACTGCAGCTCTGACAGATGGTCATCCATTTCTACTTTAAATACTCCATTGGCTTCAATTCTGCCTGTAGTAGAGAAATCCAAGTGGGAGATAGCACTTAATTACAACCTTTGAAGGTAATCATGTGAAAGAGGGAGGACACATTCTATGTTGCTATGGCAGTGGTGCAGCAGGGAGTTCCAGGGCCAATGCGAAAGAAATGTCAAACAACTAAACAACTGCTGCCCCTCAAATATGGACCTGGCTTCCACCCTCATCTGTAGAAGTCGGTGAGGGTGCAAGGCTGGATCAGACACGTCCTCTTACTCTAAAGCACTATGATTTCAAGACTGAGAACCTCATTAATCATCTCTTTCTTACAAAAAGTTTCCATCTCAGCTGATCATCCTTAAAGTTAGAGCTCAGTGAATAATTTCTAAGGATTTCCTTAACCAGAATCTAGATAGTTTTTCAGCTCTGGTTATTAACGCCCCTCCTTAATACTGACTATATTTCCTTAAAAGCCGTTTACTCCACACTTTCTAAAATTGTCAGGCCTATAACTGTCTATAATGATGAGCATTATAAAGGGATATTGTTGATTTTTTTTCTGTTTTTACATACTAGAAACTCAGATTCCCAACCTAGGGTCCTGCTTTAGTCAATCTTAGAAAAAATGAAACTTAAGTTTTAGCAAAAAACAAAGATCAGGAGATTCATAATTTAATGGAAATAGCCTATAAAATCCCATTTACATGTCATCATAACAAATGCTTTTGTTTAGAGATTACCCTGTACCAAAGCAAACGCTTCCCAGAAGAAAAATATTTTCATGCAACATATTTTTGTCATTCGTACTGTACATAAAGCATTCTATTTTTCCTTTTTATTGAATTTATTGGGGTGACACTGGTTAACAAAATTATACAGGTTTTTGGTGCACAATTCTACAACACATCATCTGTACATTGTATTGTGTGTTTACCACCCCAAGTCTCTGTCCATCACTATTTATTTTCCTTCACCTCTCCACCCCACTCCAGCAATCACCAAACTGTTGTCCTTGTCCATGAGTTTTTTCTCTTTTTAGCTCAATCCCTCCATTCCCGTCACACAGCCTGCACCCACCGAAACAGCTGTCAGCCTGTTCTTTATCCATGAGTCTGTCTTGATTTTGCTTGTTAGTTCAGTTCATTCATTAGATTACACATATGAGGGAAATCACATGGTACTTGTCCCTCTCTGACTGGGTTACTTCACTTAACATAATGCTCTTCCAGGCCATCCATGCTGTCGCAAAGGGTAAGATTTCCTTCATTTTTATGGCTGAGTAGTATTCCATTGTGTAAATGTAGCACAGATTTTTTTAAGACTCATCTACAGATAGGCACCTGGGCATCTTCCAAATCTTGGCTATTGTAAATAACGGTGCAATAAACATAAGAGTGCATATACTTTTTCAAATTAGTGTTTTGGGTTTCTTTGGATATATTCTGAGAGGTAGCATTGCTGGGTCATAAGGTAGTTCCATTTTTAATTTTTTGAGGTAGCTCCATACTGCTTTCCACAGTGGCTGCACCAATCTGCATTCCCACCAGGAGTGCACAAGGGAACCCTTTTCTCCACATCCTCGCCAACATTTGTTGCTTGTTGATTTATTGGTGATAGTCATTCTGGCAGCTGTGAGATGAGATCTGATTGTGGTTTTAATTTGCATTTTCTGATGATTAATGACTTTGAGAATCTTTTCATATGTCTATTGGCCATCTGTATGTCTTCCCTGGAGAATTGTTTATTCAGGACCTTTGTGCATTTTTTAATTGGATGGGTTGTTTTGGGGTGGTTTTTTTTTGGTATTATTAGTTCTGTATAAATTTCAGATATTACTCCTTATCAGATATATCATTGGCGAATATGTTCTCCCATTTAGTGAGTTGTCTTTTCACTTTGTTGATAGTTTCCTTTGCTGTGCAAAAACATTTTAGTTTGACACAGTCCCATTTGTTTATTTTTTCTTTTGTTTCCCTTGTCTAAGAGAAC